ATATAAAGTTAAAAAAAAACACTATATATTATTATAAGGAAGATATTAAGCTATTTAATATAGTTTTATTTATAACTATATATAAAAAGTAGATTATTTAATAAAAGTAAAGATAATTTATTAATAGAAAGATCTATTCATTATATATAAAGCCTTTAATAAAAATATACTATTTATAAACTTTAAATAAAGTAATTTTATAAGGAATATTTATAATAAAAACTTAAAACTATTTATTAAAGATAGTAAATTAAATATATAATACCTATTTATATTTATACTTTAAGAAGATATTATTAAAAATTTAAGTAAAATTTTTTTAAATAAAACTTAACTACTTAAAATTACCTTACCTTTATTAAAACTTATAAAATAACCCTTTTAAATTTTAAAATTTAAACTACTATTTAAATAAATCTCTTTAAATAATTCTACTCTATCTATATACTTTTAATATTTTCTATTATTAAATAATAAAGTTTCTAACTTAAAGCTATTAAGTTTAACTTTATTATTATAATTACTATATTATCTACTTATTTATTTATAATATAAGAAAAGGTTAAATAAAATAAAGTATAATAATAACTTTAATATATTAAAATTTTATTTAAAAATTCTTAAAAATTCTATACTTTAATTATTTTTATACTTTTTAACTTTAACTTAATAAAAGAAGGGATATAAACTATATTTATTTATTTATTTATTAACTTTCTCTCTTTCTTATATTATAATATTATATTTATATACTTTTAATTTAATATAATATATTTATTTTTATTTAATATTTTTAATAATTTTAAAACTTATAAAAATTTTATTATAATATATAAAGACTTTAATCTTTAATAATATTCTACTTTATTTAAATTTAATATTTATTTATCTACTTACCTTTTAATCCTTACTTTTATTATTTCCTTTATTACTTTTACTTTTTACTATACTTTTAAAATTTATTAAACTTTTTTATTACTCTGTTATTATCTTCTTTATATATTTTATTTAATTAATTACTTTTTTAAAATTATTTTAATTAAAATTTAATATATTAACTTTATAGAAGAAGTATTAACTTATAAAACTATTAAAATTAAAAATTAAATAAAAAAGTTATATTATTATAATTTAATTAATAATATATTTATATATATATATATTAAAGTTTTATAATTATATTTATAACCTAATTTTATATAATAAATATAGTTTATATAAGTTTTATTTATTATTATAAAATAAAAGATATAATAAAAAAGTAATTAATATAAAATAAAATTAACTTATTATATTTATTTTTATAAATATAAATAATTAATATATAATAATAAATATAATAAAAATAAAGAGCTATATTTTAATAACTTTATAATATAATTAATAATAATTAATATTATTATAATTAAATAAATATTTTTTAAAATACTTTTAAAAATAAAATTTAATATAATATATAAAATATTTTATATAAGTTAATTAATATAAAGTATAATAAACTTATTAATATTATAAAAGATATTATTTATAAATCTAAATAGTTTATTAATATTATTTAACTTCTAAATATAATAAAAGTAAATCCTTTATTTATATTTATAATATAAATAGAGATAATTTAATTTATAATTTATTAATTAATTATTTAAATACTATATTATTCTTAATAGGTGACTTTTTTATAAATTAAGTATATTTAAAATTAATATTAAATCTAATTAATTATTAAAAGTTTAAATAAATAATTTTATAATTAGTTTATTTATTAATATTATTAAAAGATATAGTAAAGGGTTTATAAAATAAAGTTATAAAGTTAAAATTATTATTATAAAAAAGAAGGAAAGGAGTTAAAAGTTATATAGAAAGAAGAGTTTAAGTAATAGTTAAAAGTAATAAGAAACTATAAAGGAAAACTAATAATTTATTTGACTTTATTAATTACTTAAATTAATAATTATTTAAAATAAATTAGTAATAATTTTAATTATTTATAAGTTAGTAACTTAAAAATAACTTTTAATTTAATATAATTAATTTTAACTTTCTTCCTTTTAATAATTATATTATAAAAAAGCTATAAGAAGTTTATTAATAATTATTAATAATAAGATTTAAGTAATTTTTTTAAATATTAAATAAAAAAGATTACTTATTTTATTATTATTAAGTATATCTTACTTTAATTATTATAATAAAAGCCTTAATTATTTATAGTTTTTTTAATAACTTTATAATATCTTTTCCTCCTTTTTTAATTAATTATATAATATTCCTTAAAGTTATAAACTTTTTTATATATAAACTCTTTTTTATTTTTAAATTTATTTATTTTATTATTTAATATATTATTATTAAATAAACTTTTAACTCTTTTTAAATTATATATTAACTTAAAGTTACTTTAATATAATACTTTTAAAAAATAATAAAAGAAAATGAGTTATATATTTTTTTATATTTATTTAAATAATAATAAAATTTAAAAGATTTAAATATTATATAATTAATTTAATAAAGTTTTATATTTAATTAAATTAATTAAAAGTATTTTTCTTTATATAAATATAACCTTAAAGCTTTAAATAAAGTATATTATTAATTACTTTTTTTAACTTTTAATAAAAGATAAATATAAGAATAAAGTTTATAATATTTATTTAATAAAATACTTTATATTTTTTATAAATTAGAAAGATTTATTTTAAATAATTAAAATTAATTAATATCTATATTTAAGTTAAAATAAACTTTTTAATTAATATTTATAAAATATAATTTATATTATTAATATTATAATTAAATTTATTAATAAAAAATATAATAATTAAAAATATAATATTTAATTTAAAGAATATATAGTTAATTACTTTTATTATTTATATAATTATTAATAAGTATTATATATTTTATTAAATTAATTATAAATTTAAAAGATTTTATAATTAATTTAAATTATAAAGGTTATAAAACCTTTTAAAAATTATTATATATAGTTAAATAATTTTATTTATATATATTTAAATAGAGAGGATTATAAAATACCTACTTTTAATATAATATATTTATTAAATATTATATAATTTTTAAAAGTATTTAATAGTAATTTTATATTATTAATAACTTTTAAATGTTTTTAAAAATTAAGAAACTATTTTATTTAAAGGTTTTTATAGATATATAAATTAAATAAAAGTTTTTATTTATAATTAATTTTATTTAAAATATAGGAATAAGAGAGGATATAATAAAAGATATAATAGTTATAGTTATTTAAATAGAATTTAAAAGTAAAGGTTATTAACTTTATTAATTTAAAAATTATAAGTATTTAAATAGGTAGATATTATAAAAGGATAATATTCTTAAAATAAAAGTTATTTTTATATTTAATTATAAATTAATCCTTTAATTTAACTTATTTATCTTTAAGCTTTTATTAAAGATAAAGTTAATTTATTTAGTTATAAAAATACTTAGTTTTAATTATAGTTATATATTATTTTATAATTAGTTAATAATTTAAATTTTATTAAAGAATTTAAAGTGTTATTAGAATTTTAATTTATATTAATATTAAACCTATTAGTTTATTTTTTTAAAATAAATCTTTTAAAGAATTTTATTATTAATTATATTTATATAAAGTTTTATAGGAAAATGAAGAGATTAATACTTTTAAATACTATTTATATATATAAGAATGTTTTTAAGTTAAATAACTTTTATAAAAGCTATATATAAAAAATAAGTATTTATTATATATTTTTAAAATATAAGGAATTATCCTTTTTATTATTAATAGTAATAATAATAATAGTTAACCTATATAGTTTTTATAATTTTTAAATTAATTAATATTACTTTTATTATAATAATTAATATTAATTTATTATTAACTTAATTACTTTATTAGTTATTCTTTTAACTATAAAGGTTATAAATGTTATTTTTATTTATATATTTTAACTTTATTTATAATTAAAATAAGAAGTATAATATTTATTAATAAATAAATTATAATATTAATTTGTAAAGATAAATTTATATAAAAGTTAAAGAAGATTAAGTTATAAAGTATAATTTAAATAATTAAATAAAAGTATATAAAGATAAGGATATATATTAAGCTTTTAATATATTAATTTTATTTTTAAAATTTAATTTTAATTATTTTTATATTTATATTATAATATTCTTTAATACTTTTTTAATAATCTTTATTTATATAAATTTTTAATTTATATTATTATTTATATATTTAAATATATATATACTAATAGAGATATAAGTTAATAGGGGTTTTTATATTTATAGATATTTTATATAAAAATATCTATTTACTCTTTATTTAAATAGTTAGAGGAATTAATTTTTTTTATTTTTTTTTAAAATATATTTAAATTAAGAGATTTTTACTATCTCTTTTTACCCTATATAGGTACTTTTTTAGGCTTGTAGTTAGGCGCTTAACTAGCTTACTTACGCTTTAATTTAGTATTTATAGTATATTTAAGCTTCTTTATTACAGTAAATAACCTATCTTAATATTATAACTATAGACTATAAATACTATACCTACTAGCTTATTAACACTCTAAATAAAATCTTTTTAAATATAGGGGCTTAAACCTATACCCTTGAAATTAGTTATTAAGATAGTTAAACCTAATTATTACTAATGAATTAGACTACTTAACTAAAAGACTATAATAATTGATTTAAAGAATTAGCTATTCCAGCAGTTTATAGGCTCAGTCACAGTACTGGACCGTCACATATAAGACCAATTGGGGAATAATTTATATGTGCACTCCCCCCTTGTTTACTCCGCAGGGGCACAGGGGGCTTCCCGCTCCCCGTCGCTGGGAGCTCCCCACAGCGGGGGCTTGGAGCTGCCTTGTCAAGCTCCCCCCCCCCTGTAAGGCTGACGTCGGGGTCCCTTATCAGATAAGAAGAGCTGGAGCAAAATTTCTGGCACGGGCTTGACTGAGGTATGACTCGGACTGCGATGACTCTTGTTGTGTCTTGACATCGCGTGTAATAACTCGAGCTCCCTGAACCTCGACTCGACCTTCGTCAACCACCTGCCACTTCCACCCGACACCAATCGCCGTCCAACAGGCCCAAACACCTCCCCAACCCGACCTCAGACCCGACCGTGCCGAGATCGGAGCTGCTGCTGTGACGATGGCTTCAGGCAAGAAGGAGAACATGCTGTGGGGAGGTCGCTTCACCGGTACGTCGTCGTCGTCGTCGTGATGGCTTCAGTTGGGACTATATACAGTGTGAAGGTTCAATTGATCCCTATTGCCCTTCTACCACCCCAATTGAGCCCCTGAGCCCCCCAGAAGACCCACAAGACCATCACGGCTAACACCACCTCTTCTTCCCTCCCCACCAGGCGGCCTCGACCCCCTCATGGAGCAGTACAACGAGTCCCTCTCCTTCGACAACGTCCTCCACAAGCAGGACATCCAGGGCTCCATCGCCTTCGCCCGCGCAAACACAAAGGCCGGCCGCCTGACCCCCGACGAGTTCGCCAAGATCGAGGCCGGCCTGCTCGAGGTCGAGAAGGAGTGGGAGGCGGGAACCTTCAAGGTCGTCCCGGGGGCCGACGAGGACATCCACACCGCCAACGAGCGCCGCCTGGGCGAGCTCATCGGCAAGGACGTCGCCGGCAAGCTGCACACCGGCCGCAGCCGCAACGAGCAGATCGCCACCGACATGCGCCTGTGGCTGCGCGACGAGCTCGACAAGCTGGAGGGCCACCTCAAGAGCTTCCTCTCCGTCATCGCCCGCCGCGCCGAGTCAGAGGTCGACTACGTCATGCCGGGCTACACCCACCTGCAGCGCGCCCAGCCCATCCGCTGGAGCCACTGGATGCTGAGCTACGGCTTCGCCTTCGCCAACGACCTCGAGCGCCTGCGCGAGATCCGGCGGCGCGTCAACCGCAGCCCGCTCGGCTGCGGCGCCCTGGCCGGCAACCCCTTCGGCATCGACAGGGACATGATGGCCGCCGAGCTGGGCTTCGACGGCCTGCTGTGGAACTCGATGGGCGCCGTGGCCGACCGCGACTTTGTCCTCGAGACCCTGCAGTGGGGCAGCTTCCTCATGCAGCACGTCAGCCGCTGGGCCGAGGACCTCATCATCTACTCGTCCGCCGAGTTCGGCTTCGTGCGCCTCGCCGACGCCTACTCGACGGGGTCGTCGCTCATGCCCCAGAAGAAGAACCCGGACAGCCTCGAGCTGCTGCGCGGCAAGAGTGGCCGCGCCTTCGGCCACATGGCGGGGTTCATGATGACCCTCAAGGGCCTGCCGTCGACCTACAACAAGGACCTGCAGGAGTCGGTCGAGCCCCTGCTGGACCACGTCAAGACCGTCGGCGACAGCATCCAGATCGCCGAGGGCGTCCTGTCCACCCTCGCCGCCCAGCCCGACAAGATGCGCGCCGCCCTCGACCCCTTCATGCTGGCTACCGACGTCGCCGACTACCTCGTCCGCAAGGGCGTGCCCTTCCGCGAGACCCACCACATCAGCGGCCGCTGCGTCGCCCTCAGCGAGCAGACGGGGACTCCCATGAACGAGCTCACCTACGAGCAGATGCGGGGCGTCGACGCCCGCTTCGAGGAGGACATCGCCGAGGCCTTTGACTACGAGAAGAGCGTCGAGATGAGGGCCGCCAAGGGCGGCACCAGCAGGGCATGTGTGCTGGAGCAGGTCAAGGTTCTGACTGCTATGATTGCTGCTTAGGGGCCGCGGGCGGTATGTGTGGAACTGATGTATGGATGCGGGACATGTGAGAAATGTAAAAGCAAGTTTTTATCACGAATAGATTCCTAAAAGCGAGGACTACAAAAAGAAAATGAGATGCTTTTGAGCACAAAGGTTGGTACCTTTGCCTTATTTGGCAGTCTTCGTTCTTCGAGTAATGTTTGGACGTGAAAGTTCCAACGGGCCACAGCGGTGGGATATCATTGTACACACGTACCTAGGTAATGACCGCATCTCTTCCCATCCATTTGCAGCCATGCGTAGGAGTCATCTCTGCACACACGCCCAACCTCAAAACGCCGACTCTGTGATTCAACCTGTTGCATCCGTCCTATATTCTGTTACCACGATTTCAGTTGTGATTCGGATATATGCTCCATTAATAACATAAGTTGGCCCTTAATATAATTAGGTCTTATTAATCCCCCATCTTATATAAAATTAGATCTAGCTTACTACTAATTTATTTATTTATTTATTCTTACTTATTTTAAGTTTATAAAAAAGCTTTACTAATTTTTTTCTTTTCTTTTATTTTATTATATTTTATAATATTCTTTTTGTAAATTATTTAATTATATTTTTACTACTTTATTAATTTTCTTTTATTTTATTTTTCTTTACTTTCTTTTATTTATACTTAAACTTTTATATTATTTAAATTTATTACTATTTTATATATATTTAATAATAAAATAATATATTAATACAAAAGTATTTATTTAAAATTAAATATAAAAGTAAATATAGTAGTAATAATAATATAATATTTATAAATTCTTAAAATATTTAATTAATTAAATTAATTATTAAAACTTTTAATTAAATAATAAAATATAAATTTAATAATTATACTTTTATTATAATATTTTAATAATAATAAATATATAATTAATATAATTTTAACTTTATAATATAGTAAATAAAATATAAAAGTATTATTTTAATAAATATATTATTATAATAAAGTATAAAAAAAAGAGAGTTATATAAAGTTTTTAATAAAAAACCTATAAAAGAGATCTTTTTCTTATTACTTTAGTTTTTTTTAAAGGAAATTAACTCTACTCTTTTTCTTTTATTTTTAAAAATTCTCTATTAAGTGATTTTTATCCTTTATTCCTCTCTTTAAAACCTTCTTTCCTTAGAACCTATCTACCTATTAAACCTCCTATAAAGGTTAGGTAGAGCATTCCTTTAAAGCTATATATATACTTTAATAACCTATTTTTATTATTTATAAGTATTAATAACTTATTAAATAAGTTATAACTTAAATACTTATATAATAATACTATATAGTTTAATATTTACTATTATAATACTAGGTGTAGTGTTATACTCGTCGAGTTTATCAGCATCATTTTTAGGGCTTAGCGCTGACGTTGGCGCATCCGCCGCTTTGCCAATTGGCCCTTACCCAATGCACCAACTCGTTGCCCGCAGCAACTACATCTTTGCTGCGGGCGGGAGGCCTACGGCAGAAGCCATCTGGCTCGCCCTGCGATTCGCCCACGGTTGCACATAAAACACTGCCACGGCGGTTATTACACTTCGTTAACTGCATAATTGGAAAGCACTTCACTACCTCAGGTCTCCGAGCCAACAAACCTGACATGGACGTCGCCCATATTGACCGAAACATTGGTCCGCCTCAAGATCCGAATGGCGTCTTGAGCAGCGATAATGTCTACAGGGGACGTCTCGCAGCAAGCATTCGAGACTGCTAAGAAGTCCTTTCGAAATGGTCTGAAGGATGAGGCACTGTTCCGCGACATACTAGAAACGACCAGCATCGGAAAACTGTGGGAGGCGGTCAAGGCCGTCCAGGAAAAACAGCACAATGAGAAGCGTCTCCGTAACATGGCAAAGATCGGAGGCTTCCTTGATAAGCTGTCAGCGTACGCTGGTGTCGTTGATACATTCGTACAGGTCAAGCCAGAAATCATAGCTTTGATTTGGGGGCCCATCCGCCTGTTGCTGTTATGGACTGGCAATGCCACACAGTTGGCCGACGCCATTACCAAAGTCATGAGGACTATCGGCGATGCCCTCCCGCAATTTACGGACATCGTCAATATATTTGGCGACAACGAAAAGTCAAAGGCCGTCCTGGCTTTGTTTTACAAGGATATCCTCGACTTCTATGCTATTGCCTTGAAAGTGTTCAACTTGTCAAGTAGGTTACCAAACTCGCCTGCTATTCCTGACTGACAAATTCCCCTTTATCTGTCTCTAGAACCACAAATATTCTTTGATTCCGTTTGGCCAAGGCAGAAGGAGAAGATCGACGTTGTCATTAGTAACATAGAGCGGCAAACCACTTTGCTGAGAAGTGAAGTCACAATGCAGCATATAAGGGAAGAACACGAACTTAGAGCCAAGTCATTGATCCATTTCGACCAAGAAGCCGAATTCCAGGACCAGCAGCGGTTCCAGACCTTGAAGAATCTGATATCCCCTCGGACCTACGACGACAAGCTGGACTGGCTGCTCAACCGCTCATGCGAGGATTCGGCAAGATGGCTGGTCAAGGACAAGCGCTTCTTGGGCTGGCTTGAAACATCCAATACCGCTATTCGATGGCTGTGGATTCATGGTATTCCGGGGTCAGGGAAGACTTTTCTGTGTGCCACCGTGGCCACGGAAGCCAAGGCACGCCATCGAACTCTCTTCGCCTTCGCTAGCCACATCCATCAAAATACCTCAACAGCGAGAAGTATTTTACAGTCTCTCGTTTTCCAACTAGCATTCAATTCCAAGGACGTCCAGATAGCTATCGTGCATTCCGACGAACGAAACTTGTCTGGGAGTACCACTTACGTCTCAGGCCTGCTCAAAACACTGCTGAAAAGCAGCGGGCCTACATATATCATCGTCGATGGACTCGACGAGATGGATGCAGTGGAGAGGAGGATACTACTACAGCAGCTAGATGAGTTGGATGACTGCGCCGAGGCAAAGATACTTGTCAGCAGCAGGCCCGAGGACGACATCGCCAACAGTCTGGCCGCCAAAGCCGTCGGGATTCGAGTGGACAAGGAGAATTCAGGCGCCATTCAAACATATATTAACCAGAGGACTCAGAACTGGCTTGATGCAGAGGGCTTCGATCAGGACACACGGCGGCAGATAAAGAGTCTTCTGCTTCCTGTCACCGGTAATGCAAGGGGTGAGAAACTCAACCGGACCGAGCCCGATGACAATAAGATGGGCAAATAGCTGATCCCGCGAGCAAGGCATGTTTCTATACGCTCGAATCATCCTAGACACCGCCGAACTTATTACCAGTCTTGGGGAAATTGAAGGCGAACTGAAAGCACTTCCCATGGATCTGAATGACGCGTTAGTCGGACCACTTCATGCCGCACCGACCCAGGTGGACTAACTGTTCAGGTATCATCGAATATTTGCTCGGATCAACGACTCACATCCGACTCTAAGAAGGAAGGCAAGAATGATTCTGGGCTGGCTTGGCTGTGCCCCCGTTCCCCTGACGCGACTGGAAATGGAACAGGCTCTGTTGGTCAACCCAGAATCTCAAGCAGCCCCCACGGTGATCACGAGTGTTAATCTCGTTCGTATTTGCGGTCCTATGGTCGAAATTGTTGATGAGAGCCCTCAATTCGTCCACTTTACCGTTAAGGAGTAAGTCGACTACCAAATGGCCAGCCAAAACAGGGCTTTATCGCCCGGAAAACTGACAAATGGCCCAGGTATATCTTCAGTCGAGACATTAGCAACTTCATCGATAAGGCTGAAGCTAATATCAGCCTCACAAAGTCGACAATTGCGTATTTGTGCTCCGGTATATATGACATGGATATCTCGGATGAGCAGGTCCGAAGTAACATCGTGGCTGGAAAGTATCGGTTGCACTGGTTTGCCACAAGCCAGTGGACTTCTCTAATCAGCCGTTGTGTTGTCGAGGCATCCAAAGACCTGTCCGCCTACCAAGAAGTCTTGGAGTTGCTCACACGTTTGGCACTGGAGCTTAGGAACTACGGCTTCAAAGAAGAGATAAGTCGCAAGGAGGGAATTTTTCAGAGCCTCGAATCGAACTGGCCAGAAATCTCCAACATCATTTGCGGGGTCCTGGCCTTTCGTCAGGATGATAGGCAAACGGACTGGAACTACACCAACGGTAGGTTGCAAAGTGGCACCACGCCCCCAGCCCACCACCTCCTAGAGCTGATAAATTTCTTCCCCTACAGCTTCCAAATGGGTTGATTCTGATCCTTCGATACTGTCTCTCATGTCGGCTCGCGTCTACGAAGTTTTTGAGGAGCTTGTGTGCAGCCAACAAGAGCATAGGAAGACCGGCTGCCACTGTGCGACAGTGCAGAAGCACTACGGAGGCAACATTTTCAAGTGCACATTCCCCAGCTGCGACCTACATCGGCAGGGGTTTTCCTCGCGAAGTGCCCGGGCGACGCATGTCGAGCACCATGGGCGTCCGTGGAAGTGCTCGGAGCCAGAATGCCCGTTCGCTATCATCGGCTTCGCAAAGAGTCGACACCGAGACGAGCACTGGCGAGAAAGGCATCGGGTTACCTGGCAGAAAGGACGTACGGACCCGAACCAGGGCAACATCACCGATGACGACCTTGAAGTGCTATTATTTGAGCTGACCAAAGCCGGTGACATTGATGGTTTGCAGAGGGCTTTGTGTCTCCTGGACGGCAGCAAATACGCTGCAAGAGCCGCCGTGATGCTCGCCGCCAAGATGGGCTCTCTACCCATGGTGGAGACTTTCTATGCGTTGAGGAAGGTTGAACCTATCGTGGATGACTACAACAGGTGGGTCTTCGACGGGGTAATACCCCTCGACGAAAAGGTGCCATTCCAGACCGCCATCGTGAGGAGCGGGAACCCCGACCTCTTCCGTTGGTTGCTAGACGCGATTTGTGGCACAGTAGAGCGGCCTCTCGAGTACGCCCGGTTAGCCATTGAGGCTTTCTCGACCCACTCTCCCGACATGTATGCCGTGTGGGAGGAATTTCTCCTGGACCCGACGCGCCACTTGCCAGACCAAGATAAGATGTATAGCGAGGCCGAGATGCTCCTCCCCCAGCACGAAAAGCGGTCCGTTCTCTTCGACTCGCCGGCATTCGGCAGTGCCGCGAGGGACGCCTTCTGCGAGGCGAGGCTCTTTCAGACCTGGCAGCGCCTCATAGATATCTTAGGGGGCAGGCCACTCAACCCACGCTTCCTGGGCTGGTCGTTGACACGACTGGCAAAGATCCCGAGGCCGTCCATCTCAATTGCCAAGGAGCTGTTGCGACTAGGGGCACCCATCAACTTCCCGCGCTGGAAGGAAACCCGGCACCGCGGCATGACGGCGCTACATCACGTGACGCACGGCACATCCGAGGCGTCGGCGCGCTTCGCTCGTTTTCTGCTGGAGGAGGGGGCAGATCCGGACTACGGATATGCAAGAAAGAAGCCGGCGGGCGAACGGGGCGCGGTGCTGATGAAGAAATGGCTTGGGGAGTCGTGGGAGGCGGTCGTGGCAAGAACTGGAGAGGCGAGGAAAGAAAGGAGGATGAGGGATGGCGACGACGACGAGAGGAGGGAGGAGGGAGACGAGAGTGTTCGGGGAGGCGGGAGAGCGAATCGGCTGAAGAACCGACGGGAGGGTAAGAAACGGAAGGTCGACAGCAATGAAGAGGGCGGTACTGATGGCAGCCAAGTCAGTCGAGAAAGCGACCCGACGGTAAAACGGCGACGAAGGCGGAACCTGAAGGAGTCTAGTGACGACGAAGATGGCGAAATGAGCAATGATGGCGAAATGAGCAATGATGGCGAAATGAGTAATGATGGCGAATAGGAGAGCCTTGAACGACAAGCAAGAGGCACCAGCTAGCTGACTCTTGATGTTCTCAATGACTGTCAAGAATGTCAAGGATGTCAAGGATGTCAACAAAATAGCCTCGAGATGTCCGGAGCGATGCAGGTTGGATAGAACGACGTAACAACACCGGCAATAGATGTCTTTCTCATTGGAATAGGGTACTAGTATTACATTTATCCGCAAACACCTTCATCACATTTATGTTCTGATACCTGGGTAACGGCCCGGGCAGGGGGGAGCAGCTGGGCCCAACATAAATTATATACGAGACTACACTGACCCACATGATACTATTTGAGAAATTCGAGGAGTTTCTAGCCAAATATTTTACCAGTCAGCTAGTGCTCTCAGCTCTGTTCTTGTATACGCCTTGCTTCTGTGGTGCTCGGATTCTAGCAGGAAAAGATAGGAAGACTCACGTTCCATCGCTTCACGGCAAGAGCTTCTTCCGTTGTCTTCTCTCCAGCCTGTTCTGGCGTGGAGAAAGTTGCACTGATCAGTTGTATTTTGCTTTGCTGAACCCATCGAATGTACTATGTCATTGAAGTTAGCTTGGGTGAATTGTTGCAGGATAGCCTCCAGCTGTGATGGGCAACTGGCACAGAACGGGAAAGCAACAGACATGCCGCACCACACGGACCGGAAAGCAGAGACTCACAACTAACTTACCTCTTCAATACTGTCCTTCACGCAGTATCTTATGATGGCCACCTCCTTGGTCTGGCCGATCCGATGCACCCGATCAACAGCCTGAGCCTCTGCCATGGGATTCCAGTGTGGCTCCATCAGGTGCACTTCAGACGCTATGCTGAGGTCAATACTGTATTCATGGAGGCCAAAAGGTCAGCATGAGACTCTTCGAATAAGGCAATGTGGCTTCGGTAGTAGGTCGCAAAGTTCAGGAACTTCACTCACCCTTCCCCCACGGCGCCAATTGTCGCCAGCATCACCACACAGCTGTGATCCAAGTTGAACTTTTCCATCGCCTCACGTCGCTGCTGTAGCGAGGAACGGCCGTCGATACGAACGAGCGATAGCCCGCGCGAAGACAGATCTGGACCCAGTGCGGTCGATATCAGGTCGAGCATGCTGGTCCAGTGAGAGAAGATGACACTGTCGAGCGGTTAGCGACAGGCTACAGGAATCGAAATATCACGTTATCACAATGCCTGTGATAGACAAGAGACATACCTCTTGGCTGGTCGGTCCTCGATGTCGACGGAAAGGCCGCCACGAAGCGTGGATACAACATTGCGCAGCATGGCTGAGACCTTGGACGAAGGACGGTACTCGGCGGCCGGGGTGCGCGAAGGGGACGACGACAAGACTCCGTCCACACCAGCCATGCCACAAGTCGGGCAAGCCGGCTGCGCATTGTCCGTTCCCAGTCCCACGCACGACTCGCACGCGATATGCCGTCGGCACGCCAAGTCAACCACATCGCGCCCTCCCTTCTCCAGCTCCTCGCCGCCGACGGCAATGCCGCAGACGCAGCAGCTCTGCCCCGCGCCGGCCGCTGTCTCCAGCAGCGACCATCCGATACGGGCGGCGTCGTGACTGCGCCAGGCGCCAAGGGCTGCGGGCGGGAGGAGCGCCTCGCCGTGGTCGCAGATGATTCGGAGGACGAAGAGGAGGACCATGATGTTTGCAGTGGGCTTGCGCGACGCTTTCCCGCCGCTGGGTTTCTCTCTGCGCCTCCGGGGCTTGGTGGCGGGCGGCGGCGACGCGCCGGGCTTCGCCTCTGCTGGGGCGGCCTCGCCGGCGAGCAGATACGACCTGCGCTTGAAGAAGTCGTACAGCTCACGCTCGTCCTCGGCCAGCACCACGGCCTCGACGCGCTCCCTCTTGCGTGGCAGCCGCAGCGCCGACGCGAGCGCGGGGTGCGCCTTGGTCCGGCGCAGACAGGTGGCGCGCACAAGCTTACGCAGCGTGTGCAGGTTGTGGCTGCGGTTGGACAGGATGGGCGTGGAGATCCAGAAGCGGAACTGGTCGTACGTCGTGAAGGGCGGGACGCCGACGAAGGCCAGCAGCGAGCCGTAGTCGCCCAGCGAGTTCTGGATCGGCGTGCCGGTCAGGCACCAGCGGTTCATGGCGCGGATCTCGCAGGCGGCTGCGAAGATTTTGGATTTTCTGTTGCGAATCCTGTGCGCTGCCGGATGAGGACTTAGCGACGTTGATTGCACTCGTGATGAAACGCGAGCCCTAGAGGGGGATGTTTGGAACACACCTTCGTCTAGAATTACCCTTGCCCAAGGGCGAGCGTAAAGAGGTCCATTTACATTCCAGTCTGAACGGAGAGTGTCATATGTGGTGAGCACTACGTCGAAGCTGTGTAGCTGCTCGGGGGCAGATTGTTTCTCGGCACCGTGATAAAGAAGTGTGCTGATGTCTCCTGGTCGAATATGTCTGTAAAGACCTCTAATTAGGACGCATCCTTACACGAACAAGAAGACGAGATGATGATCTTTACCTTTCTATTTGCATCTGCCACCCATATATCGCTTAAGACGAACAAGTTAGCACAAGCCTCGCATGGTAAGTGTGGGTTGGGCGGGCTAGACGTCTTGAGACGTACTTGACATCGGGCACACAATCAGTGTGGCTCTGGACATCTGCGAAGAAGGGACACGAGTCGCTGCATCGAAATGATGGCAAATAAGCGCCAGCGAGGATAGAGTCTTTCCCAGACCCATTTCCTGTTCACTCGGGTCAGACGGAATTCTTGGACAAAGACATTGCTAACACACGCACGTCGGCCAATATGCCTCCCCGCAAGCTGGGCAGAGGCATGGCTTGGGGAGCTTTCGTGACGATATGTCGGTACCTGGAGTGGCATGATCAGAACAGGATACAAAGCATGGCAGCGGTGCGATCCACTTACACTGTGCCCTCCTCTTCAACAGAGTGTTCCCATAGCAAAGGAAATTTTGGTCTGCAATCTGCTGGCTGCTGCTCCTTTTCAAGCATCATGGCAAGTGCCTCAAGTTGGTGGCTGCGGCCCGGGTCTGTCAGATTTAGCCATGCGAAGACGATGGATCATACTACACACCTTTTCAGCTTAGAGATGATTCGCGGGCTCTGTTTCACCTCTGATACCACACCGGCATCCAGTCCGCTTGCCTCGTCGAATATCCTCAGGACCCGACACCTTTCCGCTTCCTCGAGCATTTCTTCGTCGGCAGTGGCAGTAGCCAAGCCCCTTCCAGAGAACACTGAACTTATCCCCGTCCGTGGCATGTCCTCGCCGGGCGGAAGGAGATACATGGGGTTGAAATACTTCACCCTTCTATCGTACTCTGAGTCGTGCGGGCGTTGGAGAAAGAGGCCACCCTCGTCAAGAATTTCTGCGACAGCATTCCTCTCCGTAAGTCTACCGTACACGAGGACTTGGAGTGGCCGAGACCGAACGCTCGAACCCATTGAAGAAGTGCCTCGTCGCGCTGGCGGCCCTACTGACGCGACCAAAGTCACCAAATGCTCGCTGGCAAGTTGCGTCAGAGCGGGTGATATCACAAGCCCTGCGTGACTCCCGCTCTCTTCGTAACGGAGCATCAGCCAACTACCGTGGTGGGTGATTTTCACCAGGGCTTTTCCTTCCGGGGCGGGCTCCCATGTCTTGTTCTGGCAACTGGCCTCCATCAAGAGCTGGATCCATGAATCAGCGAATGTACCGCTCAAGCAGAGGCTAAGAAACACCATATACCTTCCCAAAGCATACATCATACGGCAAGCCGGGAAAAGGTTCATTGGGACCATCCAGATAGCCATCCACATCTCCTGTGACGGCTTCTTGCTCCGCTATCTCTACTCTGTCTTTTTCTGGAGGTCCTAGAAGTGAATCATCAGCACCAATAGCTTTTTGCAACTTGGAGACATGGCTGACTGAAATTGCCTTTTTCCTGCGCAGTGCCGTCTCCCCGGCGAGTTGCCAATGGTTCTTCCCCGCTGCGCGACGGTGAGATCAGCTCGACGTCGTCCACGGGCTGCGGTTTTCGGGTTTTTGGACGTTTAGATAGCGTGAGCTCGCCATCGGTGCAAACAGGCCGCTTCCTAGTAGAAGACATCTCAGGTCCGGACGATGTTTGACTGGGGCACTTGACAGATTGTCTTAGACTTCAAGTTGATCACTGGTATCAACATCTCAGCTTACTTTCGTGCCAGGCAGGCAACAGTAAAATTCTGGTCGAGGGGCAACTCCCCGCTTGCTGCATAACGCGTCTAAGTGCCTTAAAACAACTATGCAGCTGCGCCGCCTCCTGGCCTTGGCAGGCATGCGGCCAACCTCAGCCACCCCAAGGCCATTCTTTGGAACAGGCAGAAGCTATTTCTGGCGACTTGGAGAGTGCGCCGGGCCTACCACCGCAAGCGACCGCGGTGTTAAGGACAATTAAAACAGTGACGCGGGCCAGCCAGCTAAACCCGGCGGCTAGAAAGCCAGGACCCATATTACAATGTAAATAAGATCTCCTCCTAGGTCTCTTTCTCGTCGCTGACGAGCCCTACCAGCCCTTATATAGGGCTTCTTGGTTACTAGTTGCAGACCGTCGTGAAGGAGTAGACTTGGCAAAGTCTGCAAGTGAGGGTAAAAGAGGTATGGGTTGGGGGGTATGCATGATTGACCCCCAACCGAATTCGCCCCTGACTTATCCATTTATTGCTCTACGAATATCCGTACTCCATAAAATTAAAATACTCGTCCCGTCTGACGTGTAATCACATCCCCCTCGCTCAATACCGGTGCTCACAGCCCTTCATCCAAACATCCCGATAATCAGTGTCATCTTGCAGTAGCTCCTTTGGATCAAATCAAGAATACACCCGCATGCACAATACCGGAAGGATACACACTCGCGTCATTTTGCTTACACCGCGTTCGAATATCGATCTCCCGGTCTGCTCGAGATGCAGTTTCCGTTGCTTTGGTCCTGTGGCCTATCTTCTACCTCGCGCGAGGGAACTTGGGCTGTAGTTGCCTCATGACCTACAATGTGTATCAGCCTTGGTGCGGTGGGAAGATTGGATGATGATATCAGTCAAAATAGTCTCCGTATAACTCACTCTCGTGCTCGGTCGTGGCCACGCTTTGTGTGCCAACTTGATTGGTCATATGGCGCAGCAAAACTTGACCGTCGAGTCTTACATCATCTGCTGGCCAGGTTAGACTACCCCGAAGACAGGTGAGTTTGTTACTTGTGGTTGTTCCGATTCCTTATAAGCAGAAATGTAAAGGTGGGTGCTTCTTCAGGTCCCTGCATACAGTAGTACCAATAGCTCGAGGATCCAGCGTTTCGGATCGAAGAAACAGCAGCAATGACAGTGTTGAAAGACCACAGTTGTACACTGGACAGTCTCGGGGCAAGCAACTCGTACTTTGTCATCAAGTGCAGCACTTACCACGGAAATTGCCATGGCTGCGTGGCCCGGGAGCAGCAACCGACTGACGCTTGCGTAGGCACTCCCATAGAGTAACAGCTGTGGCAAGCGTGTTGACAAGTAGAGCGGTAATAGCCACCACTACTTGAGGCAACATATTGGGTGCTGTGAGTGCTCAAACAACAACAGTGGTCAATAAAGAAACGTCGATTTCAATAATATGACTAATTTCCCAAAGTCAAAGTTGTAGGCAGTGTATTCAGCTCCTGGGAAGTCGATATTGGAAAGGAGATTGATACTGGTCTAGAAGGAAGTACTGTTGGGAAACAAAATAAGTCTCGGACTTTATAGACAACAGGAGACTCGCTCATAAGCCAAATTGCGTCCTTTCTCATCAGCATTCTTTTCGGGTTTGGTAGCGTGGGCAAAAAATACTGCATCGCCCCTTTTCATGGTGGGAAGAGATGACAGTTCAGAAAGCAGTTCTAGCACTGTTTGCCCTGGTTTGCCTGTACAGATTTCACAGTACGGGTCCAGCTCAGCACGACGCACCGAACTGTGCGGGCAGGTCAGAGGGGCACGGGGACACAACAGCCGGGAGGAGCGAGCACGGTGGAAGCGTAGCAGTGTTGGCTCCGGGGTGAGAACAGCTGGTCGGAGGCAGGATTGAATCGCGGGCTGCATGCGCGTGGTGCGTTGACAGGCACCCTGCAGCCAAATGGTTTCACACAAGTGGTTCACTGCCACCGGCGAGGTGCATGAGTGGGGTAAGAGAGCACAGTGTCTTGGTTTCTGTTGTGTCCCATTTCGGGAAGCACAGCATGCTTATTCTCGACGTTGACGGGCGTGAGTGCGCATTAGCGGACTCGTTCCCAGTACACATACATCCCGGAGGCGTGCGCCCCGTCCGGTAAGCGCCCAAAGCTACAGATCCCTGTTTTTTGGATTTGGTAGGGCCTGTTACACAAGCTGCGTACCTAACCTAGATAGGTACTTGATCGGCGATGGCTGCCCATGGGACCAAGGCAGGGCATTTGGGTTCTGTGAATCGAATAATCTGCCCCCGATTGGGTTGCTCCTATGCGTTCGAATGCACATAACTCTACTGTGCCCCTTTTGAGTGGGGTTACACCCGTCACGGTGTCAATATTTGGGTTCTTGTAATTCAATACCGGTTGTCAAGTTGTGTGGATGAATCAGCAGACTCGCCTTGTTATGTCCTGCTGTCAGCATGATAGAGGTCCGCCACAACAGAAATGCAGTTTTGAAATCGCATTTATTACAAGTAGTGTCAGGTGCCTATTCATGCATGCTCTGGAGCCCGACGTCCTTCTGACCCCGGAATTTGCAGACAAACTTCCAATCCACGACAACTGTGCCTGCACCACGCCTGACATTGCCCTCTGCCTCTCAAAATCACAGTTGTTCCATCTCCCACTTCGTTTGCTCCACGTCACTTGTGCCTTCCCGAACTCATGCCTCGACCAAAGACTACCGCATCTCGTGCGCGCTTGGACGAGTGGGAGTTGCATAGAAGAGAACTCTCCCGTCTTTTCGTGGTGGAAGGACTACCGGTCGCCGCAATTGCCAAACACATGAAAAACGAGCGCGGTTTTGACAAAAGGTGGGACAGTTCCAAAGAAAATACTTGATCATGTAGATGTGTTCTAAACAGCAAAGTATTAACATGCAAGTCAGGCCAAAGGACTATGAGTACCGCCTTAAGAAGTGGAATCTCCGCCGCAACCTCCATGGACCAGAGTTGATGTCTATTCAGAGCCAACTGTCCCGCAGGAAAGAGGCTGGTCTATCTAGCGAAATTGTCGTATCAGGCATCAGATGGTCCGAGTCCATGGTTCGTGGGAGGCTTGAGCGGCATAAGTCCCCATGGCACTCCATTGGTGAGAAGTTCAGTGTTCGAATCTTTGTGACAGGTTTCGCTGATTGAATATGCTAGACGTATCCGCATTTCATAAACTCCCGGACTTCCTTGCTCGTGTCCAGACCCCGTCTCCACTGATGATGGGCCTCCCTGAATGGCCCAACAACTTACCATGGCTCCAGTTCAATCGGTCCATTCACGAAGGTGTGCAGTTTTCTTCATTCAAAGTTTCAGGTTGAACTGCAATCTGATCATGATATTCATAGCTCTAGCCAGCCTCACGAAGTCCACAACAGCTAGCCGAACGTGCCGTCTCCATGGAGAAGAGTCGCTATTGATTCAGATGATGCGTCCCTACGTTACCAAACTATGCCCAAAGAGAACAGAACCTCTGGAAGTTGCTGAGATCCACGCCCCGCGCAGAATGCGGGCTATGCTGGAAGTGACTGTCCCCCAAGCTCATGCAGGTGATCACGAGACCACTGCCGAGATCCTTCACAATGGCTCCTACGAATCACGCGCTGTCGAACTAGTCCGCTTGCTCATTTACTTGGAATCCAACAACATGATCGACCAATTTGAACAACTTCTAGGTTATCACGTCAACTTGGCAATCTCTTCGAACATGATGGACTTCCTCAGAGGGATTGGCTTTCTGACCAAGTCGAATATCAATTGGTTGCGAGGTCGTGCCGCTGTGACTGGCCAGATATTTCTTAAACGGGTCCTGGCCCATTCAATCCTTGACGAAAACAGCATCGATGTACTTGGATGGTTGATACCTGACATTTTCGATGTCAACCAACGCTGGGAGACCGCCGGTGTCCAGCCGCTGGGAAAGCACCAGTCATTGTATAGGAACGGACTTACTCTGCTCCAAGCCTCATGCTTGGCAGAAAATCTCAACGCAGTCAGACTCCTCCTGAACCTTGGTGTAGACCCGTTTGGCACCATCGCTTCACCAGAAGAGGCACCTGTCAAGCTCGCAGCAGACCTTGCATGTCAGGATCGTGCAACAGCGATCGCAAACCTGCTGTTGTCCACGAAGTCGAGAATCTCAGCAGAGATTCGGAAGGAAGCGCTGCGGTGTGCGCTCCAGCAGGCAATAGCACGCTCCCACAGAGAACTCATCAAGATGCTACTCTCGGAAAGTGAGCGACTAGGTGATGGGGCTGTCTGCTCGGAGGATTTCACCATCGCTGCGAAGCGTGCAGATTGTGCGACCATGTGTCTGCTTATTGACAACGCTTCACGCCATGCTGGCGGGCCTGTTCATCTTCCTGAAGACATTTTATTCTCAGTCATGTCCGTTACCGGTCAACGAATCCACACAATAACTCGTGCCGATCAGATAGTCGAAGTGTTAAGCTATCTGCTGGATCTTGGCGTCAACCCAAGTGCACCAAGATGTAAACATGATTGTATTGGGAGTTTTTGTATAGAATTTCTGATATTTTTGGAGATACCAGGAGTCGAGAATTGGAGGAATGACACCAAACTAGGAGAGGATCGCGTTTTGAAGATGATAGAGGCCATGCGGAAACATGGCTGTCCGCAAGAGAGACCACTTGCAAGCACCGCATCAACTGGAAAAGACAGACCATCATCTCTTCAAGCGGCCATAAGTCTCGGTTACACTCGATTAGTTGAATACCTTCTCGACTGGGGGGCCGACATCGACTTTGTCAAAGACGAGTCCAGATCAACAACACCCACATATAAGGATTGCCAATTTGAGAAGGCGTTCTCATTCCTACACATCCGCGGGTGCTCACCACTCCTCACAGCATTGGAATATGGACAGGGAAGTATCGCGAAGATGCTCTTGAGGCGGAAGCCCAATCTGAAGCTTCATGGGGGCGAGATCTTGCTCGCAATACAGAGGTGTGATGACCCTGAGCTGGTGGCCATACTATCCCTGGATCCGGGTGGAACAGCGACCGACGATCAGTGGAAAAGCTTGCTTGAAGAAGCCGTTTTGATGCGGAGGCCCAACTTGATCAAGTTCCTATTACCCATGAACGCGGATGGCCGTACAAAGATCAGCCCAGCAACAATTATGCGGGCCGCGTTGGTGATTGGAGACTATGACAAAGCCTACCGACTGACGACAGTGTGCGACTATGACTCTCGAACATTGTTTGAAGCCGTGCTGCAGTCACAAAAGGTCAAGAGGTATTATGCTATCGTGGAGCGCCTTCTGCAGATGCGACCAAACGCACGGAATGATGGCTTTGAGATTCGGGCGGTGGCTTGCGCCGCCGTAAACCATGACACGCATCTTTTGCGGTGCCTCATGAAAGTTTTAGGACAAGGGCCGTGGATTGCGGCATTCCCACGCGATGGAATTCCTCCGTCTGAATGGGTACCTGGTTGGCGTGGCGTGGCTCATTATAGAACGCACATTCTCCCTTTTGCTGCCAAACTCACTAAACCCTTCGATGGCGACAAGATCTTGGAGGAGTTGTTGAAAGCCAATGTTTCTGCAAAAGACTGGTGTCTTGATGACACGGAGGATTTGCCGTCACTGTCAGAAGAAACGTTGAATTGCTTGTTCGCCGCCGGGCTTGACCCGAACCAACCGCGCCTTCTGTTTCACGCGGTGGCAAACGACATGTTGGCGCATGCCCAGGCTGTCTGCGACGCAAAGGTAGACTTGAAAGCAATGCTTAATTTGGATACACGAAACTTATATGGTAGCAGGACTGCGATACAAGTCGCTGTTGAATGGGGGAGCCCTGAGATGCTTCAACTGCTACTACATTACGGCGCTGATGTGAACGACCCTGCTGGGTATTACTGCGGAGCAACTTGTCTCCAGCTCGCTGCTGGACAAGGAAATATTGGCATTGTCCGCTTTCTTCTTAACAAGGGTGCCAAGGTCAATGCAAAACGGTCGCTCTGCTTTGGGAGAACCGCGATTGAAATTGCCGCTGAAAATGGCAAATTGGATGTGTTACAATTGTTGTTAATGCAGGAGGAGCATCACTTCCGAACAGAGGCAGAGCGGTACCAATTCATTCGCGCGGCCAAGATGGCGGAGCAGAGAGGGCATCCATGTTTGATCAAGATGCTCCAGCAGCATATCAACTGGACCAGCGGTGACCAGAAACTGTTTGACGAGATGACGGGTTGTCGATCGTTCGAAGTGTGTCTTGATGATATGACACAAAAGGTATCTGAGAGCGAGAAACGCGACAAATTCTTCTGGGCAGACATTCAAGATTCCTGGAGTGAAGCCGAGTTGCCAGACATCTACGACACAGAGGGCATCGAGCAGTGGATCGGCGAGCTACCTGATGAACAGGTCAACGACTATTTCGATTCTGATTCTGAGATCGACTTCAGCTGTGAAGAAGAAGAAGAAGGCAGCGCACATTCGAGCGAATCGCTTGCAACGGCTAGACCACAGCCCGCACAATATGACGAGTCTGAATGGGACTGCGATCATCACGCGACATGCTGGCCAATGCACGACAACATCAACGATTTGATGGAAGATGTACTTTTAGAAGGGCCGCATGGTGATCGCGCAAGCCAAGAACCAGGCACTCCATTGCGGGCGTTGTCGTGCAACCAAGAGTGGCGCCAAGTAGAGGCAACTCTGGCTCCTCTGGCTACTCGACATGACCACACGGTTCCCACATGGCTTCATATGGAAGAGAACGTGCACACCTCGGCTGATAAAGCGATGCTGGAAGACTCAGAACAGCGACCAGCACCATCAAATTTGGACCACAGCTGTGGCAGGGCGTTTGGCGAGGTCCAGCAATTGCAGAATGGTGACCTAGGCGATGAAGTCGTTTGCCCCGTTAACACAGAACCAGTCGATGGCGACTGGCAGGATTTCATCGACTGGGGGCTTTTGGACGAGCAGTGAATTCCAATGGTTGGGAGCTTACTACCTAGAGAATGACTGAAGCCTTGTCAAGAATAGCACGTTGGGATGACTGCTCAATGGTTTACTACTTCTTGCTTTTTCTCAAATCAAGTATTGAAAACGATGTAATCATACAATTCATTTATGGTGCATGATCAGAAGAAACGAAATTGAGGAAAAGAAAACCCCGCCACATGACGTCCCGACGTCCATTCAAATTATAGACCTGATGATCTCCCCAGCCCTATTCAGAGCCTCGCAGTACGCATCAACCTTGCTCGCACCGCCCGTAATAGAGATATGAACCTTGTGCTCCCTGATAGCATAGCTCATCCACAAGGCATCCTCCTCGTATAGACACAGAGCCGCGTCTTCCACCTCAGCCTCATTGCGCACCTGGAGCACTCGTCCAGGGAACGCCCGCCAGAACACCGGATCCGTGAAGATAGCCGGCTTCTCCTCCCCCTCAGGCAGCATCCCGCCCAACGTGTCCCACATGCGCAGGAACCCGCGGCCCTCGGCGCCGCGGCGGAACTGCTGGTCCCACTCCGCAGCAGCCCGGGCGAGGCGCTCCTTGAGGGCCGCCCTGTCACCGCCGCCGTGGCCGTCAAGCACGGCCTCGCAAAAGTCCACGACCGCGTCCGTGACGACCTGGACCAGCTCCGGCCGGCCGCGGTGGAAGTGCTGCGTGGCCACGGGCTCCCAGCTGCCGGGGTTGTGGCCGAAGTGGATCCGGTTCGCGAGCTGGATGGCCATGTCGACGCAGGCCTTTGCCGTCAGGCCCGACTTGACGGTCGCCGCGATGCCCAGGGACGGGATCGTGTGCAGCGTGTACTTCTTCTTGGCCGTCTCGCGGGAGTACACGCCGCGCAGCTCGGCCATGCGGGCCTCTATGGCTGGGGTCGTCTGCAGGGTGAATCTGGCGGCCGGTACGGCGTTGTTGCTTGCTGAACCTGCTGAGGGGACGTGCGACTGGATGGCGTCGTGGATGCGCTCCGTCAGGCGCACGAGGGTCAGCCCGTCCACCATGGAGTGCTCTGACAGCTGGGCCGAGCGGCCGTTGGCCGAGACGAGGAACTGCGTCGCCTTGTCGTACCACCTGTTGAAGCCGGTGCCGACGTAGCACTCCCGTACCCGCTCCTCGTTGGTGATGGGCTTGCCGTCGTCGAGGCAGACCACGAATGATGCCCTCTCGATGGCCTGAATATACTCCGCGTTGGACCCACTGAGCGAGACGAGAACCGCCCGGTTGTCCGCCCAGGGATCGCGGAAGTCGGACGTGAGGATGCCCGCCCAGCAGTCATCCTCTAGGTCAGTACGATCAAGGATGCCCTGGAAGGTAGCCTTCAGCCCCTCATACGAGACATCCTGGCCCTCATGCCGGAGAGGGACGGTGAACAAGTGCCCCCTCCTCAGTACGGCGCAGTAGTCATTGCCGGGATACCTCCGCATCTCGTCGCAGCCGGGCTGCGGCTCGCGCACCGTGTTGAATATCCAGTCCCACGAGTAAGAGCAGATGGGCCGGCTGCCGAGCCAGTCCTGGCCCACGGTCCTGGCGACGACTTCCTTCTGGAACTGGAACGCCACGGTCGAGACGAGCGCCGCGCGCTCCGCCTGGCCGTGAGGCTGGGGGCTGTCGTAGTGCGTGTTGAGGAAGTTGCCCCACGGGGCGAGGGGGTGTCTGCGGGTCAGATACAGCCCCTTGAGGTGCACGTCTGCCAGCCAGCTGTCGATCTTTGGGTCGTTGGCCCTCTCCCTGAGCTGGGCGTGCAGCTGCCGGCCGATGCTGCCCGGGGCGGTGAACTCGCGCACTGCCTGCTGGAGGCCCCTGAGTTCCTCGCCGTTCTTGGCGAACCTGGAGACGTTCTGTTCAAGGTAGGCCATGGTCTCCTCCAACTCTAAAAGGGGATACTTCGGGAGCTCGTTCGACGCCTTGCAGCAGTTGAATCCGTGTGATGGCAGGGCCACCGCGCCAGAAGAAGCCTCTTCAGACGCAGAAGCATCATTGTTGGCCTGCCCAGCGTCCTCCGCTGCCGCCTTGAGCTCGTCACTTATGAGCTTAGATTTCTTGGTGACCAGCGAGGCAAGAGCAGCGATGCTCGGCGCGCTGGATATTTCCGAGGTCTGGACAGCCGCCTGCAAAGCCCGGATGAGCCAGTTCTTGAGCTCGATAGAGACGAGGGAGTCGAGACCTATCATGGCCAACGGCTGGTTGATGGGCACGTCGTCGATGGGCCGGTCGAGGAACACGGCGCACTTGGCAGCAATCGTGTCCTGGATCAAGGCCTCAGCCTCCTTAATAGATCCGGCTTGGCGTATGAGCTTGTCGACATCATTCGTTTTCTCGCTCGATTTCAGCCCCGCGTCGTCACCACCCAGTTGTTCTGGGTATGGTAGGCGACTGAACAACGGGTTTGTCAGGCAGACGTAGTCCTCGGCTTCTGTGAGGCCCTGCCTGGAGAGACCCAGGATGGACTGGCTGCAGCCGTCGAGCCTGGACTGTGGGCTCATGGCGTACCGGATGCTCCGGAACACGTCGTCAAAGGAGACCATGACTGAGTCCAGCCTGTTCGAACTTGCAAGCTTGGTAACTGCATCTGACCCTGCAACGGCCCCGAGGTCGATGCTGATGTAGTGAGTGTGGTGATTGTGGCCGGGTTTGTCCTTGCCGTGCGCGCGGGCAAAAGCATCCTGGAACTCGTTGGCAGCGGCGTAATTGGCCTGGCTTCCATTGCCCATGTGGTTGGCAACGGAGGACAGCGTTATGAAGAAGTCTAGCTGGGCCGACCGGAACGCCTTGTTGAGGTTCATGGTCCCGAGAACCTTGGGCCCCAGCGCGGATGAAAAGTCTTCCCGGCTCATGGCAGCGAAAGGGCGGTCCCTGAGGACCATGCCCGCGTGCACAACACCTCGGACAGGAGGCAGGCCCTCCTGCCTGCAGACCTCGAGACATGTCTGGAGGTCAGTCTCTTTCGTGACATCGCACTTGACTACGTGAACGAGAGATTGGTGTCCACATTGGTCCCGAAGGGCCTTGAGGTCCTCGCCGGTTATGCTGCGTCGAGATAGAAGCATGATGTGACCAGCTCCGTGCGCGGACATGAAAGCTGCAAGTCGCCTACCCAAGTCGCCCAGACCGCCTGCAACTACGTATGTGCCGTCTCGGGAGAGCTCTAGAGGCGGAGCGGGCGCAGTGGTTGCCGTCACAGTGGCATCCAGGGGTGACTCCAGCACGATCTTGCCAGTGTGCTTACGGGTACCAATGAGACGGAAAGCGTCTTCAATGCGTCCGATGGGGAGAGTATTCACAGGCACCGGGGCCTTGATGATTCTCTTTTCAAGGAGCGCCGAGACTGAAGAAAGAGTCTCATATACAAGTTCAGGCTGCTCCTTGCCAAGGACGACGAGGTCCACGCACGCGAACGTGAGACTCTTGTCAAAGTTCCTCATCTCGATGTGGCTGTTCTTGTAAATATCCGTCTTGCCGATCTCCACGAAGCTGCCGAGCTTGGCAAGGCAGTCGAAGGCTCCGCTGAGCATCTCGCCCGACAGTGAATTCAGAACGCAGTCGACTCCGCGGCCCTTGGTGAGCCGCATGATGCCGTCCTTGAAGCCGGGGCCCCTGGACGAGAAGACGTGGCTCTCAGGGATGCCGTAGCTGTCCATGACGAGCTGCTTCTTTGCCTTGGATCCGACCGTGACAAAGATTTCGCTCGCGCCCGCGTGCTGGGCGAGCTGGATGGCGGCCTGGCCTACGCCTCCTGAGGCAGCAGCAATAAGGATAGACTGCCCCCTCCGGAATTTCGCGGCATTGAAGAGCGAGTAGTAAGCCGTCGCGTATACTACAGATATCGCGGCCCCATCTGCAAACGGCATGCCAGATGGGAGGGCATGGGCAAGGTTACCGCTGATACGAGGCTGGCTGGCAAATGGCGAGGCCCCGAAGCCAAAGACACGGTCGCCGGGCTTGTATCTGCTGGCCATGTCCTGGCCGACGGCGGTGACAACACCTGACACTTCGCCGACCATGTTCACGCCGACACGCATCTGTCCCAGGGCGACAAAAACGTCCTTGAAGTTGACACCGTGGGCGCGCGCCGAGACTTGGATCTCCCACGGCTGGAGCGGAACCTTGGCACTACTCGCCGGATCGTCGACGAACCGCAGACTGCTCAAAAGGCCGGGTGTACCCACTTCAAGCTTGAGTGGCCTCCCGAGTTGGTGATAGGAGGCGCTCGGCTCGAGAGCTGCTGTCTTGGACGAGGTGTCTGCACCGACTGTGTCGGCCCAAGCCTCGAACTTTGTATTCGTCACCAGCCGGGGAATCTGAAGCTCGCCGTTCGAGTATCTCAGCTCGCGTTCATAGGACTCCTCGTCAGCGGACAGAGAAGATTGTGTGCCCTCAACGAGATGGTGGCACACACTCCTGACAACTTCATCGTCACCAAATTCGGTGGTTTCTTCGATGTCGAAGGTGATGAGTCTGCTGGTGGCGCCGTTCTCCCGTCTGAGAACTCTAGCTGCGCCCTGAATCATGCTTCTCTTTGCCGAGACTACTGCATTTCCGTAGCCTTCTTGGAGAGAAACCCAAATAACTGACAGCCCGGATGTCAATAGGCGTCTCATAGAGTCAAATACCTCAGACCTTTCGGTGAGAAGCAGGCTATGCTCCGCCACGTCGATGATCATGACGGGGCCGGTCATGTTCCAAGGCTCCATGGCCGCAGCATCCTCAATGCTCTGTGAATATACCCAGCCCCTGTGACCCTTCTGATCGGCCGTTTCCAGGAGACATCGTGTCAGGGCCTGAATAGACCGCGACCCGCTGCAGCCCTGGACGATGGTCATACCGTCGAGGGATTGTGATAGCGATGAACCCAAGCCCTGATGAGGAGATGCAGGCTGGACCACAGGAGATGAGACCATCAGCGATGAGCGACCGGTGGTTGAGCAATGTTGGCCATGAGAACAGATTTCCAGGCCAGTAAATCCTTGCTGGCGGAAGAGTCCATCCCATTCGGTCGTCTTCAGGAGATGACGCTGTCGAACCGGCTCGTCTTCATCTGCCCGCCAGGTTGGGAGGATGCCCAAGACCATGTCCAGGGCGACACTGGGCTCAGTGAGAGCTGCCACCATCAGCTTGCCTCCAGGACGCAGAAGCTTGTGCGCATTTGCGAGAGTTGAAGTCATGTCATTGGCTGACAGGACAACATTGGCAATCACCACGGCGTCGTACGTCTGGGCCTCGAATCCCTGTGTGGAAAGGTCCCCGTCGGCATACAAGACTTTAAAGTCAATGTAGCTGAGCCATTCAGATAAGTTGCTCTTGGCCTTGTCGAAGCACTCAGCTGACGTATCGGTGCAGGTATATCGGTCGAGCCAAATCGAACCATCCTCTCCCTTGAGCGCCTGAAGCAGTTGACCAGTTGCTCCGCCCGTGCCAGTACCGATCTCAAGGACTCTCATGTGTGGCTTCTTGAACGAGAGAAGGCGTAGATACTCAACCATGTGCTGGTAAGTGTTCGAGAACAGACTGCTGTTGTAGAGCTCTTCGGGCAAAGTAGCCTCGTCCATCAGACTAGTGGCGTCGAATTTCCCAAGCAGGATATCGGCAAGCTTCCGACCAATCTTAGCAACCATCTTGCCCTCGAAACCGAGGTTAAGAGAGTATTCTGCATCTTGTACTATGCGAGCCTCGTCCTCAAAGCTGAGGTCTGCAGTTAGATTGTGAAGCTCGGGGGATGTACTGCACTTCTGCATCCAGCTGAAGAGCCGGTCCAGGTGAGGCTCGGTTATTGAAGGTGGCGTAACAGTTCCGCTGGTGTTCAGGGTCATGTTCAGCTTGAATAGAGCATGCCGGATGAAGATGTACGCTGCCTGTTCGACGCGCTGGTAGTCACTGATGAAGCTCTCTGTACTGTCAGGAGCTTCTGCACCCTGCTTCTGCTGCCTGTTGATCCATTCGAGGAACTCGGAAGTCCCTAGAGAGTCGGCATCAATCTTCCACTCGAACTGTCGAGGCTGCTTAGCCTGGTTGCTGCCCTCGGTCTGTTCAGCCGCTTGACCTGAGCCGAATGACCGCAGCACGTATTGACTCTGCAGGGCAAGTGAGAACTCCCCGGTTGTTTCGCTCTTCTGGAACACGTATGCATCCGTGATGCACGACTGCAAATCTGTAAGGTCTCGGTCCAGGGCGGCCGCAATGACCAGCTCAGTGCCGGGCTTGCACAGGCTGACGCAGTCTGTCGCCACAAGGTTCATGCTCGCCACCGCGCCGATCACGACTGGAGCGTTGTTGTTGAATCTCTGGAAGAGTTGGGCTCCAATGTGACTGATGGCGTCCAGTGTCGATGGGTGAATGAGATGGGGCTGCGGGACGTGCCCAGGCATGTGCTCCGTCATGTCCGGCACTGTAAGCTTGGTACACGCCATGGTCCCGGTGGCATTCAGGTGCAGATCATGTAGCAGGGCGAAGCTGGTCCCGTACTGGTTTCCGTGCATGTCCAGCTTCTGGTAGAATGTCTCCTTCGTTACGATCTCGTCGTTAGAGGCGCAGGCTTCCTGGATGTCTTGAAATGCAGCCAGAGACGCCGCTTGACCCAGATCTCGGTCGACCATGTGGTCAACCTCGGTGACAGTGGTGTCTGTGTCGTAACTCACCAGGCCGGTGCAGGCCTCGTCCCATGCATCATTGCTAAACGTCAATACCCGGAAGGTAAGCCACCGGCCCGTTACCTCGTTAGAGGGACTAAGTGTCAATTGCAGTTCTATATCCGCCTCATGGTCATCTTCCGGAATCGAAATGGCCTTGATAAATTTGACGTCCTTGAATGCGAAGTTTTTGACAGTGTCTGGGGCGCCCGTGGTAATAGTCTTGCTCTTGCGCAGCTGAATGAGCTGCTTGACGGCTTCAACGGCCATGGCCATATACCCAGATGCCGGGAAGATTATGGAGCCGTCTATCACGTGGTCCTTCATCCAAGGGATGCTATTCATGTTGAGGAAGTGGCGCCAGCGAGGTTCCTGGACACTGCAAGACGGGTCTAGCAGACCGCAGAGGTCGTTCCAGGGAAACTGTCGGAACCGCTGCGCCGAGCTGAGGCGAGACTCACGCCAGAAGGAACCCGAGTCTTCGGCGAATGGATATGCCTTCAGATTGCTGATGATCTTCGGGCTGTGCGACTGACTTGCAGACACCATGGAAGAGAGTTTCTTCCTGTTGACGGGGACCCCCAGCTCGATCAGGCGGCCGAGCATGGTGAGTGTTGTCTGCAGCCCGTCTGTCTGGCGGACGAGTGGCGACAGATACGTGTACTTGAAGTCTTCGGAAGAGGCGAGGGTCTGCTTCGCTGGTCCAGCAAGCGCAGCTGAGGGCCCAATCTCGACAAACACGTAACCATCCTTGCGCCTGTCATTGGCTTCTTTCATCTCGTCACGAACGAGCTGAATGCCAGTGACGAACTCCACGGGGGACACGAGGTTATCCACCCAGTATTGAGAGTCGAAGTCCTCATATTTTCTGCACCCATTCACTGTGGAGAAGAACGATACGCCAGCGCGAGTGCGGCCGTGGCGCGTCTGCTGACATGCAGATTGGTACGCGCCTGCAATTCTCTGCATGTGGTGCGAGTGGTACGCCTGGTCGACGCGCAGCTTGCGGGCAAAGATAGACTCCATGTCCAGCAGGGCCTTGAGCTCGTCGATGGCGCACTCGTCGCCCGAGATGGTCGTGCTCTGTGGGCTGTTGACACAGGCAATAGAGATGAGACCAGTGGCCACCCTTGACAAGTACGGCAGCACGCCGGCTCTGCCCAAACCAACCGCAAGCATTGCTCCTGGTGTTCCCCGGCTGGCCTCTCTGCCCCGACTGGAGCAGTACCCACGGTAATATGACCTGGAAGCAAGTGTTCAAGTTAGTTAAGATTTCTAGCATACCTAGGTACCTTCATGCCATTGAGGATACGAGTACATATTCTGGACGCTGCGTGGTAAGGGCAAGAGAATGTGATACACTTACAACTCAACGGCAGCGAGATGATCTAAACCACCAGCGGCGTAAGCGGCGGCGATCTCACCAGAACTGTGGCCCACAACAGTTGAGGCATCAACACCAAGGCTGCGCAAGAGGTCAATGAGCGCGATCTGCAGACATGTGGTCGCAGGTTGCGCGATCTCAGCCTCCCCGAGTCTGGAAGGGCCTGTGCTAAACATCTGCTCCTGTAGAGACCAACCCCTTGCAGATGCCCCCAGGCCGGCCAGAATTCCCTCCGATTTGAGGACAGACTCCCTGAAGGGCTGCAATGGCATCAGCTCGCGACCCATGCCAGCCCACTGTGCGCCCTGACCGGTGAATACAAAGGCTAGGCGAGGGGTGGTCGAGGCTTTCACGGGTCGGACCGACTCCAGCAGCGACCTGAGTTGTTGCATGTCTGAGGCGATGATGCTGGACCGCCAGGGCAGAAGCGTTCGCCGCGCTCCTAGTGTATAAGCCAAATCATGCAGCAGTTCGGTTCGATGGCAAGCGTCGTCTGTGTTTCTGGCATGCTCCGACAGCCACGCACTGATGTCCCGAGCGGAGGCCTTGAGAGCTTTCTCTGAGTTGGCGCTCAGGAGATACAGTTGAGTGCCCGACTCCAGACCATCGTTAGATCCAGCACCGTTCACATGTCTGTCGAGCGGCATGCTGACATCAAGTCCGTTGGCCAGCGACAGACGATGGGCAGCTCTATAGGAGTCTAAGCTTTCGAGGATAACGTGGCAGTTCGTTCCGCCGTATCCGAAGCTGTTGAGGGATACTCGGCTGGGTCCAGCTCCCAGAGGTGTCGGGTGGATGGGGATCTGTCGTTTGTGCAATGTGGTGAGCATACTTCCAAGTTCAACTCAATGTGAGTGTGACTTACGGTGATGTTCCTCTCGGCCAATTTCAATGACGACTTTGGCTCAATGAAGTTCAGCTGTGGTGGAATGATGCCCGTCTTCAGCACAAGAAGTGACTTGATAAGACCTGCAATTCCAGCAGATGCTTCGAGATGCCCAATATTAGATTTCACCGAACCAACGTACAAGTCTTCCGCTCGAGTTCGACCTTCGCAGAAAACCGAGTAGATGGAGCCAACTTCTTCCTTGTCGCCTACGCTTGTGCCCTGTGAGAGGTCAGCTGTCTGCATCCAGATTGGCAGAGTATTGCCAGCGCCCAACTTCCGCAACTGCGCTTCTATGACTTACGGTTCCATGGGCCTCCACATAATTGGTCTGCGCGGGATCCAAGCCTACACTCGCGTACACCTCTTCCATTAGGACTCTCTGAGCCTCTCCGCTCGGGGACATGATGCTGCCCGCGGTGTATCCGTCTTGGTTGATTCCAGAACCGACGACGACGCCGTGGATTGGATCTCCGTCCTCCAGAGCTTTGTCCAACAGCTTAAGCACGATGGTCGCAACGCCCTCGCCGCGGGCATAGCCGTTGCCACGGGAATCGAAGGCGTAACAATGGCCGTCAGGATTGACCATCCTGCAGAGCAATATGTCCTTGTCAGCACCAAAGTACCTCCAAAGGCTACATGAAATAGCTACCAGTGCAGTCTTGAAATGAAACACTGCAGGGGGAGAGATTTCGGTTGTAATCATGACTCACCCAATGGCGCTCATCGTTGCAGATTGAGAAGGATCTATCAGTAATTGTGAACCACCGACAACAGCCATGTCAGACTCGCCAAGACGTAAACTCTGGCATGCTTGGTGGAGGCAAACCAGGCTACCGGACTAAATGATGTCGAAGCAAACGGCGGATTAGCAGACTGTCTGTTTGACCAGGGTTGTTTGAGAAGGACATACGCAACCTGTGTCAACTGTAACCGACGGACCTCGCAAGTCAAAGGCATAGGAGATCCTGTTGGACAGCATGGCCATGCCGGTACCAGCAGTGTGATTCCCACTGACTTGAGAAAGGTCCTTGTACCCCATGCGTTGGTAGTCGTATACAAAAGAACTGATATAAACCGCGGTCTTGCTCCCTCTGATGTCTTCCAGGGGCATCCCAGCGTTTTCCAGAGCTTCGTAGGTGGTCTGGAGTAAGATGCGCTGCTGAGGGTCCATTGCGTGAGCCTCCTTGGGTGGGACCCCGAAGAAGCGGGCGTCGAACTTGGCTATGTCATCTCGAAGAAAGTACCCATTCTTGGCCACCAGCGACTCTGGCGCGCCTGCGTGGGTGTTGTGGAAGGAATCGCGGTTCCACCTGTCGGCGGGTATGGGACCCCAGCCAGAACCACCGTTCAGCAGTAGGCCTTCGAGTTCCTCAGGGCTGCTGGCGCCTGGGAAACGACAGCTGACGCCGACGATGGCAACTGGGGGAGGAACAGGCATGATGGAATCTGGCCCTGATAGGTCATACGGTACGAGGGAGAGAATGGAACCCAGGAAAAGGAACGAATGCAACCGCTTCTGCTCATGTATCACAGAGGGCGAGGAAGGACCTTGGGTTCCCAGTCGGCGATCACCCAAGTAATATGTGGCAAACGGAGACGAGCTTCAGGTTGTAAAACTCACAGAGCTACAGGGTTCGTGGCGTTGGAAGAGTGGGCACTTAAGAGCCACTTCAAATGACCAAATTTATCAACCTGCCAGTGGCTTGAACCATTCACCCGTCTGAGCAGCTTTTAAACCCTTTGTTGGGACGAAGTGGTTGCAGCCCTCAAGTAACTGCAATCAATTTGTCACATGTGCGCAGTTTTGGAATTCGCTCCCTGGAGGTCCGGATCAGCCTCAACGAGTCTTGTGAATGTGAAACTCGAGACGGACCTTCCCACGCGGTCAGGATCACCTTAGTACCCCCACTGTTCCACTTACCAATGTGCACTGTTTACACGTCCTGGGGGCCATTAGAAGCTCAACAAACGCGTCCCTCTTCGGGTCCTGGGCCAGATGCTCGAGACGGAAAAACTGTGTACAAACATCACCAGGAATTTCGAATTTCGAATCCCGACAATAAATCATGGCGAACCAACGTCAGACCAATAGAATAGAATGCACGAAAGCCTCATTGATAGGATCATTGATAAATAATATAAATTATTCCCAGTAATTCGTAATCATACTAATCGTGTATCATCGACCAGGTGGCTTGGTAGATAAGGGACGCGGAAGCTGGACGCGTTTTGCACGCTCATAACAATGTCGGTATCATTAAAATGAGGTAGTGAAAGCGCCTCACGAAAATATCTAGGTTGAAACGAGATATTCCAGCGGTGCTGGTATTTGAAAAGAGTTGACACGCGGAATAATCCGAGACATGTGTAACCTCCCTGAAGATCACCCATTGGTATGCAGTTTCCTCCATTTATCTTATGACGATACGCCAGTAGGTTTCAAACTCGTCATTGCTCAGGGTCCTCCCATTAAGTAAAGTTCAATGATCGGAACTGGCCGGTAAGATTGAATGTAAATCACATGTGTCTTGCGGCCGAGTTGGGCCGGGATGAGCACAATTTTATGTTGTCAAACAATCTTACCTAGCGGCAAGCAGTGTGCTAGCACATCACAGTGCATCCCAATTCGCTTCCAGCCACAGTATATATCTACCTACTGCTAGGTAGGTCAAGCAGCAGAGATCTACTGACCTGAATCAACGTTCTGGCCCCGTTCTCCTCCCCAAAGCCGCAGATCTTGAACTCGTCATGCCTTTGATAACGCGGCTGATCGTACGCGATAATGCGCTCGCCTGTCTGCCAAAGGTGCCATCGGACGAGGTTTACCCTCTGCATTTCTTCGATGACCAAAAGGTCTATCACAACTCTCATGGCGTGTGGATGCTGCGATTCGACGATGTCTTGGACCCGACCATAGTCTACGCGGCCTTTGAGCGGCTTTGTTCGCTGCCCGGATGGCGCAAGTGTGGTGGAAGGCTACGGATGAATGTGAGTAATCCTCTCCTGAAAACAGACATCAATAGAACAATTGCTGATTGGTGATGATAAGGACCGCAATAAGCTGGAGGTCCACGTGCCCGAGAAGTTCACCTCCGCGAGGCCTGCATCGATGCTTACCCGGGTCTCATACGGGGACATTAGCATCAACGAACACCCAGTGGCATCCAGCCTCCCTAGGGAGACTGCCGTCCCTTGCCTGCAGTCCGGCCCGACAGACTTCCTGAGCCTGTCCATGACCCCCCGGACCCCCGTGTGCCTGGAGGACTACCTCAAGTCGGACATGCCCCTTTTGAACATGCACATTGTCACTTTTAAGGACGCCACCCTGGTGTCCATGACCTGGCCGCACGTCCTGGGAGACATCATGAGCGCGTCCGCGATATGCGAAGCCTGGAGCCTGGTCATGGCAGGCCGGGAGGCCGAGGTGCCCGCCTGCCTCTCATCCGGGCACGACGACGTCCTCGAGAAGGCCGGCCACCACCCAGCCTTCAACGACAAGCACATGATGGAGGGGCAGCAGCTCAAGGGCCTCTGGTTCATGGTGTGGGTGGTCAGGTACTTCCTCGACATCTTCTGGTGGTACAGGCAGGAGAGCCGCACCATCTACCTCCCCCCCAGGTCAGTCACCAAGCTCAAGGCCAAGGCGATGATGGAGATCAAGGGCCAGAACCCCGAGGCGAGACCGTCGGCCGCCTCGCACGCCACCCAGTTCGTCAGCACCGCCGACGTCGTCTTCGCCTGGATCATATGCCTCATGGGCCGGGCGACCTTCTCACCCCGCTCCAAGCGCTCCGTCATGATCGGGTTCCCCTGCGACGTGCGCGACCGGGCGCCGTCCATCTTCACCCCCGCGCAAAAGGAGAGGGGCGTGTGGGTGCAGAACGCCTCGCCGCCGATCCTCCAGACCGTCCCGGCGCGCGACGTCGTGTCGGAGCACGGCATGGCCAAGGTCGCCCAGTCCATCCGCCACGCGATCACGTCGCTGGGCACCGAGGCGCAGATCCACGCGCAGTATGCCCTGGCGAGGGACAGCTACCGGAAGAGCGGCCTCCCGCCGATATTCGGCCGCATTGACCAGTTCCCTGTCAACGGCACCAACTGGACCAAGGCCAACTTCTTCGAGAAGGTCGACTTTAGCCCTGCTGTTGTCCACCAGGTCAATGGCGTCACCGAGAAGACGGGCAAGAAGGTCAGGGACACCCTTGTCAACGGCAACCACGGCCGCAAGTCAGCTGTCGGAAAGCCAGTGTATCTTCATGCCAACGAGCTGGCCCCTCCTGGCTCCCGTCAGCCGCTTTCTCGAAATCTCGCATACCTCCTTGGGACCCCAGCAGGCGGTTACTGGGTCGTCGGCAAATTCCACCCCATCGTGTGGAGGCAGATTGAAGGGGCTCTTGCCGCCATGCAATAAAATTCTTGGGCTTGTTCAGAGGTATAGGTGAGATGTTCTGGCAACAACTTTTTGAACTCATGTATCTCATAAGAGGGAGAAAATCGTGTAATTTCCTGGTCATCGGCACTGTATTTTCTTAAACGCTGGGTCTTCAGCGTTACCACTGTATGAAGGCGCCGCATACATTCTATATATATGGGGATCAAAAACGAAACCACCTATATACATGGGGATTAGGAAAGAAACCACTTTCTGGTCATCGAAGGCGACCATTCTGAAGACAGCTTCACATTCTGTCTTTCTCCTATATTCCCCTGTCGACCGATTTTAGTGGCACTGGATGTCTCGATCTTGAGTTTGACTCCAGCCTGCTGCACTCGAGTGCCTTGTTCCCGTTCCGCCGATTCCACATCTTATTGGGGCACTTAAAATAGTATGTAGTCGCAAAAGAATCACATGTGCATTGCCAAATCATCTACTCTGAATCGTACCACGTCCTGAGACTGCGCTCGTGAATGGTCAATGTTGTGAACTCGAAGCGCGAATCTGTCGCGCTCCCAAAAGCTTGAGGTCTAGTTGTTAGTCACTCGCGAGATCTGGAGGACCAAAAGGTTGTGTCGATCTCGGCGACGCGAGTCACATCATTTCCTCGTAGTAATTGCCCGGCACCTTCAGCCAAATTGCTCCAGGGTCTTAGCATTAGATGCTTCCTGTGTCCCAAGAAATCTTTGAACAGCTTTCATTAAGATGGCGCCCCTTCCAACAACTCATCAGCCACGTTCTAGTTCAGCAAAATATCAAGACATATAACTTGTCTGAGAAATCTCCCGCGACCTAGGTGCCCAAAAGCTCGTTTAAACATGTGGCAAACCGGCGACCGTCAACCTGTGAGAGAATTTGTTCTTTTTGGAATGACCTAAAGTGCCACGTGGGTCTCATTACGTGTCTTGGGCTAAGAATTTGGCACCCTCAAACGGCGGAATGATCAGCAGGGAGGGTCCTGACACGGCTCGCGGCAAACGTAATTTGCAGAGCGCGTATCTGTCTTCCCTCATTGTCATCCAGCCGCCGGCTAAATATTTTGGAGGTACGCCAATCCAAGCTCGAGAATTTGAGACCAGACAATCCACGGTGAGAACGCTCGGCGGGTCGTCCTCCAAGCTCGGGTTGTGACCCGGTGGGCAGACCCACCAGAAGGTGTAGCCGAAAGAGGTCACATGCCTAGTTAGTATGGAATTCGGCGAGAACGTTTGCTTAACAGTTTGGTTGGCCATCGAACAGTGGAATCGAGCAAGTTGATAGTATTGCTAGGTGATGCTCATTGGATAAGTAGCACATTGGTTGATTACCTAGGTACCATCACAGCCTTGCCCTCTCCACCGTGCACCTTACACTGCCATCGAAGACCAACCACCGGACTGATTGTATTACGATACAGACATGGATGACTCACCAAACGAATTCAATCCAGCACACGTAGCTTTTGCCTCAGTGGCCGTGTTCATAAATGAAGATGGAAAAGTTTGCAGCCTCGTTACCTAGGTGCACAGCCAAACTCCGGTGTCCCGAAGTGGACCAGCCGTGCTGGGCCGAATCGCAGTCATGAGAGTGAATCCTCCAAAGTTTGATCAGAGAGCATACCGGCTGAGGAGGCAATTTGACTGAAAGCCTTATTAACCAGGTGGTTAAGATTAACCTTAACCTGGTGCCATGACCTTTTGTAAGTGTTAGCGTGTGAATGATTCCACAGCTTTGAATGAGTGCAACCTACCAACTCGGTCATCTCACCGTCCTTATTAACCAAGCGTGATCTTTTGCAGAGGTCCACAGTTCCCTTCCCAGATATCCTTAGGTACTCGTCCAGCAGCCTTGCGGTACATGACATCGCCACTCCTCCAAACCCAGAGAACGTTATAGAAGTCGTAACTCGTGTCCCTCCATCCCAGAGGCAGGTCCTGCTCAACCAGATTCTTGGTGCATCCAAAGCCCCTGCGGAAGAAGGGCCCCTGGTCCAGCCCGGTGGCAGCCTCAGTCTCCATGTTCTTGTAACATTCAGAATCGCTCTCGGGATCGTCCCCCCACTGATCGTGGATGACATGCACCGACCCAGCCGCGTTTCTACGGACTGTCCGCGCCCATCGAGGTGATTTCCCCTGCCTCTGTGAGCTGCCCGATTCAGGGTCTCCACAATCCTCCGGTACTGTCCTGGGGACACTCCCAGGTAGCCCGAAATGGTAATGATCGCTGTTGTAGCTTCCAAATTGGAAGCAAGCGACGCGGTCGACCCTCTCCTCGTACAGCAAGGCCGCCTTGTGGTAGCTCGCACTGCCCCGTGAGATGGCGACGAGGTGGACTATCTGGCCGGCTTCGACATCCAGGTCGTCGTCCATCGACCGTAGAGTCCCGGCCCAGCGTTTTCGATCGTCCTCGAGCGTGATGACGGGGCAGCACTGCTCTAGTTCGGGCTGTTTGCTGTACAGCACCGTGTCTAGGACAGACACGTCAAAGAGGCCTCCATATCGTGGTGTGGGCGTCACCCTGACCTGAGGGACGAGGACCCGCCGAACCTTGAATGTGGCCGTGGTTGTCGTGCATGAGAGGAAGGGTGAGTTGGTCTGGCTATGGAGGTGTGGTTGTGGGAGTTGCGTGGGCAATGGATAACGATAGAGGGTAGCTGTATCCGATCCGTAGAAGTACCAGTCGCTCTGTCGTTGTTCCTCCTTCAATCTCACGGCCGGCGAGCCTCCGTCGTTTCCTACCGCCAAATAGGTCTCCGTAACTTCTTTATGAGACCATCCCGGAGGGTTTCCCACGCCGCGCGAGCCGCCTCCCATGAGCTCCTTGCAGCGCTCGAGAACCTCGGGCCCATGTATGCGCACCTCACTGCCGTCGGCGGCCAAAATGAACCAGTTCACAAGGCCCCTGGTAGTCGAAAGGTGCGGCACGAAGTACTTGTTGTTATTTCTCGCCTGGTGGATCTCATAATCAAGGCCGCTCTCCAGGCTCTTCGGGTCAATCAGACACTGCCAGCTGGCCCAGGACCAGGACGGCAGTGCCGAGCGCGGCGCGACGTTCTCGACGGACCCAACTGCCACCCGCCTTTTGGCCTTGTACCGAGGCTGCCAGAGAAGGCTGGCGTCGAGGAAGACGGCCGGCAGCCCGCAGACGAAGCCCCCCGGGAAGCCCTGGGCGAAGGCGTCAAGCACGCCGGAGATGGCGGGCAGTGCGTCTTGGTCATAGGTGAGACTCCGGTGGTTGTACCGGCATATTATCTCCATGTAGAGCCTGAAGTTGGGAATAGAGAGGGCAGCGATGTCCTGTGATAGCTGCCTGTCTGCTTTGTGGATTCTCGATTCCGTGCCGTCCGAGGAGAAGGCTGAATTCTCCGAGATGGGTTCCCAGAGCGCTTGTCTTGGAGGCTCGTGAGTATTGTCTGCTGAAGTCTGGGACCCAACCAAGGATTCGGACCACCACACAGCACCTTGGCAATCCCAGAATGCCGTTGCGTCGAGGAAGACAAGGGACCGTTTCGAGAGCACCTGCTCCTGGAAGGTCCACCCACGCGTGGCCCAGTGCGATCCAAGAAGAGCCCCGTGAAGAAGACCGGGGGATACCTGGCCCACTCCGTTCGTAACGCTATCAAGATTGGTGCCTGATCCGTATAACCCTTCCGAGTCCGCCGCCGCTATGATGGTGAAGTAGGCCCCGGAGTAGATCTCACGCATAAAGGAGACCTGGACAGCCGTGGTCTCGTCATGCTGGGCGATACACAGGCAATCAACCCAGAGATACCGCACACCACACAGCCGCACGAGCTCCATTGAGTCCCGGACAACCAGCGGGAGCTCCTCCACGACCCCAGTTCCGGGTGACAGGAAGCCCGGCTGTCTGAACCTGGACAGGTTGTCCCGCTGGAGCATCAGCCTGTCGGTCGGCGATGGCTGGCCCCCGCCCTTGCGCAGTGCAGAGCTCCAAACGTAGCTCAGGGCTGCATATCTGTCGACCGACCCACCCGGTACGATACAGCCTTCCCGGGTGTCGATGACCCAATCTGGGACATGGCTTGGCGATCTGTTGGCTATTGGTGTGGCGTGACAGCTGGGGCCGTGGAGCTCGTCACATTTCTGAAGGGCTTCTTGGAGTAGGGACACAAGATGTGCCGGTGGGCGCGTAAGGCCCATTCTCTGTTATGTGATGCTAAGAATGAGGACTGGTAAGCTTCCAAGGTTGTTAATGATGTTGTGCTCAGCTGAGAGCGGCCACGACGACGTGCGAGGGGAAGCCCGGTTGGTTCGGACCGAGAGCTTCTGTGTGTGCACACATATGTATGTATTCACAACCAGCGAACTCGCGGCAAAGGCATTGCATTACTTAGGTATGTGGGTGGCTTTTTGTCCTAACACTGCTATCGAAGGGTTAAATGCTGCAGTTGACCAACCGGTGTCGTCTATTTTGCCTGTTTCTTGGCAACTCGACACTAGCGGAGCTGAAAATGTGAAGGAGAGCCAAGTGCAAAGGTAGCCAATAGTGAATCCATGAGGCTTAGCACAAAGCAGGGAATCTAAGCACTAATAACCTGATAGTAGTATCAGCTGCACCATGTAGGCCGCTGCTTGTTGCCCCTCACGGAAAGGAGGCCAGGCACCGTGGTCATTTCGGCGCCTCCTCGTCCGGGGAGGTTATGAACTGGGCAACAGATTTCATCCAGGTCACGGCCGCTGCTCGATCATTGGGTTCTCATGTGAATAATTGCCATTGCATTATTCTTGCAAAAGCGACGCCACACGTGCCATAGGCGCATACCTAGATAGTCCATATATCACGACATCGTGAATGCCGAGATGGCCATTCTCAAAAGCCGCATATTGTTACAACTTTCAAGTAATTCGATACGCAGTAAAGTGTGGGATCAATGTATTTTAGAGCTCTTCTCTCTCCAGTACCTCTACAGTCGTCCCTCGCGTTGAGCTGCCCTCAAAGTCTGGAATTGTCGTGAGGACAGAGTCTTACTACGCTCACGGTGGTCAGCTTTGCCAATCTCGGCTGGGCTCGGTTGAACTTATCCCCCAAGACATGACCAGTAGCCCAAATCTGGGCCGGGCAGACAGACACCAGGTGCCTGGGAATGAGGCCTCTTACACTCCAACCCTGTATTTTTGTCAACCAGTGGCTTTTGACTTGTGTTGATTAAATATTGTCACTAAGCGTAGCAGAGGTACAACTTGCTCTGAACACACCGCCAGAGTATTGAACACCACCACACCAAAACGAATACATACGTGACCCATACCAACAAGCACTAAAATAATCCGTCGACAGCTCTGTAGCGATCAATTGACTCATGTGCAATGATCTCTACGCTTGGTAAGTCGAAGCCGAAACGTTGCCTCCCCGTCCAGTCCAGTCAACGTGGATATCCTCGCCCTTTGGATATCTGGCATTTGCAGCCTCAGGCTTCACTCTGAAAGTATGTGCGCCGAAGTAGTCGCGCTGTGCCTGTAGCAAATTTGCTGGAAGATCTTTCGTACGGTACCCGTCAAACCATGAAAGTGCGGTTGAAAAAGCCGGTATCGGAATACCAAGGAGGGCAGCCTTTGCAACAATGTTCCTCCAGCCGGGTTGTGCCTTATAGACAGCTTTGTTGAAAAAGCTATCAAAAAGAAGGTTCTCCAATTCAACGTTATTTTGGTAAGCTGTTGTAATGTTCTTTAGAAAGACTGAGCGGATGATGCACCCGCCACGCCACATGAGGGCGATTGAGGGCTTATTGAATTTCCAGCCGTATTTTCGTTCGGCCTATGAAGGTTTGATCTTAGTTTAGCAACTGAATCAGCAACACTCGCGTTGGGTAATTGAATTACCTCCTGTATGAGCATGAATCCCTGGGTGTATGAGATGATCTTCGACGCGTAGAGGGCTTGTTCAAGGTCTTCAAGGAACTGCTCCTGCTCCTGCCCCTTGTTACTGTCACAGACATTGAGGCGGCTAATAAATTTGAGCTTGGTCGATGCCTCTGTACGCTCTTCTTTCATAGCAGATAGATTGCGGGTAAGGACAGCCTCCGCGATTAGGGTGACAGGAACACCAAGGTCGAGAGCGTTTGCAGCTGTCCACTTCCCAGTACCCTTCTGACCGGCCTTGTCAAGGATCTTGTCGATGATAGGGGAGCCTTCTTTGTCGTCAAAGTTGAAAATATCTCGCGTGATCTCCATCAGGTATGAGTTGAGCACACCTTGATTCCACTTAGCAAATGTATCGCTGATTTCCTTGTTGTTCATTTTCAGGCCGCGCTTCATGATATCATACGCCTAGTGCTGTCAGTCAGATTCATCTTTCAACCAGACTTTCTCAAGCGTTTAATTGTCCCATACCTCACAGATAAGCTGCATATCACCATACTCAATGCCGTTATGCACCATCTTGACATAGTGGCCAGCACCTTCATCACCAACCCATTCACAACAGGCTTCCCCTTCACTCTGTGCGGCAATACTCTGAAAGATATGCTGTACAAAGGGCCAAGCCTCTTCATGCCCTCCAGGCATTATTGAGGGACCTAAGCGAGCCCCTTCCTCGCCACCGGAAATACCAGCGCCGATGAATCGCATACCCTTAGGGGCAAGATATTTGGCTCTTTGGCTCGATTCAGAGAAGTGGGAGTTACCGCCGTCAATAATAATATCCCCCGCTTCGAGGAGGGGCAACAAGATCTTGATCCAGTCGTCGACAGGCTTACCAGCCTGTACAAGCAGCATAACACGCCGTGGTCTCTTGAGACTAGAGACGAATTGCTCCACAGAGTACGAACCCATGACGGACTTTCCTTGTGCCTCGCCGGCGAGAAGAGCGTCAACTTTCGAGACAGTACGGTTGAATGCGCAAACGGTAAATCCGTGGTCGGCCATATTTAAGATGAGGTTTTGGCCCCTGCGGACCGTCGTCAACTACGCTGGCCAGAACAAGATATCAAGAGCTGGAGTTCGACGAACTTACATGACAGCCAGACCGATGAGGCCGATATCAGCGCTTTCAGAGTTGTTAGAATTGTCTTGGAACTGTCCTGCCTACAGCTCCAATCATTTTCAACAGCCGAGCTGTTCAGGGAACCAAATGGATGATGTCTCTAAGCGCCACGGGACACAGAGGACTTTGACACTTCCCTTACAATGAAAAGTGCTTGGCATAGCAGCTCATGGTCGCGACAAACCCACCAAGGTTAAAAGGGAGGTGCAGAATAACAGTAAACTGGGGAAGGTGGGAAATAACTTACAGTTCGCCAGACATTGCGTGTGAAGTTGCGAAATTGTGAGACGTAGCTGAACAGCGATAGTTGCGTCTGTGAAAGATTCTGTTGGTTAAGAGATTTCTCAAAAGGACTCGTGCGTTGATGGGAAATAGCCAGAAATAACCAGGGGACTGAGTGAGGACGTGTAGCCCTTTAAGAGAAGCAGGTTTCTTCAACTATTGTAGGCGTGATGGCCCACTGGCAGGCGGTGGGACCACGAATTCTGCAAGATCGCCAGGAGAATCGTAAATTGGGCCGGTGCGACTATATTTAGTAATTCGTAACAAGTGCGGTCCAAATCTAGATGAAGTTCGCACTGCCAACAAGAGCATGTCGTCATTTGGCCAATGTCGTAGTGGCAGCACCTTCGGCCGTGATGGAATGAGGCGTTTCATCTGGGGTCTTTTGATGGTATGGTACGATGCACTCAAGTAAAAAAAGAGCAGTGCCCTTAAATTAGAAATGGAATGTCTCATGGGCCCAACAGAACAGACCGGCACGCCTCTCGATCAGGATTCACCAACGCGTTCAGCCCTGCAAATCACGACCTAGCCGGTTCAACCAACACCTGGGCAGGACCACCAACGCGCAGTAGTCCTTCATCTAGCCACCTTAGCAGATCAAACCAACTAGGATGTAGGCCGCAATTGGTCGCCTCAAAAGCTACCCAACCAAAACGACACTGCCGCCGCCGCCGCCGACCGGATCATCATCCCGGCTGCTCAACCAGACTGGAACCAACTGGACGGCCTCGACCTCTGCGGTCGCTGCCAGGACTTCCTACCTCCGCTAATGCCTCAACCACTGGAATCGCTGGCCTGGTCTCTCGATCAAACCAACATGAAATTGGCCGCCGTGGCTCAGGGCCTCTGCGGCCGCTGGCCCGTTCCTCTCTTGGCTTGAAATACCTCGAGCGATATCTCGATTGAGTATGACTACCTAGGTACAAGTGCTCAACACACAGAAAGAGAAGTCACGTATCACGGTTGAAGAGGGGGTCAGGATTTTAATTCGGCCTTCAAAACAGGTTCCTGGCCTGAAACACACTCAAGGCCTATTGCTCAATTTAGTTGTGTTGCGACTTCTCTGTTGAGTTCCCGTCGCGATGTTCAGGAGGCTGTTCAGGAGCGGAGGCTGTTCGGCAGCGGAGGCAATGCTGTACCCAAAATTGTATATATTCCTTGGTTCCCTTAGTCCACAACTCTGGGCTGTCTCCGTGTCATCAACGCAATCAACAGTCTCATCCACATAGAAAACAACATCCTCAATACAAGCAACACTTAACCACACAAGCAAGCAACCTGCAATCACTCAGGAATCAAAACAACAAAGCCACCCATAAACTCGTGTGTCTATCTTATGAGCCCCGCAATCTCTCTAAGCTAAAACTTGTAACAGTTCCACAATGTGTACTTATTACACTGCTCACTATACCTGCTCCTGCCAGAGGAGGGTCTACACGGGCAAGCAATGCACCCCGGAACAAAAGAGGGCCCCAGATCATGTCTACCGCAGCAAGGGCGCCAGGAACGTCAACGCGCCCTGCGGCAACCCCCGATGCACCACACCCCCGCCTTAAGTTGGATGGCCATTGGACATTGTCTTGAGATCCATTGCTTCAAAGAAAGGTTCAGAATTGTGCGTTCAGGATGATATGGATAGCCTGGAGCTTATCCTGGGATTTGTTGTAGCTTGCTTTGGCCGGCGTCCATTCTTTAGTCCTTCTTAGTGAATACAAAAGACAGCCTGGAGCTTCTTTCAAACCCCATTCAAATCTATAACATCTAGTGAGAGGCTTCGGCCACAGGTGTTTGCTTTTTGATTACCTGGCCAACTGTTAAGTCTAGTCTATTATCACATGTTATGAGAGGGGATAAGAGGCAGCTCTCTCCAATAGGTTAATTCAAAGTAAGACGACGCTACCTTCTATCTAACGGAGAGGTCTTGTGCAAATTGTCGTGGAAGGGTTTTAAACCTGAGGGGTGTGGCGCCCCTAGGGCCCCAGTGATTGCTAGCAATCACTGGGCTTATTCACCCACACACGTAGACACACCTACTATTTTAAAAGAGCACGTGTACAAACTAATAATGAAACCACATACCTGGTGTGAGATTGTTAGAAACCATTTTGGCCTTGCAAATTCTTTATACATAATGAGCTCATTGAACTAGGGTATGCCTAGATGTTTCCATCATATTTAGCTTTACTTTGTTGAATATAGTTGGGCGACTTCATGACGCACATTATTATCACAGGAAACAAGTATATTATAATGCTAACTTAAGTAAGTAAACAGTACCTAAAGTACACTTAGTAATTAGGAAGTAGAGTTTAAGGAGTTTATAGCTTTTAAATTCCTTATTCCAGTATATAATAAATAGAATAATATAATATTTTTATATATATATATTATATTACATCTATATTATTATTAATTTTTTAAGCTTCTAGCCTTTAAATAAATGAAATATAAAATAAAGTGATTTAACTAGCTTTTATATAATATAACTTTGTAGAGTTTGTATAAAGCTAAGTATTCCTAACTTTACCTGGTCTCTTGTTGATTACGCCTTTCGAATATAGACTGACAAATTGCCAAAGGTTTCATTGTCAGCCGGGAACACCAACTCGGTATATTCTTTCAACATCTCTTCCACACGCGGCGACACGGGGTCGGCCCTATAAACAATTAGATTTCACTCGTAACCAAAAGGGGCAACTCAACTTGCCACACCACGCTTCGATTTGAAGGAACGACCTCATGTAGGATCATTATCGCTGGCCGCGCGATATCTGCTATGATCTGCCTAATTGGAATGTCAGCGGCAATAGCAATAACGACACTCTCCTCGTCGACCTCGAGGAAGGCCCTCGGGTCATCAAGAACGTTAAAACCAGCTTCGCGTAGGACCTGCTCGTCGACGGGCGTATAGACTGGGTCCTGTGCGTAGCATTTGAGTCCACCGTCACCGCCGCCGCCTAAGACATCGCCAATCGCCAGGGCAAGGGCGTGCTGGGCCATACTGCGCCTGGACTCGCCGGCCCATGTCAAGGTGGAACATGCCAGGGCCACAATCTTTTGAATCCCACGTGGGATCGTAGTCGACGTGAGCATGGACCGGATCTGCGCAAAAAGTTCGCTCCGTTCCAAGGAACGCCTCGCCTGCTCGAACCTCTGCCGCACAGTGGCATAGTCTGCAGCTGGCCATGGGCTTACAAGCTCGCCGGTGTGTGCACGCCGTATTTCGGTCCAGTGGGCTACCTCGACTGGAAGATAGGCACGCCTCAGCGAGTAGTAGTGCAGATCCTCGTCGGCTAGGAGCTCATTTACATCATGATATTCGAGTATTGGTTTTGTCCTGTAGAGTCAGCAACAAAGAATAGCAGAGTGGATCCAGTGGGAGGAAGTGCAGTTGCCGGTAGTCCAGGTAGTGGCATCTTACATGATACAAACATAATCATTCCCAAATGGATGGTCTGGATGTTCCTTTCCAGTGTTGATTTGGAAACAGACAGAAGCACCGTCCAGGCCAACTACGGAAACTTCGTGATCGGGATTTCCACCGCTTTCGAGTTGCTGCACAATATCTCGAAAACTGTCCTTGGTGAAAAACGGTACCCCAGCGTCGTACTTGGTGCTGATGAGTTTATGTGCGGCCGCAAGCTTCTCGTCTTTTTCGTCGAGCGTCATGGGTGGATCCGGTAGATCTGCATGGGCCACGACAATAGTTGCGCCGCCATCTTCGTGGATGGATGGCAAAGACATGCTGGTTCTGAGAGGGCATCGGATGAGACAGCGATGTGGGGTTGGCGCCTTGGGAAATGATGTTGGCAGAGGGGAGCGGGAGGCATGTGTTGATACCAAACAAGAAGGTGGGCTGGCCAACTGCTGCCTCGCCTTACGTAATGCCCGGCTGGTCGCCATTTACACTACGCGCACGCGTCTGTGCATGGCATCTCAGCACTAAATAGACTTCGCAGCCCGACTTTTTGCAGCTGCCACTTTCGAGATCGCGACGCCGGCTGCCTGCCTCTCGCATGCAGGCCACAACGCAATCCACGAACTATTAATACTGCATTTCTGCCCCAGCGATTGCGACACACCGGCTGTACGAACTCTGCGCAAACTGCACAGACTGCAGCACAAACCACCCACACAATGGCAGCTCTCGACCACGAGAGGCTCGGCCTTGTGTTTGCGACCCGCCCCGACATCCTCGACGGCATTAAACAAGCTGCAGGTGCGCTTCACTCACGACATCAACTGGCCCCCTGCCTTGCTAGCCTGGCTAACTGATTGCTTGCCTCCTCGCAGACTCCCCCGAGCGGATCGCCCTCTTCAACTCCATCGCCAGCTTCGTCGCCGAGCAGACCCAGAACGCCCCCGGCGAGCCCAGCGCAAAACGAAAACGGGTCGACGGCAACGATGGCGCAGTCGGTGAGAACGGCAGCAGCGCAGGCCAGCAGGGCATGCTGCCGATACCCACACAGGCGGCCGCCGCCACCGGCACGCAGCAGCCCTCTGTCGTCGGCGCCGGGGCCGACTCGCTGCTGATCGACATGGCCAACGCCGCCGCCAAGGAGGTCATCCTGCTCGAGGTCAAGGAGGTCAGCGTGGCCATCCCCCAGAGGAAGAAGTACGACCTCTGCTTCACCAAGAATTACCTGTACACGAAGCAGGTTGGCACAACTGCGCCAGTGCAGGGCATGGTGTACGACTGGAGCCAACTAGGTGCGTTTGTCTGTCTGTTTGTTTGTTTCTTTGTCGTCTGCTCTGCAAGCTTCTTCTCCTTCTTCCTCTCAGCTAACACAAACCGTCCTCCCAGAATTCGTCCTCTACACGCCCGTCCCCGAGAAGCAGCAGCTCCACTTCAACTACATCCTCTTCCCGCGCAACACCGCCCTCGCCTCCACAAAGTCCTTCCCCCCGGCAGACTTCGAGCCCCTCGTCTTCAGCGTGCCGGCCACCTCCCCGAAGCCGGGCGTCGTCGGCGGCTACGCGGCCCAGACCGCCGCCCAGGTCTCGGACAGCTACAGCTCCCTCATGCACTGGGCCATCAGCAGCCAGCTGCAGAGCGTCGCCAACGCGACGGCGTCCATCGTCTCCACCGACCCGCGCGTCTTCGCCAGCGCCCTGCGCCAGCCCCACCGCCCTAAAGAAAAAGCAGTCCACGTGCGCGCCCACCGCGGCTCCAAGGACGGCTACCTCTTCTTCCTGCCCAACGGCATCCTGTGGGGCTTCAAGAAGCCCCTGCTCTTCATCCCGCTCGACCGCGTCAACGCCGTCTCGTACGTCAACGTCCTGCAGCGCACCTTCAACATGGTCGTCGAGGTCGACGTGTCGCACGCGCCCCAGGTGGAGCAGCAGCAGCAGGCTAAGAACGGCGGGGCGGACGACGAGGAGAGGCCGCTGACCGAGGAGATCGAGTTCGCCATGATCGACCAGGAGGACTACGGCACCATCGACGAGACCTACGTCCGGCGGCACGGCCTGAACAACCGCTCCATGGCCGAGGGCCGGAAGGCGAAGCGCCAGCTGCGGGAGAACGCCAGGGGCGGCGACGAGGAGGCGAGTGGTGCCGCGGCCGCCGCCGCCGCCGCGAACGGGGGAGAGCAGCAGCTCGGGGAGAACCTCACGCAGCTCGCGCTCCTCGGCGAGGACGAGGACGACGAGGAGGACGAGGAGGACTACGACCCTGGCTCCGAGGGGGAGAGCGAGGGCGAGGGCAGCTCGAGCGAGGAAGAGGACGACGACGATGATGATGAGGATGACGATGAGGAGGCTGACGGGTATGACGAGGATGGCGGCGAGGAGGAGGGGTACGCGGAGGATCACGAGTAGTGATGCCTTGCTGCCTGCTGTATGGGAACAAACGAGACTCACTCGGTACGCGGCCCTTGATGGTGATGGCCTGCATGATTCTGTCAACAAAAAGTCAGGCGTTTGGGTTGAATTCAGGGGGAATTATGGGCCGAGGGTAGGGCAACACCCGGGCAAGCTTTGGGTATTTCTAGTTGTGGGCAACACACACACGCACGCACACATGATAGTGGGGCATTCTTCATAGATCAGCCGGGATTTCACGGTATGAGCACGACAACGACCATTGGGGGGGGGGGGGTTACATGACTACAGTATTCGTCACACCCACTGCTGGCTTGCTGGCCATCCTCGAGATCCACGGTGATGATCTTGGTCGGTCGCTATTGCACGCTGTTGGGGCTGAGCCCGGCGCCGTGAGTGAGTGAGTGGCTAGCTAGCTGGCTGGCTGGCTGGCTGGTCGAGGTCTGCAGCCCCCCCTCCCTAGATATGTAACGACTTGCCATCCATTCAACAGACTGGGAGCCATCGTGGACATCCTTACAGTCAATTTCGGTCTCTAGTTATATCGCCCCCGTACTATTTCTGTAATTCGCATTTTAGGCTTTTCGACATTTGTGACGGTCCTGCTGCAGCTCGGGCGGAAGATCCAGGGTCGCCTTGCAATCGATAGAGCCTTGCTTAGAGGCTCAAACGATTTCACGTAGGGCACACATGCTTCCTAATTGGACCTCATCGACTACCAACAAAAAATAGAGATCCATCTAGATGACGAAAATATGATATTTGAATCGTTTTTAAGAGGGACAGGACGGTCGATGACGCCATATATACTGTATTTGTCGGGTCGGGTATCAGATAATAACTATTCAAATTAATTGGCTCGAAGTTAAAGTAAAGTTCTTCGTACTAAGTAACTCGCCAACAGCATATTCCTGGCGCAAAAAAGACCAGGAGAACAGGACCAGGAGGCTTCCACCTATTCAAACCTTAAGCTTCAACCCAGATTAATAAGAACGGAAATTCGCGCACCTAAAATTAGAAGGCGCACACCCTCTCTACTATTCAGCTAATTAGAGTATAGAACCTTAAAGTCCTTATAACTTTAATTAATAAGTATTCTTTATAATTTTAAAGGCTATAAATAAAGTGGGTTAGTCCTCTAGGAACTTAAATTATGTTTATTAACTCTATTTATAACCCTTTGCTATACCTTAAGCTTTAGGGTTCACCCTTTTTACCCTAGTCGACCCTTTTATCGAAGAAGTCTTTATATAGAGTACTTCTTAGTTAGTAGATAGGTGTGTGTCTTTCGATTCTAGGTACGCGAATTTCCATTCTTATATTAATTGATGTTGATGGAATCCTGGCTTTATGAGGTCGGATCATTCGGTAACTCCAAGTCAGTCCACTTCCCGCCGACCGTACCGGTACCTCAGGCTTGCCCGCAAGCCTGCTAATACTTCTTGATGTACGCGGTTGTTAGGATCGGCCATACCTATCAGCTTACGCAAGTGAGCGTGTTTCCAGTCTTCTTGCCGTTCTTCCCAAGTCTTGTGAATGCCGTGATCCGTGCGTATCTGCTGTAATGAAACTGGACGAAGCACAGGAGTGCAAAGGCGCAGGTGGTGAATTGCGTCCCCGCGAGACTCCAGTTTCTCACAGATATCAAGGAGCTCCGTGATAAAAGTGAATCCGCGCGCGCCTTGCTTTTGTGCGACATATTTCCAAGCCTGGATCACGGAGGTTGGTAAGCGAAGCTCCCATGTGCTTCTCCAGGTAAGTGTTGCATTCGTCTGGCCTCCGCTTGACTGGTACTTAAAGAGAGTGGCCAATGCCTCTCTTCCGTTCCAAATCTCCATAGTATCTAGTTGTGGCATTCTCATCGCTGCTGCCGCGGCGTCCTTGAGCATTTGCTCAATATCACTCGGTTCCGATTCAGGGGCCAGCAGTTCCGAAGTCAGTACGAGAGACTGCAGGTTGCTCCACTCCCAGGAAGACTTGCGACAAGAAAAGAATTGGTCGGCTTCAACGAGGAGCGCGCCTGAAAAGTGCTTCAGCTTAAGGCTAGCTTCCGCTGCCATCTGACTGATGGTACGAGTCAATGTTCGATCGGGGTCGGATTCAGGCATCGCATCACGGTCCATTTGACGGAAACTTCCAAACATGACCAGCTTCTGAACGTCCTTCGAGACAAGGGATTTGAAAAATTCTTGAAATTCTAATCGAAAACTGAACGTCAGCCCTACTCACCAGTGGAATGACAATGTAGTGAATGGTATAGCAACGCAGATGCTTACCTCCACCAAAGAACGGCGCAGTGTCAGGGTCGGGATCCATCCATGGCTCGTAATAGAGTTCTTTCAGGCTGGGTAGACGGTCGAAAATGTGAGCGAGCGTAATTAAATTCCATTGCCGCCGAGTCTGTTGGCGCAGGAGAATACTCGTGACTGCTGGAACTGATGGCAAACTCTGCCACCACGGAGCCTCGTCTTCATCGTCATCGAATATTGAAATTTGGTTGCCGGTCGAACTAAAAAGCCCCGAAGAAGAAGAGAGATGGCAGATGCATTCCTTGTTGCCAATAAGCCAATCGTCCCCCCAGTGGTTAGCATTTGGTAGCTGCACCTGACCGATCCCTGGACCGCGAAGGCACTCATCCGAAGGTAAGTCGGGCCTCAAGTGTGAGTATGGACTCCAGTGCTCAAATTCACTGGGTGAGTATACACTGATGTCAAGCATTATTCCGCTGTCTGACTTCCACGTACTAAGAGTCGAGAACATAGCCCGGAGCCCGGAAGCAATAAGGCTGTCGACAGTGTGCGATACCCTATGTGTGCTTCTCATTCGGTCGCCGCAATCGTACCTGCCAAGTTCCAAACAGAACCATATGTAACGCACGAGATGCCGACTGCGGTGGATATTCGAAGGGAACTCGGCAAGGCATGATGAAGTTATCCTGAGCCTGGCAAAATTGTGCCGCTCGACAACTGTCTGCCACTCCCGTGACACCACGGCCAGGCGAGACAACTTGTGGCCGGCATCCGCACCGTGTATTGAGAATTCCAGGATAATGAGCCGGATCTCTGCGGGAAGGCTGCCCCAGAATATATTCGAACTTGATGATTCCATGGTTTGGAATGGTGGGAGGAGAATGATGGCTGTACTGGTCGGAGGAAAGTTCTGATGCCGAGGAGCTGTGTCTTTTCAAAGTCATTCTATGCTCAATTTCAATTAGAACTGGTGGCATGGTCCTCCTACTAGGACTACTAGTAGCATGCTAGCGATGGTCGTGCCCCTCCGCGCTTTGCGCTCAAGCACGGGTTTACTCTGCTTTGCAATAGCTTATTACTTAGCAGACTTACTGCGACGTGAACATATCCACTCCGCCGAACTAACTTGATTAGCAATCCTCCGTTCTGCTTGTCTACTGTTGTCAGATGCTCGTGTGAAAGGTGTCTGGGATGCGTGCCAGTGCCGGCGTCAGTGTGTCTTGTGACTCACGCACAGAATACTAGTATCAGCCGGTTTCCACCTAACAAGAGATGGCCTGCACATGCTGGTGAAAACTATGTACCTATCTAGGTACTCAGCCTACCCCATATTTCCATAAACTGAGATTGCAATCTCTCACGGCCTCAGCAGTGAGAGCACCTCGCCAGCCCATAGATACAAGCAGGGACCCACTGCTTTGCCGGCTTTCTAGTCAGCGGCACCGCTGGGAGCGATGCTTCCTAGCCTTGTCTGCACGGTACGAGGCCGAGGCCACGTGCTATATTATATTGTCAATGTGCCGTTATTGGTATTTTCTTTTTTTAAACGCTGGGTCTCAGCCGTTGACTACTGTAAGAAGGCACTGCATATATCCTATATATATGCGGATTCGGGTCTTGAGCGTTTGCTACAGTATGAAGGCGCCATGTATGTCCTCGGACGTATGCGGAATAGAAGCCAAACCATATATCCCGAATCCGTAGCGTCCCATCACATATTGTTGTACGCTTAAAACCTCGGCTTCTTTTCCTTTTTTTTTCTATAAAAAAAATAATGTCAACAACCGTGTAACAATACCTCAGGACGCTTCGGGCAAGTGGCCTCAGCCCCGTGCCGCACAGATAAGGCTACCTAGCTGTGAAGCATCTCATGAATCTCAAGTGCCCTCCTTGGGCGAAGCCAAGTACCCGTGTACCCAAAGAGCTCTTTGAACTTGCCCCCGTTCTATTTGGTAGCACAACAGATCATCAACGACAACATCACACAGCATATAACGCCCCATAAAGAGTAAGCCAACAGCCCTGACGAGGCAAGACGACAAGACATGTCTGTTCTACGTGTTCGGGCAAAGCTGAATGTCCCGATACCGGCATCCCAGCCTACATCGATGGCGCCGACACCACCACATGCCCCTCCGGCAGGCTCTTTCGGCCCAGAGGCACCAATACAACAAGCTCGTCGGCGAGATTCTGCGTACCAGTATGTTCCGCTCCGTGCGTGTCCTGAGCTGTTGTCCAGGCCGGTGTTTGTAGGATATTCTCGATGCCACGGGACAGTAATTCCCCTAGTGGTTGAGCTGTGGGGCCTGCGGGTGAGGCAAAGTGGATATCTGGTTCTCATGTTCGCGGTTGATGAGTGAGTAAGTATTCCACGTGGTAGTTCCCTTAGCCAACAGTCTAGCTTAACTGCCTTTGTGCACCAGAGACTCGGACTGATTTGACTTTACGAGCCCGTTCCAAGCTGGCCCTGGTCGGACGAAAGCTCGCGGTCCCCATCCCACCACGCTACCTTAGGGTCCTACCTTCGTCTAGTCAATCCGGCCAAGACGTCAATTTCAACAACACACGCACACACATGGCATATAGACTGGGACGCACCCGCCCCGGCCAAAGCCCCTTACACTTTGCGCACCCAAAGTCATACGCGAGTTGTCACCCCAATGAGTCTTTCCCCCTCTCTCTCTTCTTCTTTTCCGGGCGTCGCAACCCGGGACCTCTCGAACTCACCGGACTCTGGTTGGGAGCGGTGGAAAGTGGTGGTGTGTGGTTGGGTGGGTGGGTACCCGTGACAGAGCCTTGGGCCGACGACGGCCTGAAATCTATATGCATGGATAGCATCCGTCCGTTACTGGCCTGGCTGGCTGGGCGGCTGGCCACCTCGCACCACACACACACGGTTTGTGAGCTGACAGGGAGACGCGCCATTCATCAAGGGAGGCCAGTCCAGGTTCATTTGGGATACCACCGCCCATGCTGATCCGTTCGATGTTGATTCATGGCAGGTCCGGGCCGGATGATAACAAGATGACTTTGCGGGAGACCGGTCTGTCTAGAATCCCAAGGAAGCTCTCCCACTATCAGAGTCAAATCTTGGCCGGCTTCTTCCTCTTGGCGAAGAATTTCCGAGAAGCCTCTAAGACGAGGATGGACTGCCGCACTGAGGCCACGAGCTCCGTGTCCTCGTTGCAGATGGTGACTTCGAGCTGCATACTACCACCAGAAAGCAGGCTCACTGCCGTTCGTATGAGAACAAAGCGCAGCTCTTCCTCGGGCAGAGCTCCCCTATACTCCATGTCAATCGTCGGTATAATCCCAAATTAGCAGGTTTGAAAGCCTATGTCCGACCCTGCGGTTAGCGTAGCCAACGCGGTGATCAACGGGTTTGACGAGATCTATACCTCAGCAAGAGTGTTCGTAATTGGGAAAATCACGCCAGGATGGTCTTGGGCCCACTTCTCATCGACATTCGATCTTGATGCTCCAGAGCCGGTCTGGTATGTCTGCCTCGGCTTCGGCATTTTTGGACAAGCCTTGGATCTCTCCGGAAGGAATTACGGGAACTGTGACAATTAGCATGCGGCAAAAAGAGGTGACAGTACCAAACACAAAACCGCTGTCCAGAACCAGCAAGCACCACTGTAGCTTGTAGGTTCCTGGCGGTTGGCACTATGATTCTCTATTCGTATTGTTTTAACGCGCACGTGAAAGCCAACTTACAACAATCCTTGTTATTGGCCTCACTCGTGACAAGCTAGAATATCAGGCTGCACATGGGCTTTGGGAAACTAGATGGAGTAGGCCTGGACTCGGAGCCCCGGAGGTGCTTGACTCCGGGCGTGCCCCATTTCTCCGGCCATGCAGCCGGCCAGAATCTCGCTATCGCGACCCAATTTCTCCCCACCGAGGGGCACACCCACTTGATCAGTCTGGAGACGCGGATGGGGTCTCAGCCGGCTTCCAGTGTACCTAGGTATGTGGCTGCCATCTGCATAGTTACCTTCTCCCACGCGGGGAAACTCCTCACTGTTATCGTCTTGTTGGTCGTCTATTTTTAACCCCAGTTACATGTCTCACAAACTGAGAAAAGAACAGATGACGGTCTTTTTTTATCAAGCTGATTTCGTCCCGTGGTTGTGTCGGTCAACGGTAAAGGACGGCCTCATCTTTGCCGTCTGATGTTTGAGACTGAAGTTGCGAGCGGTCTCGGACGGACAGTTGCATCGTGTTACAAATCAGTCGTGCTCACACAAAATTCATTCACTCATGGTGAACGCATAGTTCGTCGCCTTGTATGTAGATTGCACGTGCTATGTCGTTACGAACAGCAGTCCCTGACTTGTGGCCGGGTCTTAACGACGTCAATTGATGATCCGCAGTGGCCTGTGGGCCCCTCTCCGGTCCGGCGAACCGAGGCCGATCTGCACGGGGAAGGGCCCCCAAACTGGGCTGGCTTCCGGGTTGTATTAGGAGGGTCTTGTGCCCTGGCAGTCTGGATGCTATAAATGTATCGTCCGACCTTCGACACTCCGTCCCGTCGTTCCCCTTTTCACCCACTTTTGTCACGCCCGGTCGATACATCTGACGCACCCTCGACTTGATTGCGCCGTGTTTGACGGAGGGTGCAGGAGGCATCCGAGAGAGAGACGATCTGTGACATCAATCAACATAACTTATTTTGAGGATCCGCGGATGGGTCAGACACGCAGCCACAGCAGGAAGACGCTGATAGTCAGGAGTGCCACAAAAATTCCCGGAAAGACGTCAACTTGTTTGGTTCATACAGCTGGATGGTGAGCGGCTGGCCGTGTGCCAGGGGCCTATCCGTCGGTCTTAGCAAACCTCCTGCGACGAACCTCCTGTCCGGGGCGAGCTTCGGCTGCCGACGATCAGTCTTGGCCGCCCGGGGGGTGCCCCTGCAGTGCTAGTCCGGTTCTGTCCAGTCTGCGTGCACGCATAGGATGGTCTGGTGATGAGGCTGAACAGGTCCCCCAACCCCAAACCCACATTTCCTGACGCAGGCTGGTGACTGGCCCGACTGGATATACGGCCTGGGCAGTCAGGATGGCACACTCCCATGCTCGAGACATTGAGAGAAGGGACGAAAACAAGATAAGCTATGCTGATCGTGCTATTATTGCCCTGCCCTGCCCGGGATGCCATGCCTGGACACCGGGTTGAGGTTTGGCGATCGATGAGATCCTCAGACAACTGCCGTCACGCCTGGCTGGGGGGATGGACAGCACTTGAGAAGACAGCACAGACATTCATCCGGAGGGGTACGGCCGAGACGAGACGGGACGGTGATGGCCCACGATGCAGCGTCCATCACTTGCGTGCACCCTCGAGCGAGCGTGCGTTCGAGGTCTACCATCATAAATACCTTCCCTTCTTCGCCATCGAGCTGTGCTAAACCGTTCTCGTAGTTGGCATCCAGTTTCCCGTGAATCTTACAATTTCACCTTCCACTATCCTATCCTCCAACCACGGTCTGGCTACCGACTCATCTACTCATTCTTCTCTCCTTCACTTACACACCACAATCACTGCAAGCAGTCTCCCACTCCACCCGCCAACATGCGTTTCTCACATGCCATCGTCGCCCTCATCGGCGCAGCCCACGCCATGGTAAGATAATCCACCCTCAGACACCCACCCACCCACCCACGCCCTGTTTCCAAACTCGGCCAAATAAATAAATATCATCATCCCCGCTAACCCAAACCCCCCAAAGCCCACGGTACCGAACCTCGTGAGCGCCCCCAGCGTCGCCCGCGCCGTGGCAGCCGACCCGGCCGCCCTCGACGCGCGCGACAGCTTGTTCCGGGCCGCGCCCCGCCAGGCCAACGGCACAGCCGCGGCGCCCGCAGGCGGCGAAGAAGAAGACGATGATGACGAAGAAACAGCAGCCCCCGCCGCGGCGGGCGCTACCACCGCCGGTGGGGCCGCCGCTGCGCCCGCGGCCGGAGCCGAAGAAGATGATGACGACGAGGCCCCGGCGGCGGCGGCTCCAGCTGCTGGTGCTGGTGCTTCCGCAGGCGAGGCACCCGCGGCGGGGATGATGCCCGCCGGCGAGGCACCCGCGGCTCCCGCAGCCGGGGCCGGGGCCGAGGAAGACGATGACGACGAGGCCCCGGCGGCCGCGGCCCCAGCAGCTGGAATGATGCCGGCGGGCGAGGCCCCCGCGGCTGGGATGATGCCCGCCGGCGAAGCCCCCGCTGCCCCGGCGGCCGGAGCCGAAGAGGATGATGATGACGACGAGGCTCCCGCAGCCGCGGCCCCCGCGGCTGGGATGATGCCCGCAGGCGAGGCCCCTGCTGCTCCCGCGGCCGAGGGCAATGACAAGCGGTCCAAGAACCTCTTCAAGTTCGGCGTCAAGACGCGCGATGGAAAGGCGGCCCATGCTGTTGCGGATCTTGCTGCCATGTAGGGTTCGCACGAAGGGCCGGCGGGCTACGAGCGCTGCCGTCAACTGGTTGCACGGCTGAGGCCCGCAGCGTAGGTGGTCTGGCTGCGAACGATGCTGGTGCTGAGCCTCTCACAGGCTTTGGGACATGGAGTACATAAAGGATGTTCTACGGGGCCTTTAAGTTTCAGCTACAAGGCGGACTTTGGTATGTAGATACAGTTTGCCGTCTACTATTATTGAGTGCCAGTGTGATCATGATGGGGATTTTCAGATTGATAGCGAGGCAGGTCTCAACAGCCACCACTTGAGAGGAGACACAGTGGTGGGTGGCTATGGGATCTTCACGCATGCGAGCCGCTCTAAAGACTGGTGGCCTATGATAAATGACTACGTATTTCCTACAGTTGTTTAATAAATATGTTGAAGAGACTCGTGGCTCCCTTGATATATTCAATACCCACGGCATGACAAGCGGTCCAAGGACATGAACATCTCAGTCGCGTTTTTTCTCACTGTGACTCTTCCGCGGTAGTTTCAGTGCAAGTAAGCCCGGGGGCTCAGCAAAGCTACTCTGAGTGTGCATAATCATCCGAAGTGTTGAGTATAGTTTAGCACAGGCCGATCATTCCACGAAACATCCACGAACCCGCTTGTCTTGAAACTCGCAGCCTCGGCGCGGTCCGCAATTCTGGTTGGTCCTTCCACGCGTGGTAAAGAGGACTGAATTGTTTGAGATCTCTGACACGACTGAAGATAATCTTTACCTAGGTTAAGTACCTACGATATTGCAGCGGGCTCCGTCATTCCTGCCGTCGGAAAAATTACAAATCGGGCGGGAGGCAGTGTCCCGCTCCAGAGGCAGACTTGCATCCCATGATTATTCCTCGCATTTGATGAGATGTCAATCGGTGAACAAGAATCGGTGACCGAATATCTCATCCGTGTAGGGGGCCCGACTGACACACAACAAGCCCTGGAGCTTGGACATCAGGGTTCCGACGCAAATTGACAGTTCAATCAAATACAAGAGACAAACTAGCAGCCGGATTGTCCAATTTTACGTGACCCAGGCGTGCCTTGCCCAAATATCCTTAGATTAAGGAGGTAAGAGTTAAGACTGAGACTGTCATAAGCCGGTACATAACTTGTTCTCAAAATGGTGACCTTGTTCTGCTTGTAGAAAGACGTGCGAATTCGTAAGACTTTTCCCGCGTTTTTGAGACTACCATAGGGTAAACTTCAGTCTCAGGCTGCAGTGACAAAAAAGATGCTACCATGACCATTCTCCATACTAATTAGCATCCCACATCGATCTTTCTGGGGTAAATGTACGGAAACAACACCGCTCTTTGCAATATTGAAGCAATCGGGCGCCCAGGTGGCACGGTGCTTCCTCCGTCAGCACTAATGCTAGGTGCAGCCACACGAATTCCCTCAACGCAGACCGTTATCTTCTCGATCCTTCCTGCCCCTATTCACTCGAAAGAGTATGGTGACACTGAATTACGGGCTTTGTTCTCCTGCTGTGACGCAACCATGGTGGACGGGAAAGGTGTTCCGCTGAGCTCGCGATTCTTACAACACCCGGACGCCATGATCAAGTGAATCACCCTTTTCATCTCAGGTGTGAATCCGAGGGGCTCAAAAAGGTGAAGACTGGCTGATGTAGGAGCCATGTTGTTCGGGCATGGTACTTGAAGTTGACGCTGCCTGGTAGAATTAGGCTCGCAGAATCAATAGAAGTGAAGGGATTACACTATTATCACCCCCCATATTTTGGCTGTTGAGAAAGGTTTTCCTTTACCATTCTGTGTCATAATCTGTCTCGATATTGAAATATGATACAATGTAAACAAAAGAATCGCTTCATCAATGAAACTCTGCGCCCCTGGGTATCCTTTCGTGTCGTGATACAGTACATTAGTATGGTACATTCTACCTTGCAATTTTCCCAACGCTGGTAAGGAACGAAACGCAGTCCGTTGCTCCCCTCAAACCTCTCATCTCCTCCCGCCGCCGGCACCAGGCTTCCCAGCAGCCGCCTTCCCCTTGGCATTCTGCGCCGCACCGGTGACCCTGCTGCTGACCGGGTTGACGATCAGGTTGGCCAGCACGATCTCGACAAACTGCCGCGCGTAGATGGTCCCGATCATGCCCTTGGGCTTGAAGTTGGTCTTCTTGACGACAAAGTCCATGATGGCCGCCGCGGCGCCGACGGTGATGGTCCGCGGGATCCGCTGCTTCCAGGGCACCTGCGTGCCCACCGCGATCTTGATGGCCGCCACCGCGGCAGCGTCGAGCCCCACCTTGCCGACAGACTTCATGTCGACGCCCTTGGTGATCTTGTCCAGGAACGACTTGGCCGCCTCGCCGTCCGGGTCGATGTAGCGCGCCGACGCGTCGCGGCCCCTGCTCCTGCTGGCCCTCTTCGAGTTGTCGTCGGGGCTCGTCCTCTTCCCGGAGCCTGCCTCGGAGCGCGCCCGCGACGACCGGCTGTCGGGCAGCCGGCGGGGGGGCTCGTCAGACTCGTCCCACGAGTCGGAGGGGATGGGAGACAGGGAGCGGTGGTTGGAGTCGTGGCGCGAGTGAGACGCCGTCGAGGCGTCGGAGCGGCGCCGCAGCTGCTTGCGGTCCCGGCTGTCTGACCGCGTGCTCGACGTGTCCGAGTGCCTGGAGGAGGAGTGGCGCCTGTTGCGCCGCTCGCCCGAGTCGCTGCCGTCGGATGTTAGCGACTGCCGCCGCGCGATCACCGAGTTGTGGCGGTCGCGCTCGCGGTCGCGGTCGCGATCCCGGTCCCTGTCGCGCTCACTCCGCCTCGACGAGCTGGATGCATCGCTCTCGCGCCTGTCGCGTCGTTCCCTCCTGTCTCGCTCCGATGCGTTACTCCGGGCCCGCCGTCGCTCACTTCCGTGTCCTTCGGAAGTGTCTGGTTTCCGTCGGTCCGAGTCGTCTCTCCTGTCCCGGTCCGAGACATGGCGCTCTCGCTCGTCCTTGGCGGGGTCGACTGCGGCCGAAGTCATGTTGTTGTACTCGTCGTCGTCGACCTTGAGGTAGTACTTGTCCCTGGGGTCGTAGTCCGAGTCGCTGTCCGAGTCCCTCTCCTCTCTTCCTCCTGCCTTCGAATCTGCCGCTTTGGACTCATCGGACCGGCTTGATCGCCTGCCTGATTCCGCGTGATGCTTGGCTGATTCGGTGTGATAGTCCCTTAACGCATCTTTCTGCACGTCGTGTGTGTCCTTGGGCGAATTTGCTGCAGATCCCCCATAGCCGCTGTCGACCGAGGAGGCGTCGTCTCGATCCCGCCGGCTGCGGTTTGAGTGCCGGGACCGACTACTAGTACTGTCCTGGGTGTGTCGTTCAGGTGCCATAGCTGTTGAAGGTGGAACAGAAGAAAGATGGCTGGCGTGGTGGTATATTTCGGAAAGTGGTCTCGCCTATGCGCTCATTTTCGCAGTGCTCTCTCAGTACATAACTACAACTGGGCAGTCTACTAGGTCGGTTTGTCGGTGTGAGACGGCGAAGACAACGAAAAGTAAGGTGAGATGAAATTCTAGGGTCGGGCGCCAGAGGATGCCCAGATGGATGAGACGGTGGTATTAACCCCAACGGGCAAGGGGGCAGCTTGTTCCAAGGTTTTCGCCACACCACCTCGGTCCCATCCGCCAGACCGTCGATGACGTCCCCCAGGTCCCCTGCCAGCCTCCCCGCGTCATCTGCCCACACACCCGGGAATAAGGTTGCACAGTTGCAGGCAGCCTGAATGGCCTGCTCCTCCTCCTGCTCCTCCTTCCCCCCTTGCCCCCTTTCCCCAAACAACACCTCGCTGTACTGGCTCGTGTGGTTCGTTGACTTGTCAATGTTTCATTCACAGAGCCATCATCCTGGCCATTGCCACGCTGCCGATACATCGCTCGTGCACCCGACAGATTGGGCAAACGGGCAGGTGTCTCGGTTGCCAATGACGGGACGACAAGATGCTAGACTTACGGCCGATGGGAAAGGAGGGCTTGCGACAAGTCTCACCGACTCCCACTGGCTCTTGTCACTGCTGTGGTGGTGTGTAGTGACGCACGTTGACGGCGACAAGTCTTAAAATGCACTTCTATTACTCCAGTACCCCATCCTCGCTGGCTCTGTTAGTCTATTCCCGCTCCGTCATGGATATGGGTTCGTGAACATGTTCCAAGGGATATGCCGCCGTGAACTCCCGAGTTTTGGGGTCCGCCTGCGCACGTGGAGATCATGCTCTGGACCCTGTTTCAAGAAGACAGCTTGACAAGCTCAAAATAGCATGATTCTACCTGTCAACGACCGTGCACATCTCCACTTGCATTCCGGTCGTGGCTTTAAGCTGGTATGTTGAGGCATGCACAGATACAGCGGCATTTTGATGATTTGGGAGGCACGTCCCGTGTTAGTGGAAGTGACGTTGACTGCGCACCCCAGGACATCTGAGTAACCCCAACCGACCGTTCTCCCTGGTGCTGCAGTTCCGTGCATCATCCAAGTCTCTGAATGCACAGTCTCCTTGCTGTATATCTTCATGGGCTTAGCTTCGCGATAAGCCTGCTCTGTGATGAAGCTGAGTCGCTGGGGCCAGTGGTGTCGATTCATCATCCTTCCCTACTTACCTAGGTAGGGAAACACGGCCACCAGTAGAATTTGCCAGATGAGGTGTGTCGCACTGCCTGTAGTGGTAACGCAGACTCAATAATAAGCCTCCCTGAGATCGCCATCATCACATGGTAGAAATTGGACTCATATTACAATCCTTAGACAGAAGCTCAAAGTCGAGATTGATTTGCCGTCAGCCAGACTGGTGCTACTACGGCCAGAGCTCGTCATACGGCATGTTTCATAAGCCAATGGACATTGAACACCCCCGCCCCTCTGGACGAGTCGAAAGGCCGGGCTCGGATGACAGCATGTGCACCTTTTCAAAAATGAAAGAAGACCGAGGACCTTCAATATTTAGATGTCTGGTACACACAACCGCCGGCACGCTATCGACGGTTGGGAAGACTGAGAAGGTTGGGAAGACTGAGAAGGTTGGTCAGCAGGGTTTCACATCAACAACATACCCCAGGGTAATAAGTTCCTGCAAGGAACCTTCAGTGCGGGTAAAATGACCCTGAGTCTTTAAGGGCATGGAGTGAACACGTCGCCTGGTCGATCCATTCTGATTAAAATCATCTGTCATATTCCCATCTCTTGAGGACATAACACCCCTGAGGAAACAACGATGGGACAACCCAAATCAGTCACGAAGAGTTAGAGATCTTGGTGGCTTCGTCCTAACTTCACGTAGTTACATGTTTCTACCGAGCCGTCGGCACTACCTTCGAGTTCACGCTGCAAGACACATTGCTGTCGACGATGTGATGAGGATGCTTGTGAATAATGACCACAAGTTCAATATGAAAGGCTGAATCGCCTGGTCTCAGCCGCATAGCGGACGCTCGTCGAAACCAGCTCTCATTAGGGGAAAGACTGCCGTGACACTGAACGCGCACGCGGGAACTCCCACGCGGCATGTGCCAAGACCATCTCACATATTGTGGCTGCGAAAGTTGCTGGGGCCAAAGATCAACACCTATGTCAGTCAGTCGCCCTCGGCGAATTGTGGTTGAGTTTGCTTATCTGCCTGCTTGGCTTGTTCTTTTCCGTGTTTGTGTGGCGCTCGACGCCAGAGCTGACTTGCGGTTCGGGCTTTCAGCACGATGGGAGCTGCATGAAACCCGTCGGGATTCAGATCATCCGTCTTATCCTAATCTGACTCTGACCCATTGTCGTCTCGAAAGCTACAAATAATGGCAAATTTGGTTCCTTAAACTTTCTTACTAACGAGAACAATCTTGCTGCCTACCCGTGTTGTCATTTCAAGTGTCAGATCGCTTGCCCCCCGGCGATACCCCGTAGAGTTTGAACGCAGCAGCTCACAACTTCCAATTGCCCAGCATAGTTCGAAGATGGATACCTACAATCCCGATCGGTGGTAAGTTTCCTTGCGGTCTGTTGACTTCTTCACACATCATCATTCTCAAACCAGTGCTGACCCGGTTCTAGCCCAGTCTACGCGGTCCGTCGTCCTGAGACGTCTTTGATCGGCCTCATGAGCCCATGTCCACCCTGGTCTGAGACGCTGACGATAGACTGTGCGTAGTCCTTCTTCGGCGCAATAGGTTGTGCCATGGCCACCATACTCTGCTGTCTCGGAGCATCGTACGGCACGGCCAAGTCATCCGGCGCTGTATTCGGCGCGGCCATAATCAGGCCCGAAAGCTGGACGCGCAACATGTAAGTCCCTGTCGTGCCCTGTGCGACTGTGTTTCATGTTTTCCTCGGCAGTTCTCCATGAACGAGTCCTGATGTGGGTCGAACATGGCAGGCTGTGTGCAGTCTTGGCCCAGATCCTTTCGATCTACGGACTGGTCACGAGCGTCATCATCAGCAACGACCTGGGCGAGAAGATGGCCCTCTACACGGGTTTCATCCAGCTGGGCTCAGGCCTGGCTGTCGGGCTGTGTGGGATGGCTGCTGGGTTTGCGATTGGCATCGTTGGTGATGCTGGCGGTGAGACATCCTCAGTCAAACATCCGTATTCTCCAAGTTACAGTAGGCCGGTTTTCCACTGACATCATCACAGTGAGAGCAAACGTTCAGCAACCGCGATTGTACACGGCCATGGTGCTCATCTTGATCTTCTCTGAAGTGTTGGGGTTGTACGGACTGATCGTGTCCATCCTCATGCTTTCAAGGTCTACTACTGGAGTCACGAAATGTGACTACTAGTTGATGATGTGCCGCGAAGGCAGTTACATATTCAGGCGGCATCCAAGGAGGTAGAGAGTGTCGCAAATCTCGAGGTTGGTAAGTAGCCAATGCGACACTGGCGCTTCAATTCAGTGAATAGAGGACTCGCTTCAATGCCCGCACAAGCTTTTGAGGGTCCCTTGATCAGACACGAAAGCGCAATTCCCGTCAAACCCCGACCGCCTTTTCATCACAGTCTCTCCAACAGAAAGATACTCTAGGTATACAGGGAAGAGGGAGAGAAAAACAAGAGTACTGTTACAAGTCTGAAGATGAGAGGCCGTTTGAAATGCAATGATGAAATCGCACAAGTGATACTGACGTATTCACGTCGACTTCGTCATGAAGATTGCAGAGTGCAATACAGGATAGTTGGGTCCGGGTCATCGTCGCTGGGTGCCCTCGGGGCCCGGGCCCGGGGCTGCATCTGATAGAAGATGGTTGGTCTTTCCCAGCTGTCCCCTCTGGGCGCGGGAACATGGACCAGCCGGATGATCCTACGACCCGGCGAGGCCACAATACCCTGGTCTGCCAGCCGTTGGAGCTCAGCCTGAGAAATGTACAGCCTCCGGCCGTACCGGTATCCCTGTGGTCTCTCTGGTGGCCTCTCGAAAATGCCGTATGGCGGTATGCGGTAGGCCCTGACCCTCGGCAGCCATGGGCCCCGGCCTTCTCGGTCTGCGAGCTGTGGGTAGTTGCCGTCTGCGCGTAAATTGGCACCCGGTGGCCCGCCTAATGGGTTGACGTCCCGGTAAAAAACGTTTGGCGGAGGGCCAAGGTACGGGTCGGCCGGGTCTATCCTGATCGTGAACAGCCCCACTGGTATGACCTGGCCGATCGCGGGGGAACTGGGCATTGCTCGGCCGTACTGGTATCCTCCTCTGGGCAGGGGTGGTGCCCTTCCGGGAGAGAACGCCGGGATGGGGATCACATGCCGTATGTACCCATCTTGTGTGACAGGAGCAACGAGCCCTTCTTGGACTCCCAACGGCTGGCCAAAGGCATTAAGTGCCGCCGGGTCCCGAGTGACCATGTAGATGTCCGGAATGACTTCGTCTTCCGGAGAGATGGTGGACCACCCTCTGCCCCTGCCCCTGTCGCTAAGAAACCCATTCGATTGCGAGCCAGGCGACGCACTACTGGCACTACTGGCACTCCCGTCTCTATTCAACTGGCGCAACAGAGTACCAAAGGAAGGTCGATCCGCCGGGGCATTCACAGTGGCATTCGCAGGGCCATTTGGAACGGCAGCTCCATTGCGGCCTCCCGACCGTCGTGCAGGCGTTGCAGGAGGCGACATAGGCAACCGGTCCGCTCCTCTCTCGCCGGCTACCTGTGCTGGATCCGGGCCCTGATCAGGTGATGGGCCCAATACTGCGAGTCCTCGTGCGTTCAGATATAACACGTCCCCATTCGAGTTGAACAGCCACGCTGAAGTGTCAGGCGGCTCCTGGCTGCGCCTCACTGGCTGCGGTGCTTGCGCGGTTGACCAGACACCGGAGATGGCCTGGATGCCGGCCCCGGCAGCGTTCATGAGCTGTGTGACCGTCGACTCGTCACCCGGCGGGCCATTTCGAGCTGCTTGAGGTGCCGCGGGGCCTTCGAATGCTCCGCGCCTACGCGGCCATGGTCGCGTGCGGAAAAGGCTCGCTAGAAAACCCAGCCGGGAAGCCCTCAGGGGAAGACCCGGATCCTGGGCCGGCAGGCCCGTATTAGGTCTTCTTGGTAGATCGAGGACGGGATCGATCATGTCGGCAGTCTGTATGGAAATAGTCAACGAACATTGATTAGCAGGTTGTCACGTTTGCAGGGTAATAGGCATGACATGGCACGTACCTCAGGAGCCTCATTCACCAACTCTTCGAACCACTCTCGGTCGTCCGGGTCATCGTCCCAAGCGAGAATCTTGTCAGCCTTGTCCAAGTATGCTTGCAACTCTATCGGGTCAGGCCGATCAATCGGCCTGTCTGCCAAGCATCGGATGAGCAGCCCCTTAAGTTGGTTGTCGTTGATATCAGCGTCTCGAAGCCAGCTTCCGTGAGTGTAAAACTGGTCTACCACGTTGCCATTGACATCACGGAAGGCTCGAATTCCATGCGGCATCAGGGTGGCATCCGGACCATTCATTGGGCCGAAGGCGGCTGGAGGTTCTGGCGGATAATTTTGTGTGATCATGCAATGTAGGACCTTTACAAGTGGCCTGTCAGCTTGCAGTCTCAACCTTGGTTACTGGACGTCGCTTACCATGGCGATGGCCCAGATGTTGCTAATTGGACCGAACCTCCCTGCGACACTGGGTAGAGGGAACTCATCCTGGGGGAGAACCCGCACGTAGTCCCACTCTTTGTGGAATTGTTCCTGTAGACCAGTCACCAAACGTTGCTCGTGGATGGGCAGTTGAGAGCTCAACAATATATTCCTTACCGGTAAGAGGAATGGCCTTTTACCCGCTCTTCGGTACCGCCAAATATCCTCACTATGTAATAACGGTTTGTTTTTAGATGGATATCAACCTCGCTTGCTTCTTTGCCAGCTGGGGCCTGTGTGACACGTACCGATTGGGCACAGCTGCATTTCGGGGGAACGCTGAAAGGGTGAAATCGCAAAGCTACGACATTATCAGTCTTGCTGCTCTCCGAAGTCTGCAGAGCGAGAGCAGGTTTTCTCTTTTACCTTGAAAACCGGCACCGCTGGATGGTTTGCATCGTTCTCGCCAATCAACACTAGGAGACAAGATCAGGGTGAATTACTGTCGTGTTACCAAACAAACGATCAGAAAGTGAGTGGGGCCCCGTACCATTGTCTGGATTCAAGTCGAAATGGACTACACCATATCCATTATATCGATCTTGATCATTTTCAGGAACCCTCTCTATTACCTCCTCTCCATCAGTCCAAATCATCTGATTATCTTCTGTTCTGGACATCCCAGGCGGGTACTCCATCGCAATGCAAGCGCGTATAACTGGTTGGCGAATCAACATCAGAGGGTTAGCGACATTTTATGCTCATACTGAGTCACAGATACGCTTACGGCAAAAGAAGACCTTCCACAGCACACCGTTAGGAAATGCGGCCCCTGCAGCCACCGATTTCCCTATCAAATCTGTCAAATTGCCGGCCTTCATAAACTCGAGGTAAGTCAAGTCCTGTCGGCTGTCCATTTCTCGAGCAAACGACCTCGCATTCCCGGAGAGCGGGGCACCGGCGAAGATGTCCGTCTCCCATTCAAGAATTTTTAGAACATGCACCGCGCGTTTGAGGGACTACGCGCAGGACGACCGAAGTCAGCACCGTGACACAAAGGAGTACATATGTATGCAAGAGGTAGATGCCCATCGAGAAGGAGGCGATACCATGAAATTCTCACGGGCTAGGGTCCGACGAGAAGACGTACCCACAGAAAACCTCTCTCCCATGTTAAAGTATCAGCCTCCCCTCTCCTGGTTGATTTGATAACGAACTTCTTGCGCACGCCCATCCTCGTCGAGCGTACCTCAAAAAGAGTAGCCAAGGACGAGGCGCCGCTGCCCACATGCCGCAGCGACCTGATATCGAGACCACGGGCTCGGATCCTGTCGCGGAAGGCTATCACAGCAGCGTCTTCCGAACCGTCAGCATCACCTTCGGTATACTGTGCATCTCGCCCCGGGGCAATGGGCTTGATCCGTGTACATCGCGCCAGATCCGACCTAACAATACAGCGTGGAGTTGAAAAGAAAAAGTCATGCCTACCTACCTCCGTCACCACTCGGTGGCCGAATAAAATCCGGGCTGGGACGCGTGAACGGCTGCATGTTCGCAGCCTGCTGGGCACGTACGGCCTCATCGTCGTTTTGGAAGGGGTTGTAGAGATCAGTCCAAACCCGTGGGCGCTGCGGCGGGTCATAAGGAGCCAGGGCCTTTGATGGATCCCAGAACGCATCATCCCACGGCGTCTCGCCTGACAGCTCATGTTCCCGAACCCGCCCTTGGCGGTTGTACTCGAAGTAGTTGTTCATCCGAAACCTCAAGTCCCGGAACCCCCTACTCCGCATCATAGCCGCGAATTGCTCTTGGTTCCGCATCTCTGCTTGCTGTTGGCGCACCACCGCCGGGGATGCCCCCACCGGGGCGGGTGCTTGTTGTCGCGTCATTGTTTCCAGTGTGGTGTCTACTCTCCACTGAGTGATTGTAGTCGGTGGAAATGTGACGCCCCCCGGGGGGACCGATCGAGGGGGCGTTTGCATCTTCGATTGAGTTGATGTTTTAGGCAATCCTATTCACTTTTTTCTGCCCTGGTGCGCACTACCTAGGTATAGAAGCTTCGTGGTCAGGGTCGAGTGTCACATTGATCGAACAATAGTTCGGGAGAATTATCATGAGGTGCTTCTTTCAAAACACAACATTGAATCACGCTTCTGCATACCCTCAAGTGATTGAACGCTACTGATCACCTATGAAATCATGTGCGACGAGCTTCAGCACTTCAGAGATGGCTTTGAAATGCTGCCGACACAATGGAAGAACGCAATTGTGATGAGGGTTCCGCAAACGGCACTGACCAGAACCCGCCCTTTGTCTTCCAAGGTTGTGGTAATAGATGACTTCAGCTTTCGGCCCGGAATCAGCGAATTATTTTGGGAGAGCGGATGGGGATTGCTTGCACTTTTAAAACTGCACGAGTGTCATAAATTCTGGGGCCTCAGTTGGGATTGCAAACTTGGATCTGGTGAGGAGGACTAACGCTCAACTAGAAGTAGACGGGTTTCTCTACTTATAGAAAGCCTTAGTTAGAATAATAATGTCGAAATAACATTTCGCATATCCCGGCTCGGCAGACTGATGAGGTTCTTCCTTTCTAACAAATCGGCTGAGGAGCCTGACCTCCAGCATTCATTCAAGTGTGATAAACCTTGCCCGACTTTCCACCAACAAGCAACAACGGCTGTGGAGGCGCAGAGGCTCTGACATTCTCTGCTACTTTGATAGTCTCAAGCAACCGTAGTATTCGTTTACTCCACAAGTTCCTGTAGACGGTTTCGGTCACGGAGTTCGAAATTAAAATTACGTGACTCTTTTTTTGGACCATGATATCGAGACGTTTTTTTTTTTTAACTTTGGTTGATGACTGTTAAGTCCTCAATTCAACGATCAAACACTGCAAGCCACGCACACGTCAACACCACAATCAAATGAAACTATGTATGGCTCTGCACTATGCCATAGGGAATGCAACCATTCGGGCCATCCGGACGAGTACTCAGAGCCAACAGCCACCCCTCGAAAGCATTCAGTGCTGTCTCCTAGTTGTGGACCCTAAGACTGATCTTGGCCACAGCCCTGTTCAATCCGGCCATATTTTCACCTCGCCCTAAAGGAGGATTCACATGTGATGCAAAAACCAAACACGGTGGATCTCTGCCAGTGGCGATGAATAATGACTATCTTTAGACACCACGCGTATCTATCTGCCCAGGTGATATGTGACACCGGGCAGGCTTAGTAACTCGCCACCTGCTACACGAGCATTTCGTCCAACTTATCGGGACGATCCTCAGCACAGCCACGCGGTCAAGGTCAAGAGAATAGGCAAGCCTCGACCGGCGGCCGGAAATGACGGCACTCTCAAACATGCCCTCTCTCGGACACAGCACTCACCCCAGCCAGTCAGCGGCCGCCTTGCCCAGGGGGCTTATCTGATGGCGCAAGCGGAGGAGAGCAGGATATGCATGCGGCCTCCTGGCATCCCGGAGGGTAGGGTATGGCATGTGAAGGGTGGGTATATGTGACCATGATCCTGCAAAGCACGTGCGAAAGAGGTCGCGCACAGGTTGCCATCGGCCCCTGCGGCCTTGCCTATCGCAGGGCGTCCGGTGCCCCGTCACGGAGCCACGCCGGCCATCACAGCCAGGGCGAGTAGGTGTTGGTGTACACTACTACGTGACGCAGGTGCAAGTGATCGATGCACGCATCGGGGCACGCACAGGGCGGGCAGGCGGCCGTGGGCTGCTGCTCCACCCGCCTCCCCTTCCAGCCCCGAGGGTTGGATCTATCACACATGCCTGGGAGTCGTATGGGGGCCAGTCGGAGACGTTCCTGCGGCGCGGCGGCGTCGTACAGGAGCAAACGGGAGTGATTCGATGCGGCCGGGGTCCGCCTCGGACCTGTTTCTACACCAGGTTGGTGCTCACCCCGGGGCGCACACGTATAAGGCCAAGAGAAGGAGATCTCATGGGTCGGCCTGTCAGGCAGACGGTAGTTCGCATGCTCCTCCTACGCGTGTGCCCTCCCCTGCCTCCGCCTTGGTGGTTCTGGGTGTGATGTATCGGTACATGGGGACTTGGACGTACCGATCTGTTGCAGCCTAGCCCACGGCGGGCCGAGGATTGTCATCGTTAGTCAGACGGGAAATATCTCGCTAGCCTGCCCTTTTTAACCTTACCTCTTCGAGTATTTGCTACCCAAATGTACGTCTGCGCTTACTACGAGGGAGGGGCTGGGCAGCTGGGTGGACTGATTGATTAAACTTGGGGGCGAAGGATGAGCGGGCAGATCGGTGCATGCAAGATGGATATAGCCTGAGTCGCACGGGACAGCAAACGTGGGAAGCATCTGACATCTGGAGTCGATCATGCTGTGCGGAAAGCCGCAGCTCCTCTCAGCTTCTCTCTCTGTAGTACTGTATAGTAGTAACAGAAGGAATGGGGGCGATGGATCTGACGCAATGGAACCCGTGGGTCATCAGTCAAGTGCTGACCAACATGCACAAGTGTCTGCCCCCTCGGCACATGGGGGCTGGGGTGTGCCATTCATGCCCATCAATCGATCAACAATGTCAAACTAGGCTCCAGCGGGTTTTGAATCCTTCGGGCGGTTTGGGGTGCGGGTCGGGTGCGAGCCTCATCGCCTGTGGCCGTTGGATTCCTGGGGACGGCCCTGCGTCTGGGCCGTGTCAGATGATTGCGGGATTTCGTGCCCCAACCTGAACGCTTGAAGCGGTGAAGTCTCTGCTTCTGACATCCTGGTCATAGTACCACCCGTTGGCTCAAATACTTTCAGTATATGCTGCCGCATATCGGTGTGGTGGGACAATCCTTCCGGTGTCATCATTCCTGCCCGCCGCTGAAGAACCCCACAAAACATCCATGTGGGTTTTCTTTTCTACGAGCGAGCTATAGCACAACAGGTTCTCGGAGACGAAATGATAGAACTACCGTCCAGAGGATCAGCCCCCGCTGCCCTATATGATTCCACAGCAGCCGGCCGTGGAGTGGGTTTTGGGCAACTGGTACTCCACATCAAACAAAAAAACCCTGAGAAGGATTCACGCCCTGGTTGACATGTCAGCAGGGTTAGGTGAGAGAAGCAACATCAACAAGATAACAATCCCTTGTGGCGCGAAGGATCCGATTGTGGGTGCTGGACCAGTGAGACCGTGTGGATTGAATTGTGTCATCTCCTCCTCAAGGCTGGAAGTGAGGGGTGCCAGGAGGCCAGGTAAGCAGCCTCATTTGCCCGAAGGGGTCTCAAGTTCCGAACACAAGTGTGCTGAAAAATAGCAGCAAACTTTTTATTGAAGGCGGTGACCAGATCGTCTATCGTTGACGTCTGCACTGTATACAGGGGCAACTTTTACTTGTCAATTGAATTGGTTGTGAGTCAGAAGACATCTTCGTCATATTTGAGCCTCAACAGTCTTGCTTATTTTGTGGCAGATGATACGTATCCATTTAGCCGTCGGAATAAATGAGACTATGCGACGATCAATTCCGAGAAACGCTGAAAGAAAGTTACAACTTTGAAAGGTCCAACGCTGCCTTCCTAGGTACCCCCTGGTATCTATGTGGATGACTCGGATCTGAAGGCTGTCACAGAGCACATGTGCAGGTCATTCTACGTAGCCATGATTTATTGACAGTGAAAACAAGATTAAAATATTGTCAGTTGATATGACCCATACTCTCGATTTTGTATGATGACAATTTGTACGTCGAAGGGAGTTGGTGCAGAAGAAGCACAAAAGTACAATTCTAGAGCCTTGCCAACGGGCATATCGCCATCAGCCATTACTTCTCCGTGTCCCTTATATCCGAGAACACAACTCAGATATCACATATCTGCACTCTAGCAAGCACCAACATTATACCGAATTTCATGCCGTAATAGGCCCGGCATCAGCTATGTATACCCAGGTACACACACTGATGTTACTGAGTCCCCAACATCATGTTTCAGACCAGACGTCCAAAGAATGGCCTCAGCCTCGTCCAAAACACCACGTCCAACACATCAAAATAGAAAAAGAAAAAGCAAAACGGAACAGGAAGAGGGTCCAAAGGATCAGACCCGCATCGCGACCGTTTACCTCGCGACCGTTTTACCCAGAGACCCAGCCAGCGATCCGCGCACGGGGATCCACCCACAACAGAACAGTGACATTCTCCCTCCAGGAGGATCAGCCCTGCCTGCCTGTCCGCTCGATCAAGCTTACGGGCTCCCCCCCAGCCATCGGAGGGGTTCGTCCATCCAAGTCGTCGCTCCTTCGCCCGAGTCACGGCGGTACATTGCGTGACATGGCATGCCGTAGCGCGGACGCGAGAGCGCGGCACAGCAGCAAAGCCTAGAGAGAGGGAGAGGGAGAGAGAGAGAGGATGAGGAGCTTGAAGCACATCGACGGACGGCAGTCTCAAAAAAGACGGAGCTAACCCTACCTGGGTACTTGCTTGCTTGCTTTCCTCCAGGGATCAAATGCTCGCTAGCTGGCCGGCTAGCTGGCCGGCCAGCCACCCCGATAAGCTCCAAGCTCCCCTCGGGTATGTTGTGGTAGTCAAAGTATGAAAACGTCAGAAGTGCCTCGCAGGGCTGGCTGGCTGGCGGGCGGTCCACCCGCGATGGCAACCTGGGCCTACTTTATTACTTGCTTTTCTGGCTAGCTACCTAGAGTGACCGAGCAGGTCGGGGGGGGCTGACCTGTCCGTTGGCCCAGGCCCCACCTCCTCCCTCCTCTTGCCAGGTGCTTTGTATCGGTACTAGCCCCGCATGTAGACTACTTACACACACAAAAAAAAAAAAAAAAAAAGCCGTTGGCATGCGTGCTGGCTGGCAGGCTGGTCTGTTCACCCAAGAAAACCCCATGACACTACTGCAGGTGTGCGGCGAGGCCGTTCCCCATCGAATTCCCCATCCGCGCGATGATCAGATCACCACCACCAACACCGGCAGGGCAGGACAGGGGGGCCCGCCCGGGCTGGACCCCCCGCTTTTTTCGTTTCTGCTGCCTCTTCGGGGTGTAGGAAGAAAACAGTGACTGTCTGATGATTGTTTGCTTCTGGGCAAGTATATTCGAGGTCCCGTGCGGGCTTGGCAAAGGGCCCCCAGCGGATTGGTCGGTTGGCTGGTTTGGTTGGTATATAAGTAGGTACCCAGGCAGGTAAGAATATAGTCATCAACCACCGTCATTGAGTCGCACGCATACGACAGGTCAGAACAGCACTGCAGCACATCAATCGGGGTCCGACAAGATGGGGCAGCCACTCACTGCCACTGCGGTGGCATAAGCCGAGCGCGGCGGTGCCGGTGATTGGCCCGCTCGCCACGCCGCCGCAAGGTAGGTTTGAATGAAACCACCACCACGACGACCAACAGCCACATGTGTTTTGGCTAGTGTAGTTGACGGGAAGTTCCACGTCTGAAGGGTGAACATTCACCCAACATCTTGTCTGCCTGTCTGCCTGTTATCATGATTACGGTGGTACTACGGTCCTTGTATGTATGTGTGTATGTATGTACTTGTCGTTTAGCCAGGCCAACCAGGTAGGCCCAGACAAGATCCAGGCCATCCATCCATCCATCCATCCATCACACACCCCGTGCCCAATGCTACATGCACCTCGAACTCGCTCGGCATCGTGCCATCTGGCTCGGACTGTAAGAAACACACCCACCCGGCCGGGGGGGGGAGGGGGGAGGTGCAGCCAAAAAAAAAAAAAAAAAAAGACATTTGAACCTTGTAAGACCAACAGGCACAGGAAAGGGAGACCACAAAAGCCCGACCGGCCGACCTGCCGACCTTGCTGGCCACCTGGCCATGCGAGTATGCGGCGCGGGCGCGGTACGGAGTAGTAGTGGTAGTCTGTGGACATACACGAATACCTACTACCGGACTACCTACCGTACCAGGAGGAGGTTGTGTGGTAATAAATCCACACACGATATGTACACCCATGCGCACGCTCGACCAACGTCGCAGCAGCCAGCGCAGTACCGTGTATGTGCATCTAACCAGCCCACGCAGCCAGCCCAGATCCCCATCTCCCATACCACCATACCCCCACCGACCTGCCTGCCCGCCCTGCCCTGCCCTGCCCCGCGGCCCAGTATGTCCACCAGCAGCAGCAGCATCGTGGGTCCGGTACGACACAGTATCAACCCCAGGCATCACATCATGACTCTCTCTCTCTCTCTGTGCTCGGCTCGCATGCGTGCATCTCGTCTCCATGCTCCCTGCCCTGCCTGCCCACCGCACGTGCATATATGATGCAAACAGCCCCGCAGCCAGCCAAAGCACACCAGCCTGGCATGCCGTCCGCCTACATGCATGCACGCCCGCCTGCATGCATACATGATGCAAGATGCAAGGCGGCCGCCGACCGGACGGGGCGGGCAGCAAAAAAAAAAAAAAAGAAGGGACAAAGAGGCTCCATGTTCCTTGGCAGCAGCACATACACACACACACACGTCCTCGGTGTCCCATTTTGCCATCCAAGGTAAAATTCGTCGAGACCAACAGGCAAGGCAAGGCACTTCTGTCCCTGTTGGTTGCTCGTTCGTGCGTGCATGCGTGCGGCACAGGCACAGACAGGCAGGCTTTGAACAAACTAGGACCTGATTGCTTGCTTGCTTGCTTGCTTGCTTGCTTGCTTGCTTGCTTGCTTGCTTGCATGGTGTATGTACAGTAGAGGTGAGTTGGCTCCCCCGACCCACCACGACGGAACCTGCCTGCCATGGCAACGGTATCGTTTAGGGACAAGGCCGAGACGTACGTAGGTGCTGATTCATCGGTGAGCCGGTGTCAGCTGGTGTGGGTCGGACCCGGGCGTCAAGCAACCCCGACCCGACCCGACGGGTTGAGGAGGAGCTGTGCCTCTGCCTCGCAGGGCTGGGAGTGGCTGGCTGGCTGGGCTGGGCTGGCAACAAGGCCGAGCGAGCACAGTAGGCAGTTTTGCTTCTCTTCGCCTGGGCTCTGGTTCGGCTCGGCTGCTTGGACCTGGGGAGGGTCGACCAAGCAATCAAGCTGGTCAGGCAGGCAGGGGCGTATGTACGCCTGTCCGTCTCCCTTTAACGTAACGTAATATTCACGTTCTGCCCGCCCCCCGCCCCCCTTCACCACGACACGTAGTCCGGCTGTTATCTCGGCTGGCCAGGTCCCGGCCGCTCTAGAGGTTATTCAGCCTCCGCCCAGGCGGCATCCGGATCCCCAGCGCCGCAGCCCGGGCGGCAGCAGGATCCCCAACACCGCCCTCACCACCTCCTGCTTGTTGCTGCTGCCCCTGCCCCTGCCCCTTCGGCACCCTGACCTCGTCGACCTTGCTCGCCTGGAGCGAGAACGCGGGGCACACCCACTCGCCGCAGCTGCACTTGAACCCCTGCCAGGCGTACCGGCCGACGTTGGCCCCGCACCGGGATGCGCCGCCACCGGCCCCGCCCCCGCCGCCCCCGTTCCCGGGACACATCAGCCGGCCGTCCAGTAGGCCCTCCTCCAGGACGTCGCGCATCCACGACAGCGGCTCGATGAAGTGGTGCGGGCAGGGCGTGTTGTTCTTGTTGGTGGGCTTACCAGCTTGCTGCCGCTGCTGGTGCGGGATGATGAAGCGCGAGTTGGCGAGGACGCGCGTGCACTTCTTGCAGCGGAGCTCGCTGATCGTCGTCCTGGACCTGCTGTCGTCGTCGTCGCCGCCTCCGTCATCAACACCAGCCTCCCCGTCAGCAGCCTTCGGCAGCTTCTCCTCGTCGGCGTGGTCGTCCTCGAAGCGGATCCACTCGGGCGCCTTGCCGATCCTCGCGCTCTCCTCGACCTCGCGCTCCCAGACCCACCGCTGGTAGGCCGGGTGCTTCTCGACGGCGGCGTCCCCCCCGGACGTGGGCATCTTCATCATGACCCACATCTCGAGCTGCTGCATGAACCCCGGGTTCGGCTCGGCGATCTCGCGCGTCCGGCGCACCCAGTCCAGCGACGCCTGCACGGCCCCGCGGGCCGTCTCGGCGTCGGGCCCCCCGCGGCTGTGCAGGGCCAGCATGGAGGGCGTGAGCCCGTAGCGGTGCGGGTACTTCCAGAGCAGATATGCCAGGACGGCGGTGACGGATCGCGACTTGCCCATTGCGCAGTGGACGAAGACGGCGCCTGGTTTTGATGGGTCGGCGGGGGCGGGCGCGTGCTCCTGTAGCGAGAGGTTGCGCATCTGCGCCTCTGGTAATGATTCTGTCCTGGGCTTTTCCTGCTGCTGCTGCTGCTGCTGCTGGTCGCCGCCCTTGTCCACGGCAGCGCCGTCCTGCTCACCCCCGTCTCCTCCCCCCTTCCTCCGCCTCGTCCCCGGCAGGGTAGTGCCCTGCGGCCAGGGCCCGTCCCCACCGCGTAAGCCCCTGTCGATAAACCTCACGGCGCGGGGCAGGTGCACCAGCAGGTCCTCGTCCTCGACGTCGTCGACGTCTATGCTCAGGTGGACGTAGTGGTCGTCGAAGCCTTGCCAGTCGACAAAGCTGTACTTGATCATGCTGAGGATGTGGGTGATGGCCTTGCCCTCCATGGCGCCGGGGCGGCGCAGGGCAAAGACGCCGCCGACGTAGAGGTCGTCGGGCCCATCGACGCGGTTCAGGGCCATGGCCTTCTTCTCGATGTACTGCAGGTGGGCGTGGTCGGCGCCCTCGAAGGCGGAGCGGGGGCCGTGGCAGCGGTGTTTTGGCGGGTCAGGGCAGCCGTCAGAGGAGCTGCCGTGCCTGTTGTTGTGGGCGGCCAGCTCCCGCTTGATCTCGTTGATGTCGAGGCCTGTGAGGGCGGCGAAGCGCGAGCAGCAGCCCGGGGACAGCGAGGTGACGTCGTGGGCGGTGCCGTCGCTGTCGTAGTCGTCGGGGTCGGCGTCGCTCTCGCTGCCGTCGACACAGGCAAAGTCGTCGATGTCTATGCTGCTGCCAGGCACGACGGGGGTGGTTGTAACGGGTTTGGTATTGGTGGTGGTGGTGGTGGAGGCTGATGTGCTTTTGCTGCCGGTGGAGACGGCGGTGGTGATCTCTGCTGCGCGGTCTGACTCATCAAGCGATGGCATAGTCTCGATTCGGCCTGGCCCGCTGGTGCGGTTGGTTGGCTGGTTGGATGGCTGTCTGGCTTAACTCTAGTCGGTGATCATTTCTGGTCCCCTTGTCTCTTCTGCGTGTTCAGCTCAGGGCGTGTCCAGTCTTGATGGATCGGGGTGGCATTGATTGACATTGCTCTGAGTTGTTTGTTTGCTGTTTTGTTGGCTGGGCCGGGCAGGCAGACAGGTCGGAACACCAGAGGCGGTTCGATCGGCCGGTCAAACGGTCAGTCGGTCAGTCGATCAGTCTGTCGATCAATCAGATGCAAGCAGAGCAAATCAAAGAAAGAACCGGATTGCAGCAGACTGGCTGGCAGGCTGGCAGGCTTGCAGACTGCCAGCTGCCAAACAGTCGACATCGACGTCAATGTTTGGAGACGGGCGGGCTGATGTGCCACTTCTGCCCCACTCGAGCCTCCCCACCTGCCACCTCCCAGGCAGAGCAGGACGAGAGCACCTGCCGCTGCCCCGCCTTTCTGGCCCCCACGCCGAGCTGTCTCCACACTCTCTAGCGCGGGGCAGGTTGTTGCCATGACCAGCTCACACAGATAGGTAGAGCCTACACTAACAGTAGTGGTTGATTTGCTCTAGTCCAGCCGTTACAGACAGACGCACGTGTGGTCTGGTCTACTCACCTTGCTCACCTTGCTTACTCCAACCCGTCTCTCCACACTCCAATCTCGAAACCCCATACCTCTCACACCTCTCACGCCTCACTCTGAAATCTGACACTCAGCCTTGCCTGCTCGGGGCTGCAAGGGGGGCGGAATATCTCCTAGTGCTGCGGAATTGCCTGGATGGCTGGCAATGCAATGGCTGCTGGTCAAGTGAACACAGCCCAGCCGCCAGCCAGCCCTACAGTCTAGCCCAGCCCAGCCCAGCCCAGTCCAGTCCAATAATACAGCCCCATCTTGTCAGTAGTCACCAGCCTGCTTGACTTGGAAGAAGCAGCACCCAAGTAGTCCAAGTAACCAGGTAAAAGTACCAAGCTGTGGTCACTGGTACCTGGTAACTTAGATAGGGCTGAGCGCGGAAATAGTTCCTGCTCTGTCTCCAGGGCTCTAGATAAATTTAGAAACCGTCACACATACACGAAAAACAAACATCACCTTCAACACTACACGTTGATGACTGATTATCAAATCTTAACCTACAAGAAACGGCTGCAACACAACACTTCCAATCCTTGAACCGTGTATACATACTACCTAGACCGCAGTAGCACCCAGCATCCCATATCATCGACCCCCGGCAAGAGGAATAAGTACCATGGCTCAGTTCAGCCCGGCACTTATTAACAAGTCACCTACCTACCTACCTAGGTACTAAGGTAAGTACCTACGTATTCGACAGCCCTGCATAGTTCATGGGGTCCGGTCCAGCCCCGTCGTGACCACAGCACATGTCTGAGACACGTCGCATCACATGGCGAGGATCGCAAGGCAGGCAGGCAGGCACCCACGCAGGCAGAAACGTCGTCGCAGTACAGTACAGTCCAGTCTGTAACAGTACATCCCCGACTTGCTTCCTCCCTGCTCCCCCTCCCAGGTACTGTACATCCAGTCAGCCCGCCAGCCCGTGGCCGCCTGATCATGAATGGATCCCACTAGAAAGGTGAAAAGAGAAAAGCAAGAAATCCTACGGCTATTCCGTTCGTCAGGTAGCGACCTAGGTGGTAATAGCCGCCCATTAGTTAGCCACCCCGGCAGAGAGACATGCAAGAAACCATCATGACCACATGCAGGCGGCTGCTCAGGACTTGGCCAGCCAGCCGGCCAGGGTGAGCACTTACATGTGTAAAATACAGAGTACAATCCACCAAGGAATAACCCCCCCCCCCCACAAAAGATCAACGGGCACGCCGTATTGCCCGGAGGGGGGCGACAGACACCGGCTCCTCCTCCTTCGATCCTCCCGCGCTCCTTCATCAACGATGTGCTAGTGATTTAAGCATTACTAATAATACACAATGAAATCCTTCAGGTACTTTCTATGATGAAACAAATTATCCTATCTGGGAACACTGGCAGTAGTTATTCATATCGAGACACAATGATACCTACCTTAACGATTTGTGCAGATACTAAGCCTCTTCATGTAAAGATTTCCTTCCTGAATACTGCAGAAGATGCCGGGTGGGAGGGGAGGGAAAAGCCCACTTCAAAACGTATAGTGCCATCCATCCATCCACCCCCGGCCATCCTGGCTGAAATTGCAAAAGCCTCATCCAGCAATCTAAATGCCCAAGTCTTCTGCACCTGGGGCTTGCTCCAGACCACCCCGCCGACCTAATTAACAACCGCCTGGTGCCAATGGAACGCTACTTGAGCAAGAAGGAGCACGAGGACAAAATACAATGTATGTGTGTGTGTACCTGCTGCTAGGAAAGCCCATCCTCCTCCGAGCCGTGAAATATATGATCCGTCACTCATATCGCCCGCTACTCAAAGGCAACCCCGTCTGATTTCATCCATCTCGATACCGAACTTCCCCATCCTCCACAGCCCAAAATCATTCATGTCACATCGCACCCATCCGCCGCCCACCTCGAACCACTAAAACCCTAGACTAGAAGACAGTCAAGAAATAGTGACATGCATGTGCGTACATAGATAGGGCAGGCAGGCGGCCAGGCCAGGTCAGGATCAGAGGCCAGGCGCAACCCCAGGTCACCAAAGGAGGACCAGACACCCCGGGCCACACCGGGATATCCAATCCTCCCCGAGGCCCAAGCCGGACAAGTCCGACTGCGCGACTGGCTTGTGGGCTGACTCCCAAACAATCCTTCCTGCCACAAAGAAAAACGCATATACTTCCCCCCTTTCTAGAAACGGGCAGATGAGTGAATAATGATACAAAAAAAAAAAGGCCACCAATGCTCGAGTGATGCCCACCCTGAGTGTATTGCTATTGAAACCGAAAGGGGCAACGGAAAAACAAGACAAAACGAAAAAGCACACGCTCAATCGTTCGTGTCTCTGTAAGTGTGCGTGCTGCCTTTCCTAACCGAGGGCCAAGTGTATCAAACTACCATTGTCTGTCTCTCTATCCCAAGGCCATCCGAGACCCATTTACGGACGTACGTAGTAGGTAGCGAAACATGGCGAGCGAGGGGCAAAACAAGACAAGAGGACGAACCCACCCAGCCAAACCCAAGAAAAAGAAAATGCCGAACCGAAACGGGCTGGGCTGGCTGGCTGGCTCCGCCCAGCTTCGCGAATCGGTACGGTGATGTGTCTGCCTGCCTGCCAGGGTGGAGAGGGAGGGCATTTGTGACAAGTGACATCTACCTAGAGCACCAGGACCGTCCAACAAGCCAAAGCCCGGGCTGGTCGAATCCATCGAGCTGCCGCACGGCAAACAGCAGGGCCAAACCCAAGCAAGCAGGCAAGCAAGCCCTGCGGATCCCCATCGTGCAGCAGACAGCGGTGTACTGTATGCAGGCACCACCACCCACAACAATCCTTCAAAACCCCCCTCCCCGTGGGCCACGGCAGCACGGCCAGCCACACCCCATCGTCTCGCCAATTCGAACATTCAAGTTGTGGCCAAGGGTCTGGTGGCCCCGATACATACGTAACCTACGGCCCTTGTCTTTCCTTCCTTGTCATTCGCCTCAATCGCCCGGCCAGCTGCTTTTTCAGGGGGGATGAGAACTCAGTATCGGCGGCAGTGCCTGCCTGCCTGCCTGGCAGTGCCTGCCTGCCTGCCTGCCTGCCACACCACCACCGAATGTCCGTCCACCAGGTCCTAAAGTCGATAGACAGATAGATAGATAGATAGTATTCGCGCCGCCCCAGGCCAGACCAGGCCAGGCCAGGCCCAGCTAGTTACTGAAAAGAAGACAAGAAAAAAAAAGAGGCGGGCAGGACAGCCAGGGCAGTCAGGCAGGCAGGCAGTCTCATCCATCGACCCGCACGTCTACTACTACTACTACAGCTAGAGCAGCCCCTCCGCCCACCACAGCGGCGGCGGCGGCGGCATGAGGTCCACATCGCCCGCCGCGAGTACCGTACTAATAATAAGGGTGCTAGACCTGTGTGTGCGGCGGCACAGCAGACATCGTGTCCGCCCTACATTGCCATACCCTCGGCCCGCACGATGCCGCGTGCCGCGCGAGGCGTCGAATCAATGTCTCGGAACCGGAACCGGAAACCGCGACCAGCAAGGCAGCAGCAAATTGATTGATATCTAGGCTAGTTGGCTAAGTAGGTATGGGCGGAAACCACTAGGGCTGGGTTGGGCTGGGGGCCTGCAGGATGCAGCCCTGCGGCGCAGTCCCGGGGGCGTCGTCTGTGGCGGGCAGGGCAGGGATGGGTCGACCAGACTAATTACACAGTATACCGAAACTTGCGAGGCGCGTTGAGGAGGAGTGGAGGAGTCTGTCAGTCAGGGAGTCGGGTTACACACGCAGACAGACGGACAGTCGGACGGACGGACGGACAGACAGACAGACAGACAGCAAAGAATATGGAACTCGAGCGGTCCGCAAGTTTGTGTCGACGCTTCGAGGCCCAGAAATTACGAGACTTGGTATCGAATTGATGTTGTAGTCTATCGCCAAGTTTCCAACGATCCAAGCCACCCCATCCAGCCATCATAGACAAGTAAGTAGACAAGGCACAACTCAGTCCACAGATTGATTGATCGATTGATCCGATCCACACACACATCGGCATCGTGGGCTTTCACTACTCCCCGGAAGAAGAAAGCGGTCAATCCCCCCCCCCCCGGCCTCTCCCAGGCACCAACAAACAAGCCCTCAAGCGCGAGCGACACCGCAGCGCGAACAGCAAAGGCCTCTCAATCAATTGATCAATCAACTCGCGATACCACGGCTGGCCGACCCACCCATGCGCTCGCTGCATCTGCCGTGCGTGGTCAGGGCCAACCGACCAAGTGGGTATGCAACTACTACATAGTACCTCCTAAGGTATGGATAACACCACAACGCGGGGGGGGGGGAGGGGGTTGAGATCCTTCGAGCCTGTCCCAAACGAACGATCCCATACCCACACCGTACTCATGTCCGTGCCACAGAGGCTCGTGACGCGAACCCGAAAAGAAAAGCAGCAAAAAAAAAAAAAAAGCCTCGGGTCGGTTCGACAAGCTCGCCAGCGCTCCTGCAGGTGGGCTTGCTTGTCTGCCCAGTGGATGATGGCATGCATGCATGGCCCACGCGAATCCTTCGCGCACTCTTGCCAACTCCAGACGAAGCACCTTGTGGGGGGAGCGGAGTGGGGAACGGCCACGGTGGATCTCAAGAGAGGTGAGTGAGTTGCCTCGAGCATTTGGTTTCGGCTGTTTTTTCCCATCACGGATGCATAGCAGGCACAAAGTTTGATCCTGCTCTAGACGTGCTGGGGAGACTGCAGGCGGGGGGAATCGTTTTTCTGCATTTGTTGTCGCGATGCCAGCGACCAACGTCTGTCTGTCTGACTGCATGCGGCTTTAAACGTATAGAATAATTATACCAGTACACCCATACGGCATACCTTGTGTGGTGTCAGGCGTCCCCCACAGCAGCGGACTGCTTCGAGACGTCGGAGTTCCCAGCCCTACTGCTGACGGACGCTCTAGCCAGCCCCATCCGCAGACCGCGTGCGCGTGCGTTGCCCGCAAATCCGAGCGCCCCAAGCGTCGCCTTGACCCATGCAGCTCGCCTGAATTTCCCGGACACGTCGTACACACCAGATGTCGCGATGTCGCGGTCTCCCCCCCCGGCGACCAAGGCCGGCTCGCGGCCACAGGACTGTCACAACAGGGTGATTGGTCGCATTCGGGGTCTACAGCCCAGCCTGTTGGTGTTTGCAGCCTCTCACCCTCGCGAGGCCTCACACACAAAGTCCCGCGCGTCTGCGCCATGCTGTTTCCCGGATGCGCGTTATCACCGCCGGCCTGCTCCGGCTGGAATACCTCATAGCTCCATTACTGAGGGCTCGCCTCACCTCCCGGGTGGTTGCGGTGGCTCCTCTTCCATCATGCATGCGTTTTCCAGCATGTTGGTCCACTTGCCGCTCGTTCCCGCGTGGCTGTGCTTAAGGTGTTGTCTGAAATGATCGGCCCGGTAGAACTTCTTGGAGCTGTTGCACTCGCGGAACTTGTGGTGATCTTGCAAGTGACGCACTCGCTCATCCCAGTCCTGTTCGGTGACATGCCGCACATGGCCCGCCGGGCTCAGACCCGATCGGGAAAACTCCTCACCACAATAACCGCAGGTGTCGGCCTCACCAGGCCGCGTAGTTGATTCGTGGAAGGCCCTGTCATAAGTCGCAAGCGCAGAGCAAGACCATGAATGTCGTCGTACGTGAAGTGAATTTTGGTGTCGCTCAGCCTCATTCTTGTTCTTGAACCTGTTGCCACAATAGGCACACTCATACTGTTTCTCAGCCTCGTGGGCGCTGTTTGGCGGCAGTCCTGTCAGTCGGGCACTCCCCTGGCGTCTCCGTTGCAAGCTAAAATAAAAGAAGTACTCACCCTAGCTCTTCACGAGTGTCGAACTTCTTCGGCTTCTTGGGACAGCAGTCACACATGTAGAATCCTTGGATTTTCCCAACGCCGTTGTTCGTTCGCAACGTCGGCTCGGTCAGCTTCCTAGGGCTGACCATGTTCCTCTGGTCGCTTGGTCCCCTCTGGTGCAACCCGGTCCGAGGTACGATTGTTGTCCTCGGGCTGAGCGTCAATGAGTTTGGAGTGGCAAAGGGTGAGCTTGCCACGTCTGTTGGCGACAAGCCACTTGGTGATAATCCTATGGGCGATCTCCGGCCAAAAGACAGCGAAGAGGTCATGCTGGTGGCTGTGCTCAATCCTCCGAGGCTTCCACTTCGGTCACCCGACGAAACAGAAGATATGCTACCGTGGGGCGGGTTGACGGACAGCCGCGGTGCTGGGCTACCCCTTGAGATGCCCTCGCGGCGGCGAAGGAGGTCACTATGGCTAGATGCGTTCCTGAGAGCAGGCTCTTCAACAGGCGGGCTGGAAGCCCGACGCTTTAGGCTCTGGCACTGGGTATCAAAGCTGTTGACGCGGGAGTGCTGGCCTTCGTCCAGGTGGATGTGGCGCAAACGGTTGGTCTCGTCCATAGGGAACTCCATCTCATGATCGTAGGTGTCCGCCGGCGTGAGGTCGCCCGGGAACGCGCCCGAGTTCTGTCTCCGGGCCCTCGAAAAGGGGCTTCGATCAAAATCGGTTGCTGACTGTGGTTCTGTTGGCGACCGGTAGTCTTGCGACCGAGCCAATTGCGCAAAAGGCGTACTACGAGGAGACACGGCCGAGTTCAGAGGTGTCTCGTAAGGCGTGGATTCGAGGATTGGCTTGGAGCGGGTAGGAAGCGATAGTTGAGGCAGTTGGATATGGGGCCGGTCGGAGGAGTGCCACGTGGGAGACGGGCCGTCCTGCAGCGAGCGCATGGATGCGCTCAACGCTGATCCGCGGGACGGTACACTGTTGTCCAGGCCCTTCTTCGCATCTAGTTTCTTGAGCTGCTGGTTATCATACGAGTCGCCCGAGGGGAATTTGTAGTGGTCGTGCACACGGAAACTGGGGCCTTTGTCTCGCGATCTGGAACAAGCACGTTAGCTGCGGACTTTCTGGCCGGGGAGCGCCGCGCGCGGGCGAAGGGTTGGCAGAAGGACATACGCCGAGGAGGCATAACTTGACAAGCTCGAGTAGCCCTCGTCCTTGCCGGTCAGGGTAGTGTTGCTTTCCCTCCTGCGGTAGTCGGCAAACTCGTCTGCGCCAGACCTCTTCCAGCTGCCATAACCGCTCTCGCTCCTTCCTCCGAAGAAGCTCTCATTGTAGGATTCCTTGCGCTGCCGTTCGAAAAAGTCGTTATGATGTGGTTGTGGCCCGTCGACGGGCACAAAACGCGGTGGAGGCAGGGCAGGCGGTGGGTTCTCGTGGGAGGGCGCATTAGGTATTCCCACCCCGCCGGGAGAGAGCATTCGGTCAAAACTGGGGTTGAAAGGGCCATGCGAGCCAAAGGGCCTCTGGCTTGAGCCATACCGGTCATCGTCATAGATTGATATAGAGGGGGGACCAGGTGGTCGCGCGCCGCGGATGTCCATGATGGGCAGGGCTCGGGTCTCGGAGCTGATGTGATCGGACGAGTGGTTGTGGGTTAGGCGAGGGGATTCCGAGGTTTAAACCCGCAAGGATGCGAGGTTGCGCCGCAGGGTCGTGTGGGTTCACCTGGTACAGAAACGGTCAGGGAGAGTCAGGAGCAACAAGAAGCGGCCGCCTATGGCCCCGCAAGGGATCTGGACCCACGTGGGAGAGTCAAGAAATGACGTTGAGGGAGCGAGTCAACAGTATTTGTGCAGCGGTTGCCGGGCCTGTTGCATTTATCTCGAGGAGTGTGGTAGTTTGAGGGGGCAAGTTGGCCAGGACTCAATGCGCCATGGGGTGGATTGAGTCGTGTACAACGGGACCGGGCCAGGTAGATATCTGGGCGCCACGGACAGCGGTCGGCACCACAGAGGAACCGGTGGGCGGTCGAGAGAATAGTGGATGTTGGTGTGTTGCGCTGGCGCAAGTTGCTGGTGCTGATGCAGATGCAGATGCAGATGCTGGGCCAGGCTTCGGTTCTGGCTGGGGATGCTGATGTCGGCTGATATTTATTTGCGAAGGTATTTTGGTAGGTATCACGGCAGCAACAGTCGCCAGGCAAACAACAGCAAGAAGGCGCTCCAAATTGTCGGTATGGGAAAAAAGGGACCGTGTAAAAGGTGCAAGTAAACAACAGGGCGAAGCTGGCAATGTCCCAAAGAAAAACGACGCTTGTGTATCACAACAGCAGCAGCAGCAGCAGAGAAGAACAGGACGAGAAAGGTCGGTGGCGGAGTGTTGCGCAGGATGACTCCAGTCCAGGGCAGACAAAACGATCGAGTCGAGCAGTCGAGGAGTCGAGGATGGTTCCAAGTCCAAGTACAAGTCCAGGTCGAGTGAGGGCAGGTCGGGGACGAGTATGTAGAAGCACAATGCAAGGTGCAGGCAAGCAAACAATATTTCAGGAAGGGGGGTGTAGAGGAGACGAGAGGTGGGTGCGGATATGTGCCTTCCTTAAGTGGTGCACGAGTAGTCTTGGGCCCAGTTTGGAGCAGGGTAAGGTTGGTAGGGCAGGGCAGGTTCAAAAGGAGGAAGGAGGCGAGGCAGTCCAAGGAAGAAAAGCACGTATGGACGGATGCACGCAGCTAAGTATCGAGGCATGTAGACTATGTATCTTGCAAGGTTGTCACATACTGCCAGGCAAGGCAAGGTAAGGTGGAGAGGTAGGTCTCACTCATTTTATTACTCTTCTGATCTCTCTTCTCTCTCTGTGCCTGGTCCTCTCTCTCTCTGTGTGTGTGTGCGCCTGGAGAGAGAGAGAGCCAGAGCCAGAGCCATGTCTCTAGTGCTGGTGCTTGGTTGCTTGTCCCTCCTGCACTGCTGCTCCCTGCCCTGCTCCCTCGATCCCTGGTCCCTGCCTGAGTACCGGTACCGGTACTAAGGCATGGTACGGGGTACCTGGGTACCTGACATTCAGGGTGGGGCCCTAAAAGGTTTAGGGCGGAATGGTAGCCCAAGCTTGGGGCGGGAAGCAGGGGTCCACAGGTCGGGCAGGCTGGCAGGCCCGACAGGGTCGAAGTACAAGTTCAAGTCCAAGTGACCCAGGCTGGCATTGGCATTGGCAGAGCAGGGCAGGGCAGGGCAGGGCAGGCTGGCCAGACAAACTGGGGCGCCTGGACGACTGGACTGGACCGGACTGGAACTGCTGGACTACCCTACACAGTACTCCGTAAGCAAGGAGCAAAAGGGACACACACACACATGTACACACACACACACACATACATATGCAGTAATGCACCTATACATGTTAGGACGTCGTGCCTCGTGTGTTCCGCTGCCCGGGTCTCGTCTCTAGGAAGGAAGGTCCGGTACTCTGTAGTACTCTGTTAGTTCAAGCTCTTTCCGTCCGTCTTTTCCTCTTTCCCACCTTCCCACTCTGCCTTGACCCCAACCCTGCAAAGTGCGAGGGGGGGCGGCGGGTACTGCAAGTTCCGTACTCGACATTTGTGCATCCATCGCCTTGTGCTCCTCCCTCACGGTGGTGTACAGACTCACTCACCTTGGCAGTTATTAGATTCCTCTGTGCCTGCTGTGTCCGTGCCGGTGCACCCTTGGGCCCGTGCGCCCAGGTGAGCCACTGTATCATTGTACCGGCGCGCCGGCGTGTCGAGGGGGACGGTGTTGCCGCATGCGGCAAGTGTTTCGCTCTTTCCTTTTTGCATTTGCACCGAGGACACTGGAGTTTCCGCAAACTGTAATTGTGCATCCAGTTCGGCTGTTTATTTGGCTGTCTGTCTGTCCGTCCGCCCGTCCGCCTGGCCTGTCTGCCTTCCAGACTTTTGTGTGTGTGTGTGTCCGTGCTAGGCCATCAGCGAGAGCAGCAGCGGCAGCCATAAATATGCCTTCCCTTTTCAGCATGCCAATCGTCAACCGGCAATGTCAAGCCCGTCCTCATCTTCGTCCTGTATTTTATCGGGCGTGTCAACCGTCCGAGACGGAACAGCCACTTAGTCACTGATAGAGGCGAGGCGCACGCAATCAATGCAGGCCAGTTTCTAAAAATAAGAGAGAGCAAGCAGCATGTAATGTATGTAATGTAATGTACATGTAGGCTGCTGCTCTATGATGTGGTGTGTGTGTGTGTGGTGTGTGGCATGGCATGGCACGGCACGGCATGGCATGGGCATGGCATGGCATGGGCATGGCGAGGCAAGGGAAAAAAGGGCAGGCCAGGCCAGGCCAGGGCAGGGCAGGGCATCGCATCGCATGGCGTGGCGTGGGCAGTGCCAGTCAATCAATGTGCCATTCAAAGTCCCGAATATCATCCAGCAAAGCCATCAACCAACACCGCAGCAAACCGGTGGGCACTTCTCCATCCTGTCGGTCCAGTCATCAGTCAAGTCATCCGACGTGCATTCAGAAAGGATACAAAAAAGATGGAGGTAGGTCAGATCGGCAATGGGGACACCTGCGGGTACGTCGTCTACCTGCTGCACGGTGTTGGTTTTAAACACTTAACACCGCAGGTAGACTGACTGCGTCGGTACGTTCTGGCACACCGCAACAAGGCGTGATGGCATGCATGTGTGAGGTATCGTCATGTCTCGCTACATGGTACACAAGGGCCCGGCTGCTTGCCTGCTGCCTTCTGCCTTGGGGGGGGGAGCTGCATCCGTCCCTGCCTCCCAGGGCTGGATCGCTCCCCGTCTCCCCCCTCCTGCCGTCCTGCCCTACACCCTGCCCGCCTGCCAGCCTGCCCTTCGCTTTACCGTTTCTTCCTCGTAGGGCAGAGTGTGCAGTAACCGCAACGTTGACAGCTAGCTCCCCGACAACTGCTCCGTTTCTTTTGTCCCCTCGCCTCTCGCCTCTGTTTGGGCATCCACACACATTCATCCAGTCCACCCGCCCACAAATGTCACAATCCACCTCCACTTCCGCGGCCCACGGCCCAGGTCCTGCATGTCTCTCTCTATCTACCAGTTCTACTCGGTCCTCAGCACTCAGCACACTACAACGCAACACGGCCAGGCGGCAAATGACCGACAACTTGGTCGCTGGCTTGGCTTGGCCTGGCCTGGTCCGACAGCCACGACAGCCACGACAGTCGCGACAATCTGGACAATCAATGACAATCAGCGGCAATCTCCCCAGCCCGGCGGGACGGAACAGGACAGGCTACCAGGACAGGGACTGAGAGACTGAGGGACTGAGGGCCCGAGACGGCAGACGGTCAACTGGAGGCGTCTTCGACGGTGCTGGTGGGGGTCTCCCATGCTCGGCTCCGAGCTACCTGGCAAGCCTGGCTACACAGCACTCTCTCACCTGGGGACCAGGGCACGATGCCCTGGATGCCTGCCCGCCAAAACCCCGGCTGTCCTCGTCTGCCATTTCGTCTAGCAGAGCATTCCACCACAATATGCTCTCGTCGATAAAAGTACCAGCCCAATAAACACACCCGCAGGCCCCAGGGCACCACCACGCCATTGCACATGGGATGGATAGGCCCAAACCCATGCACCCGCCCACGCCCACGCCCACGCCCACGCACGCCCACGCCCACGCGCTATGCTGTCCTGCGCAGCCCATGTCGTGCCATGCCATCCCATTCAAAACACGCCCGCGGTTCAATTTAACCCCCCCGCCCTGTCAGCCTGTCCGACCTGAGGATGGCCTGCCTGCACCGAAACCACCTTGACACTACCGAGCCGTAGTAGTACGGAGCACGGAGTACGTGCAGGGCTCCTGGCAGAGGCAGACAACGGGCCCCGTCTCATCCATGTCCATGACACCCGGGCGGGATCATCAAGTTCCTCCCCTGCAGCCCCGTGTGTCCAACATTCAGACATCTGCAGCACACACACACCCACACACACACTAACGAGAGCCAAATCGCCGCCCTCGTGGCGGTGTCCTCCTCTCCTCGCCCGTCAGAGGGCCCCGTGCTGACGGTTGTGTGCAGGGTTCCCAGCTGGGCTGAATGCCTGGATGGTCGCTAATCTGAGAGTGGGTGATTCCCCAGCCCTACATGGCAGAAAAAGCAAACACCCAACAGACTCCCAGACACCGTCCACCCCCCTGTCCGCATGTGTCTGTTGCCTCACTGTGGAGTCCGTCCGTCCGTCCACTGCCACTCCGCTCCACTTCAGTCTAATCTTCAGACCCATGCTCAATCCTTTTGATTAAACGGAGCGGATTGCTTGGCAAAGACGCTGCTGCTCACGGCCAAGCTGTGAGGACAGACCCCGAGCACGAGCCCATCTCATCCATCGCCCACCACCAATGTTGCTTGGGAAGAGGGGCCGGGACGTCATGACACTCACTCACTCGCTCACTCACTCACCACTGTGTGCAACCACCGGATGGCCGCGCATGCTTGCTCGTGAGATGGTTATTTCTCCATTAATTGATGGCCCCGCTGTCAGGGCCCAAGAGAGAAGGGAGGCCGCCGCCTGGAATCCGCGGCCTTCCATTCCGAACCGTGCTGCTCTAATCAGGCCGCGGGCAGTTTCGTCTGACTGCGGGGCGACTCACGCGGCTACGCAGTACGGTGTACGCTGCGCCGTCGACTGAACAAATGCATGACCCCCCAAAAAAGGTACAGCGTTCCGTTTTGCAGAGATCGCCGGACTGGCCTCATCCCTGATTCTGAGACCGCCTACGCCATCGACGTCCAGGTCGACTACAGCACGTCAGGCTTATCAAAGCCACCACGACGGCTAGGCAGTGAGCGATCCGAGTGCCAGCCTCATCTACTCATACCGACTGGGCCCCCTTCGCACATCGCTGAGTGCCCAGCGCCAAAGGACCTAAAGGGTGTGACCACCAGCACACCGCTCACGCTGTGGGCAAGCCGGCGTCGTAGCAGTGTTTGACGGCGTCGCACAACCCGGCAATCTCCAGTACACTTGGCTCTGTCGATATCATTATCACAGCCCCTCCCGTCTAGAAAGCACAGTAGAGCAGACCATTCGGGGGCGATAATAATGCAGCCGGCTCTTCAGCCAGACTAACGGTCCCGACAGACTGGAGAAGGCGGCCAATATACCACTCAGCCGGTCCGGTCAGGTGTCCATGGCCAGCCTGCTGAAATCGTATTCGTCATACCCGACGGTACTTTTGATGTTTCAAAATGCTCTCTTCTTCCTCTCGTCAGATCAGTACTAATGGATGCTGCCTCGCCGTTCCCCTTCGTCCGGTCAGGATTTTCGCCCGAGTCCAGTGCAAGCGCCCGCCAACGCTTCGTATGCGCGAGGTCAGTGCGGCAAAGCTGACGAGTTGCTGTGGCGCGCCAGTTGCAGAGACCAACAGGATGACAACCTATTCCAGTGGGTCTTTCAGCTCGACACACGCCTTCCGTACATCTGATACAGGTCAAGCCTTCGCCCCCGCTGACTTATCCCCTTCCCACCTCAAGTATCGATCGATAAAATATCCCTCGCCAACCCCCAAACTTGACCGCCATTTTGCTGAAGCTGTTGGCCATCTCCGCCCAGGCTGTCCACGCGAGATGAGCCTGTCGTGCACCGTGGCGACGACACGAGATGACGAGAGCCTCAGACCCCGAGTTGTTCCGGTCTTACGCAACACGCTGGGCCTGAGAGCCAAATCATTCCTACGGATTATCTGTCACCGTCCTGCCCTCAGACACAGGATCAAATCAAAATCCTCAGTATCACTGCATGAGCACTTCTGGCTATCGCTGACACATTAACGCACGATACCTGGGCCAGGCATAACCAATGGTGTACATCTGCTCAGCGAGCAGTGGAAAGTGAACCGGCCACCTTGCACATGATAGTTGCAGCACTCTCGCCATCCCACCATCCAGTCATGCGACGAGTTCCCCAAGATTTGGGCCGAGGAGCCCCTACAAAGCTATGTTTCTCATTGGCACAATGACAGTGATTGGTACAGACCGGGGCCCATTGCTTGATAGGCCCATTGGGGTGTTGTTGACCCGCCCGCAGCGGCTTTGTGTGTGCATTGCTCATTCAACTTTGGGTGTCGGGGCTGGTCGAGCCTAACGGCTCGCGTGCGGCACCGAGCATGGTTTGAGCCGTCACCGTTCCGTGGAGCCAAGAGACTTAGCTGGCTTGCCCTGGCTGTCGCTCATCACAACACCGGTTTTGCTTCATTGGTGTGCCACTCCGTCGGGTTGCTTCAGGGCCCATTCAGCCTGTTAGTCACTGCCCAACGCAGACCTGACCTGTGCGTGTCATCGCGCCAGCATCGGATATCACGGCGTGGGGAAGGGCACTAGCATCCGAGCGATCGTCACGACCGGCTCGACCACTTTAATGAAGTCAGTGGCCTCGTGGCCAGGCTGCCAGGGCTCATAAATCCCTTGCAGGGGAAGCTGGCCGCTGGTCGCCGTTTAGCTTCAGTCACTGCGCAGAGCTACCGAGTCTCTGGGCCGGCCCCCGTTGGCGAGCATTGCCCTGAAATCCCTGCCAGGCAGCCCAGGGAGCTCCCACCTAGCCCTACAAGGTGAACTGCTCCGGGGCGAGCTAAGCTGGAACGTTTCACCCGTCGGGCAAAGGACACCGCCCGCTGCACTAAGGCTCAGCAGTACCAACAGAACTGCCATCTTATAGCCACGTTTTCATGGCTCCCGAAGACGAACACAAGAAAAAGCGTTTTGTGACGACTCTCTTTGTGAAAATATCTCTGGGCCATCGCACCGGAAAGCCTGCACATGAGACCAGCAGACTCAGCTACCCTAGGGTAGCCGGGCTGATGTAGTGTACTCCGGCTCAAGGTCCACGCCATCTGAGCGCCATGTCTCATCATTGATTCTTGTTGTCCCGGTCAGCAAAAAGCAGGCGTTTTTTTTCGAAACGGAGCGCAAGACGCCGCACTCAGGCTGTCAGGATGGGCTGGATGGCCGACACCACCACATCCTTCTCAGCCCTACGACTACCCGCCAAGGCTGTGACTGAGGGGACGATGGGGCAACGCTAGGAATGAGCCTATCAGGAAGGAATATCCCTGCTGAGCGAGACAACTCGTCTGCCTTGCAGGGTGCGGGGTCTCTGCCCTCTGACTGACTGGTTCGTTGTGGGACGGCAGGCCACCACTGACTCGGCAAAAGGTATGTACTCCGTACACACAGTCAATGCTAGCACCGATGACTTGTTGGCTGGGTGTGTATGGCATCAGCGAGGCTCCTCTGCTGACCTGCTCCGAGCAGGAAAGAAGCAATATCGATGATGGGCCTGTCAGTCGTTGGGTCGTTGGCAGTCATGAGAAATACAGGTATACAGACTCGTCGGCCTTCAGAGCCAAAATCCGCAGGCGAAGCAGTCAACTTTGCACAAGTACGGAGTACAGGTACGGAGTACAGGCTCCGGCTCATCGTCACTCCTGCCACTGAAGAACTCACAGCATTTTGCGTCCTCGACTTTCTTTGGCATTTCGCGATCTGCCAGGCGCAAATTCGTCCGTTGGCTATACTCCTCGGATGTAGTGAACTGCTCGTTGCATGCACAAGTTCTCAAGCAGTCCCTCGCATAAGCGCCCCCCCCCCCTCAAGTCATGTGCACCCATGGCAACGCATTCCTTGCCGTCGGCCTGCTCTCAAGGCGCCAAAAATGAGACGCTCAAGGGCGGCAACGGCAGGCCCTAGTGATCATGAGATGGACTCTCAGATCCCGTACGTACAGCCCCATACCCCACGTTGTGAGACATCGACGTCCGGCGGCACTGCCGGCCGGCCAGCACGGACTCATGCCAGCGTGTAGTACCGACGCACCCGGCGGGCCTGCGTACTGTACATGTCTGTCTGTCTGTCTGTACCTACGGACGATAAGACATCAACTCATCGTGAGAGGGTCAAAGAGTAGTCAACATCAAACCGACTACTGTGGGGGATGCCCTCGCTCACATAAACATGCGAGGTTTCGGCAACGAAACATTCCGAAGGCAGAGGTAGATGGCCCGAGGGAATGGGGTCTGCGCAGCGCGCTGGCACGGTGGTGCCCCCCGGAGGTACTGATCTGTCGATTTGCAGCGCTAGTTCGAACGTCGAACGTCGAACGTCGATCCGAGCTCCAAGAATAGGAACTAGATTAGACGATCGTCGCGGGCCTAGGCATGCAAAACTTAAATCCAGAGCAGCTTGGACGGATCCGTCTTTGTCTGCAGTAGGCCAGTGAGGGGGTTTGGTTCGCTGACTGGCTGGGCTGGCTGGTTGGCCAGCCAGGCTCGGTCTCCATTCTTCTGGAAGAAGCCGAAGAACGAGAAGCGGGACGAGTGCTCAGCGCTTCTGGTGCTGGCGGCCTGGCGGCTCGGCATGTTGTCTGGACTGGCTGACAGACAAATCTTGGGAGGGCCGGATTTTCAACCCGCAGGCGGCAAAGGTTTGGATTCCCGTGTCGCACCACCCACCCGTCCGTCGAGCCATGGGGCGGCACGAGCAAACGTGGGCACGCAGATCTGATCTCAAACAAACCCTCGGCGCCACAGAGGCTCTGCAGGCCTTGTCAGATCCCGAAGGACAGCTCTCATCCAGTGGCCCGGCCCTGCTTTCGGCCGCAGGTGGGCAAGAGACGCACCTCCCCGGGCGCACCGTCCACCACCAAGCAAATCGTCGCAGCAGTCGTGCCCCTGGGCACGCACGCACACACGCACGACTTGGGCACGCCTGCACGTCTGCACGCTTGAGCCACCTGGCAGCCTCGCGGAGGGTTGGTCAGGGGCAGCTTGCCAATAGACTGTGGCTTGGCTTCCCGGTCATGTCGCCGTGCTCGATATCCAGACTCAAAGTCAGGACTCAGGAGCGAGCTCGCGGCGCGTACCGGTATTGTCGATTTGGCGGGGATAGGCCAGCGAGCGCCCACAGGGCTGTAACTGGGGCTCCGGCTGTTGCGGTCTACAGATTGGCGCGATACGCACCGCGGTCCCTGCTAGCCCGTCTTGCCCGTCGTCGACCGCTTTGGTCACGGGTGGAGGCGCTGATCACGCACGCCAGCCACAGGCGACTCCCCAGTCTGCCCAGTGGAAAGACTGCTGCATCGCGGACGTTGGACGTCCCGTCGTCGCAAACCTGAGGCCATGACACATCAGACTGTCACTCTGTGCCGCCGGCGAGAAGCCCCGACCCTCCAGCTCATTATGAGCGCAACCTGGCTCGGGATGCGATGGGGTCCAGACTCCAGACTCCAGCGTCCGAGGCCACACGCCCTAGGTCCATCACAGCATGCACTGTGATGTCTCCTGCTCGATACCACCGCCCCAGCGCCATTTGGGAAGCAACGCGACACCACCCGGATGGGCCAAGGGAAACTATCTAAGCAGACCTATGTGTTTCTGTCCTCGACATGGCCTCGGTACCCACCCACGAGGAGACCGTGGCGGGCCGGGAACAGCTTAGCTGGCGAGCCATCGATGCAGCACGCCTCCTTTGGGCGCTTGGACCTAGCGGTCTAGGATTTTAAAATTGGGGAATGGGGGTTTTATAAAACCTATGGAACAGTATGGCGTAGGTATGATGGGATCGTGACTGCAGTGCGAGGGCCCCTAAGAGGCAAGTGAGAGACCTAAAGACCTGGCAGCGGTACAGGTCATTTACAGTACTGTGTGGTGCCAACACCCGGAGTTGTACGGAGTACGGAGAACCCAGTGCTCCATTTTGCCTGGACAGCCCTAGCTTCTAGCTTGGAAGAAAACGGAGACCCGGAGCCGCCTCGGTGAAAATACTCGGAGGTCCCAACCGAAAATGAACAGATCTCGAATGACTATCTCGATCAAGCATGGTACGTTATTTTTTTTGTTGAAAGGACCCCTCCCCTCCCCTCCCCTCCCCTCCCCTCCCCTCCATCGGATAGCCGGGGGGGTAGGGGACGGTCCATCTACGCACAATGAGATCCGAAAACGTGCCAGAGTCTCCAAGTCCTGGATCCGATAACGATCGGACCGCCCTACAGGGCGACGGCGCGCGACAATCGAGCATGGCAGGTAGGTCATCGCATCACACTTGGCATGTACACGGTACATTGCGCTCAGCCCTCTCTCTGATCGCAATGTGCCATGGTCCTCGGTAGGAGAATCACACGCTCTTCCCGGGCAGGAATTATTTGGGTTCCTCGTCGGCAAGGGCCTTGCTAGCGACGCTCCCAGGACCAAGGAGCTGGGTGTGGGTTTTTCTTCGACGCCGCCAGCCCGGCCGCCCGCTGCTTCAGCCCTTTGGGCGTCGAGAGCGGGTCCCCGCCCAGATCATCAATCCAGTTCGGCGGCCTAATCTACCTGCCGAATGAAACAAGCAATGCGAGCTAAACGGGCGAGGGCCAAGAGAAAGGGAGAGATGGGGATGGGCGTTAGGGGACCAGACGGATGGGTCGTCAACCCACAGGGGTTTCTGAGGCAAGACGAGAGACAGGTAGGACAGGCCTGAATGCGCCCCGGGTGCCCGGCGCGAAGAGAGTCAGAGGGAGCGAGAGCGCGACGGAGGTTGAGTTGAGTGAGTGTGTGCCGGGCTGGGCTGGCTGGCGTGCACGTGGAGGCCTGCCGGGCAGGGAGATTGAAGACGATCGGTACGATAGAGGGCGTAACGCTGGACCCTTGGCCCCTTCATCTCCGTGGTTGCAGTCGCTTAGGGGGAGGGTTGATCATGGGCCACACCCTGTGCCTCGCTCGCTCTCACCCACGACCTGCCGGTGTTAACTTAATCACTGTCCCCCAGGCTTGCTGCCTCCATTCCGGCACAACTTCCGAAACCCCGTCACCTGCTGCTGCCCTGCCAGCCTGCGTGCCCTGTCAGCCTGTGTTGCCCCTCGACCGCAAAGGGTCCCGCAAGTGCCGGCCGCGAGTCTCTTCCAACCCCCTTCACCCCGGTCTCCCTGTGCCTCTGCGTCTGCAACAAAACCCCCCAACCCCTCTGCCCCTCTCTGGTCTGGGCAGTCGTCAGGGAGAGTTCAGGTCGCCCTTTGGTTCCCCCACTGCGACGGCACTCGGGGCGGAAAACGTGACAAGGCTGCAGCTAGGGAAGTTTCGCCCCTGGTGTGGCCGGCCTCGGTCGGTGGCGTTGCGGACACAACCACACTCTGACGTCGATTCACACATTTACACTGCTACACTACCTGACTATGTACATGCGCTCCAAGGCGAACGGTGTGAGCTTGGCTAGGTTTTGGGAGGGACAGAGATAGGGTTGAAGTCCGGAAGCTTCTGGACAACACCACACACACCACCACCACCACCACCGTCAGGCACAGCCCAATCCCCGCGACAAACGTTTCGAACCACTGATGGGCTGTCGCTGTCCGCCTTACCCCATGTGTTCGAACGTCGGGGGTGTTTGGATGTTATTTTTAACATTTCCCCTTCCGTCCCCTTCGCCCTGTTCTTCTTCCTTGCCTTGTGTGGTGGATTGCATGTGTCACACGGGGGGTGACCAGACTTGGTGTGTGTCTGTGTGTGTGGTGGTGTGTCAACCGTGATGGGAGATATTGAAACATGCACCCTTACACGCACGTGTGAGTGCGTGGGTGCGTGGGTGTTTGGGTGGGTGTAAGTGTGCCTTACCTTGCCTGCCCTGTGTGTGTGTGTGTGTGTGTACAGCCCCGTCACAGGGCGAACCTGACACGCATTGTTCGAACCCCCCGGGTAATGTACGGAGTATGGGAGGGCATGATGAGCATGGCATCGCACCCTGCCCTGGGGAAGGCTGGGCAGCCGGTGCCATGTAGATTGCAATCTTGTTTCTGCCCGGTCTCACCAGAAACGAACCGGAACGCTAAAAATTGATGATGTGGTGATTGGGTTTTTGGTCGGATGAAAGATGTGTGAGCGAGGGACTCGGGGTTCGTGAGAGCGCGGCGGACAGGCACCTGGCAGGCTGGCAGGGCAGGGCAAGGCAGGGCGGGAAGTCCCCAACCAACGAACTACTGCCCGCTTCCAGAAGTCTTCTCCCGCACCCGGGCGCCCGTGGGAAATTAACAATTGGGGGTTGTTGATATTATATCGCCCTCGGTAAGGAGTAGCGTACCAGACAACCAGACAGCCAGACAGAGCCAGAGCCATCGACCCACACGTCCCTTTGATAGGAGGAAACCCCTGCCGAGATGCCACACACCCTCACGGCACTGACTGCACTCGGTCGGTGCCTTGGAGATGTGTGTGTGTGTTCCTGCGCAAGAGCGTTTTGTTTGTCTGGGAGGCGGAGAGCAGATCTATCTGTAGACAACAGCCAAACCAGGGGGGAAAGAAAGAAAGAAAGAAAGGAGGAAAGGTACATGCTGCTGACTAACTAACTTTTATGCCACTTGCATCCCGGGACATCTTCGGGGGGATACTTGCGACCTGCGCGCTGTGGTAGTGGTGTGGTGTTGCCCTGTGGCACATTATTAGGCTCGCAGCATCGTGCACGATATGCTCCCGCACCCCTCGAGCAAACATCGTGACTTTCCGTGCGCCAAGCAGCCCACGGCGGCAAGGAGCAGCCATGCCGTCGAGAAACTTAGCTCGGATGTGTGCCTGGAGCAATAGGGTCCCTATCCCTTCCCGCTGATTGAGTTGACTGATGTCACCGTTTCGCACGGTTGCAGTGTGTGTGTACAGTAGTCGGATAGACATGACAGACAGGCAGCAGACAGATAGACTACACCCCTAGCCCATCTTTGCCGACGAGCAACAGCAGCCAATTGATGCCCGTTTGCCCCCCCCCCCTCATCAGCCCTCTTTTTTTCTCTGGTGTGTGGGTGAGTATTCTTTTTTGTCTCGTCTCGTCTCGTCCGTCCGTCGACGTCGTAGTTTGAGGTTACACGGAGTTACCCAACGCGTGGCGGTGCCCTGCCCTGCCCTGCCCTGCCAACCTGCATCTCTTGCGGCCCCCTCGCCTCCGGTTGACCAGTACCCAGTCGGTTGGCCAGTACCCAGATGATAGATCCCAGCGCCCAGGTGCCGTGCCCCCCCGAGCGATCAAATGACAGACAGCCATGATCTCGGGACTGTCACGATCTCCCTCCGTCCGTCTGCCGGTGTCGTTCTTCTTCCCTTCTTCCCGATATAGTAGTAGTACATTGGCGTATATGACATGAGGACATATACCTGCCCAGGTAGGCATCGGAGGTTTAAACTTGGGCCTTTTCTCTGCCCTGCCCTGACCCACACTCCCCCCCCCCTACACCACACCCCTTTCGTCTGCTCTGCCCTATCAGGCTCAGGGACGAGACTGCCAGGGCAGAATGACAGTGCAATAGTGCCAACCTTGATTTTTGATATGCCGGGGGAGCTCAACCCAACTCAACTCGACCTCACCCACACTGCCCACCTGCCACCGCACCGCAGAGGCGAGCAACGCCGAATTTACAGTTCCGCCGGCTCCGCACGTCCCCTGCCTCTGTGGTCCTCTCCTCCGTCTCCCCCTGTGAACCCCCCCCCCCTGCCCAGAGGTTTGGGGGCGAATTTGCTGCTGGCTGTCAGAGAGCTTCTTCAAGTTCTTCTTCTGCTCGTTGGCCCCGGGTGCCTGACCCCCGGACTCCTCTCCGTCCGCGGCCGTTCTGGGCCTCTCACCCCGTTCGTGCGCATGTATGTATGCATGTACTCTATGTGCATACATCCCGTGGGGGGGAGGACGGGGTGCATGGGGCGTGGGCTGCCCACCCTGGCAGCCCTGGGACAAAACTGCTGTACTGCACTGCTGTAGCACGGCCCTTGGCTGGCTGGCTGGCATGTGATGCGATGCGATGCGATGCGATGCGACGGGCGCGAATGCGATGTGCAGATGCATCGCCATTTTTTTTTTCTTTTCTTTTTTTGAACGTTTAGTCACCCGCCAGCCCGGCTTGCCTACCTGGGCAAGCAACCACACGCGAGCCTAAGCCCGCACCAGATCCCGTCCGCCACAGGGGCGTCGCAGGCGTGGCGGCGCGTCGGGGATGTTATATAGATCGGGAGGTTTATTGCGAGCTACGGAGGAGAGGCGGCGATGGACGGCTGCGCCCCGGGGCGGGTAGTGCTAAACCGCTGGGCGATCTATGCGGAGCGGACTCTTTTTCTGGTCCTCTGGTGTGTCTCCCGCCCCCCTTCTCCCTGCTCGTCCGTGGCGGATTGTAACTTGCTTGTACAAAATATGCCTGGAATTTTCTGCGACATTTCTTTATTTACTACATGGTAGTAGAGAGCGCCTGCAAGGTTGACAGGAAGGCGACGAGGACCTTTCACAGATGGATATTTGGTTCCGTCCGAGTCAGCACCCGCGTCCCCCAGGCTGGCTCCCATCTACTAGTACGGGGTATATCCCCCCGGCCTTGGCGCTCGACAGAATATGTCTTGTTGGCCGCCCGACCTGCGGACGACGACGAACAACAAGAAGGTGTTTTACTAAGGTTCTCCTGCAGTCGCGCCGGCGGGAACGATAGACTATTTCGGCTGCTGTACGCGCAGGGCGCAAAGGCATATTCGTTGGTTTCCCCCCCCCCCCCCTTTTCCCCTCTTGTATGCGCCTCTCTGCGTGTGCGTCGCAGCCAGCCCAGGCCCCAGCCCGTGCGTCTTTGCGCTGTGCTGTCCGGACCGGCGATCACGGCACACTTCACTCACTCAGATAGACTTGCCTTGGTACTAGTAGCTCCGTCGCGGCGCGAGGGCGCGCACATGTGCATGTCCATCCCGTCCCATGTTCGGTTTTGGGTGTGGCATGTGTGTGCATGCATAGTCTATACATCCATGCATGCGAGTACAGTATGTTTACATACAACCAACCTCCCTCCCTTCCTCCTCGGATGACCCTGCCCTGGCTCCCGCGCCCGTGCCCGTTCGTTCAGGTTCTATCTGCCTGTCTGCCCGCCCGCGCTGCAGGAACTCATCCTCTCCCCCCCCGTGCGCCGCACGGGGGAAACCCATGGGGAAGGCCCGTGTTCGTTTTGTTTTGTGTGATCGTTGGCCGTTCGTTCGTTCGCTCGTTCATTCGCGGTGGCAAGCCAGCAGGGGGCTGGTCTGCCTGTCTGCCCGTCCGTGAGTCCGTCCGTCCGTCCGGTCCGTTCGTCGCAGTGGCCAGTAGAGAGCTGGTCTGCCTGCCTAACTGCCTGCCTCCCTCCCGGGGGTCGTGATACACGCCCGCACCATGCCCCGTCCGCCCGCCCGCCAGCCAGCTAGCCCGCCCGCCGCGGGCCAATACGCAGGTACTCCTGGTCGAACAAGGCCCTCCTTGATGCTACGGCGTAGGTTTTTGTTGCGCCGGGCAAGGACCAAGGGCCGCCGCGCAGACGACGACGACCTGCTATTAAAGAACGTGCGGCACATATAGGGGTGGGGTGGTACCTTGGTAGTGTACAGTATTGATGATGCAGGGTGCCGCGGGTGTGAGAGAGGGCCAAGTGCCTGCGCAAGGGGGGTTTGATGCGTGGGCCGGCAGGAAGCCCGTAGGGCAGAGGAAGCTTCTTGGGTGTTCCGTGCTGCCGCGCCGAGAAGGTTTTGCTCGGCTGCTTGCTCGCCCTGGGGGGCGTCGTCCCGCCACGCATCATCGCCCCCTGGGCCCAGGTGGGGGTATGCATGCATGCGAGATCTAAGCCGGGAGGGAGGGGTTTGGCAGAAGGGGGTTGGTTGGCTGGTTGGTCGGCCCTGGGGGTGGTGCTGTGTACTAGCTAGACTGGCCCGTGGTACATAGCTTGCATAAGTTAAATATTCAATATGCTGTGTTGGCATTAGAGTTTGGCCGGGGGCTGTGCAGGACAGGACAGAACAGGACAGGTCGAGCAAATTGCCTGCCCGGACGCAGCCCAGACGGCTTTGATGGCAATGAGCAGGTTTTCTCTTGTAACCTCTCTTTGATATGCCATGTTTCAATATCACACCCACGTCCGGGGAGGACCAGCCTCTGGTTGGCGGGTGGTGTATCATGGGCACAGGCTCCGCTTGGATGGGCCAGATACATACCGCAACGCAAGCTAGCAGGCAGGTGAGGTACAGTACATAGATAGGTAGACAGGCAAAGCAGACGGGCAGACGGGCAGGCAGGCGGCTTGATCCGCCGGCCGGTTGGGGTGGCAGCGGCAGAGCAGGCCATGCCCTCCATACGATGTTGCAGCGTGTGAGCGAAGGGGGGGACATGAGTTCCAGACAGGAAGAGCCGTGAGACAAAACCTTCACACTGCCACACGGATGAGTGCAGGCGGGCGAGTACGGCTCCCCGGTGCTGGGGGCAGAGTGGTCTCGGTCCTTTGTACGCGGGATTTGCTTTATTGGGTTTCTGTGTGAGCGAGGATGGTGATACCTGATGGAAGACACGGGAGATAGATCGGTGTTTCCCGGTGTCAATCTGGGATGATATTGTCCCCCATCTCCCATCTCCCGTCGTGGCATCTCCGTGATGGCACGACTCTCGAGCCCGATGCATGGCGGGTGCATCCAGCTGCATACTCATGACTCACTTGGTGTCAGATGGCCGTTGCAGAAACACAATACCGCCCTGAGATTTGTTGTTGTTGGTCGGCCGCCAGATGTCGGTCCGCGGTTGACGGGTGATCCCAGAAAGCCTCGACGGTCACATCAGGAACAATGCAGAAATGGCACCACCAACAACAGCTCACGGTATTTACTGGGGAGGCCTGATGACGTGCAATGCTGGCCCGGCAGTCAGTGTCTGTGTTTCGGGCAGCTGACTGAATCAGGAACCTTGTGGACATGTGCAGTTGTCCTCGACAGATGCATGAGGATCATCACCAAGTCAGGTCAATGCGAGCTGGTCCTGCGCAAAGACGTCAGCGAAGATCATGTTCGTCTGTTCGCCGCACGTTCTCCAAATCTGCGGTGCGTGTGTGTACAATACGGAGTAGTCGAGGGCGTGGTCTAGACTACTATGTGGTACTTATTACTGTGTAGCAGGTGGCATAGCACCACCCATTGGCCGTGGCGGTCCGGCTGGGAACCTTGGAAACGCGTACGCGCCTACAAGCTTACTCCGTTACTCCGTGCATCTGATACAGTAGGCTAGACGCTTGCGGCGGGCTCAGCCAGCCCTAACCAGCCCTACCTGGCTGCCCTAGCCAGCCTAGGCGAGGAGCGAACCGCCACTGATGGCATGTCTGGCCCTCCAAGGCCGTGGCTCAGGGGCTGGGTGCCGAGATTTTCAGCTCTTCGCCGGCGGCTCAGTGGCTCGGCTCCACACACACACACCCACACACACACATTCACTCACTCACTCACCAACACACGGCATTGACTCTGCGTGTGCGTGCTTGTGTCTCGCTGGGCCCACTCTCAACTTCACACCTGCCCTCACGTCGAGCATGAACACGAGAGTGTGTACAAGTTACGAGTGCCACAGCCTGAGTGAGTGATTTATCGTGCCCCAGCCTCCAAGTCCAAGCTCCATCTCGAACCAATCACTTACACGACACTGGCTGACATGTCACTCGGGCCTGTTATGAATAGACGTACAAGCCCTGGGCATGCGAGCACCGGCATGGCCCTATCTCGGCGGGAGGCAAACATCTTGGGACCACCGACTCAGGGACACAACCAACGGGAGCCCACACGGTGTCTCTCAGATCGTGTCCCAAGGAAGAAGGTCATACAAAGACAGCCTCAGAGGGCTGTGCCACCGGGAGTGTGCATCAAAGTCCATCTGGTATCGCCTCCGGCTGTTACGCCCCGGCTCGTCCGTCCAGGGCTGAGGACACCTCGCTCCCTACGAGGCCAGAACCTGTGACACCAGCTCGAGATTCGGGCTCGGGGTCATCGACGAATCGACGAGCGGTGTCTAGCCATCCATGGCCACCAGCGGCCAGCCGCGTCCGCTGGCACACACGTGAAATTTCTCCATGGAGTCGTGTGTCCCCATGCCCCGTAGCATGTTCCATCCGAGCCCTCCAGGTCAGCAGGCAGTGGGTCCCAGGGCATCAGAGACCCACCACCGCCCACCACAAGGCCAGGGAACGGGGATAGAAGAGGCAGTATCATGCCTGCCTTCGCCCTGGGGCACACGATGGAGAACAGGTTGGGGCTCGTGTCACGCCGCACCGCACTCGACTTGGACCAGGCTCTTGTGGTGCGTCTGTGTGTGTATGTGTACGTGTGTATACGTGTGTGTCATCGTGTTTGTTTATGTGTCTGAGCCAGCCGGCCTAATCGCCGGTGCTTCTCCCCTTCCACGGCCCTCGAGGACGAGGCCAAGGGGGGGCCCCGGGGGTGGCCATCTCGCCGGCCCTGCCCAATTGGAAGCACGAGGCAAGGGATTACGGCCGAGAAGTCCCCAGCCCAGGCGCCTCCATTCGACCTGGGCTGTCTCGTAGGGCCGACTCAGACACTCTTCCTGCCGACCTCATAGGCCGTGTGCTGCCGTATGCAGGTTTTTGAGTGGGAACGTCCTCGTGTGACGCTTCCCGTCCTGCCCGCGGCACTTGCTGACGGGGCCCCCAAGCCGGCCTGGTGGTTCCGGGGGCCAGGCAGGAACGGTCGGCCCCTGGATCTTGGAGAGGACGGGCCCGCCTGGCCCGGAGAACTGATGCTCAGAGCTTTCTGGACGCAGGCGTGTAATCTCGGCGCCAGCTTTTGTGCCCAATGGCATCCTGCTTGCACGGATGTGATGACCTCGATACGGCCCGTTCTCGAGCCTTGTTGCGACTCTACTGACTCGACGGCCGCTGACCTAAGAGGATTGGTCCAGATTGGTCGAACGTGATGCAGGTTGCTCCATAGGAAGGAAAACCTCTCAGGTCTGTTTACCCGGTTGATTCACCGACCCGGGGCGGGTGGCACTGCGACGTTCGAGTCGCTGGATGATCAACTGCCCTGCTCCAACGGAGACATCCACAATATCGGTGCCAGCACGAAACACAACCGAGCCTCGTCTCGAGCACCAGCCAACAGAAAACACTCCAAGATCGACGTCGTGACGTCGAGTGCCTCTTGACGTGCGGCCCCACTGAGGGGCGGCCAAAGGTGTGTCGTCTGGTTCGCTCAGGCTGAAGATTTACCATTTTTGGCAGAAGCTTCATCTCCGGGAATAAGAGATCGCCGCCGAGCGAGAGGGCTGAGAGGGCGGCAGGGTGGGTCATCTCGCCCGGCCTCCCACTCTGCCGCTCACCCCCTCCAGCCCACTGCCCCTCCCCATCATCCGCCTTGTCCGGACAATGTCCATGTACGCCATCGCGGGTACCCGAGAGAAGCGGCAGACAACCTCCACGCCGATCACGGGCTGAGTAAGCTGTTGGTCAGTCAGTCAGTCAGTCAGCCAGGCGGGTCAGAAATAGCTCAACGGTGTTGAGCCTCAACTGCTAGTATCGACCACGCTGCCAGCCGACGTCCCAGGACCATGGTACAAGAGCTGAACGAAGCGAGGAGCCGGCTAGCTGCTGTACGGACGGGGCGGGCGGGCATACGGGGCGGTCGGCAGGCAAGCAGACGGATAAAACCACCAGAGACATTGCCATACACTGCTGGCTCTGTCGTGGCTTGCGGTGGCTGCCGCCGGTCAGAGGTCGCGCCGCGTGCACCACCATGGCATCACTGATGGCTGCCATCGAGACGGGAGGAATATGCGATCACCGATCACGTTGGCGATCCCTTCATGCACATGGCGCAGCTGAAGCCATGCGCGTGATACCCGCCGTTCCCTGCCCCCCCCCCCCCAGGACCGGCGGGCAGCATCTGTACCTGCGGCCCTGGCAGGCGAGTCCGGGGCGTTGGAGGTGCACACATAGTCTACAGACCCTACAGACAACGTGTTTCTGCTGCAGTGAATCCCCCCCCCCTCCTCTTCTGGGCTGGGCCGCAGCAAGCCGGGGAAGGGAGCTTCATCTGGCACGGGGGGCCGGTGGACCGGTCTCCGAGACTGGCGTTGCTTTGTGCTTCTTTTTTGGTCACTGCTCTCTTTTTTTACATCCTTCGGGATATCTCGACGCGGGGGCAGGGTGAAGGGCTGGCCGTCTTTGCATATCGCGACGAACCTGTCCCCCGACGGTACCGAAGTCTATGGGGACGGCAGACGTAAGCTTGTCATTTCGGTTCGACCAGGCCGACACAAGCCATGTAGGCAAGGTAGGTAGGTATCTAACCCTCCTCAGTGATGACACACATTATACAGTACCCGCACCCACACACACACACACACCCCCCATCTCGCCAGGCTGTGCCTCTCTTCTGCAGCTGCCCCTGCATGTGTTGCACAGGGCCTGATGTCTAGTGTAGAGTGCGAGCTGTTTTTCCGAGCCTCCCGTGTGCTGCTGCTCCCCACCACTGTCCCAGACAGGGGAATATGAAGCAAACTCTGTGTCCGTGACGACGACGACGAGGCTGCATTGCATTGCATCCGCATCGGCCTGCTGTCGTCCGTCTCGAAGTGCGCAGAGAGACAAATTATTTCCCGGCATAATGCAATGCGAGAAGCTTTTCCCATGACAAACTTACACTTGCCTGTCATTAAACCCTCGTGTGCATGCATGCAAGAAATAAATAAACATGAAGAAGCAGTATAGACAAGCACCCAAAGGTGGTAGTGGTACCGTACTGTGTGGATAGAACACGACGGGGCAGCATCATGACAGACCTGACAAGGAGAGACCAGCCCTGGAGCCGCCGTCATCGGACTGCCGATCCGGATCTGCCCTGCGGGAAAACAAAACGTCCCAGAAACGTTGCTCCCCACAGGGCTGACACAGGGCCCCGGATTTTCCCTCCCTGCAGGAGACGAGCGTGTAAGTAGCCAGGCAGTCAGCCAGGCAGTGTTGTTGGTGTGGTCGTACGGAGGTGGTGCACCCCGGCCAATGCCCTGGGCAGGCCCAACACGGCTCGGCTGGGCTGGGCTGGGCTGGGCTGGGCTGGGCTGGCTGGCTGGCTGACAGACAGACGGGCGGTACGGGGCGGTACGGTGCGCTGCTGAGAAAAGCAGGCGCCGTGTGACATGTCGGGCCTGCTTCTGCTTCTACGTTTGCTGCTGCTGCTGCTTCTGCTGCATGCGCTCCTTCTTGGTAGATAAGGCTGCAAGCAACAAGGGCTGACCACGGGATGAATCACCTGATGGGCACTCGATCGGGGGGGGGGGTGTCTGTCTGGTAGGCTCCGGGGGCAGGCGTGCCGCAGCGATTTCTTTTTTGGCGCCCCGGGAAACGTAGGAAATTGATCAGGACGAGGATGATGACGATGATGATGCACACACACATGGTCCAGGGCGTGCGGCGCTCACTCGGTCACAATTTTCACTGGTGACGAGCCGTTCACCCGGGTCTGTCCAGCCATCTATCTATCTGGACTAGCCGCCCGTGTTCATCTGCGTAGTTCTCACGTCGAGTCATCAGATCCCAATCCCTCACATAATCACTGGTCACACAGGCGCGCGACAAGCACCACCCTCAGATCCAACCCAGCCTCCCGCCATCTCGCTACAATAGTCGCCCGGCCGGCCGCCCGGCCGGCGCCTGCCTGGCCCTAGGAGAGCGGTAAACGTCGGTTGCGTGGTAGTGGTAGTAGTAGTAGTAGTAATAGTAGCAGGCGGAGGATGACACCTTGGGATGAGTGTGCTCTGCTGACGCCCCCGCGGGGCCCCCAGACGACTCCTGATTGAAGCGGCTGCAGTGGCAGCGCAACCGTAACACATCCAATCAAGCCTAGTGGGGAGGGATTATGCAGAGCATCGGCTGTGCTCCTTCGTTCTCCTCTGCTTGATGAGCGAGTTCCCTCTCTCGGAGCGGGTGTGGCTACACACACACACACACACACACACACACATGCACAAGCCCGTTGGCAGTTGGTCCCGCCCTCACGGCTCGAAAAGAAAAAACGTGGTGGTATTTTTGACGGTCTCGTGACTCGAATTCGGGGGCCGAAAGGGCCGGTCCGTGAGATGGTTTGCTCCACGTCGCTGGGCGCCTGGGTCGGGGTACTACTACTTCCGGGGGCGGTTTGTGAACTTAGTCAGGCCCCCGGTGCTTTGTAATATTTGGATATCAATATAGCCCAGCTTGGGTCTGCCGTGTACAACGACGTCAATCGCCAGTGGTTCTCGTCGTATTATTACAGATCATCCATGGACGGTCTCGAATGCCAGTGGTGATGAGATGTTGTCCCCATTAGGGCCGAGGGTTTGATTGCACCCCAGCCAGCCATTCAGCCATTCCGAGTCAAGGTAACCCCATTGCGTGCTGATGAAGGTCCAGGTCGGTACCGGAGAAGAAGTGATCTATCGCGGCGGGCATAGCAGAGGCGATCACCACCTGCATTGGCCATGTCACTTGGCCGTCGAATGGCCCCCTCCACCCGGATGACCACTTTCGTCTGATGGTGGCCGAAGGGCATCGGGGATCTATCTCGGAGTCATGAAGGCGGCGCGATGGTACCCAACGCCAGCCCGGGCGACTCACAGACTCCACCACTACCAGACAAAATCACCAGGCTACGGAGCAATAGTAGTAGTGTATAGCGGGTGCTGCACGCACACCAGGTACGCTGGCCATGAAAACAAGCAGGCGGATGTAACGGAAGACGACATAATCACAGATGGGCGGCCGGTGATGATCGTACTCGCGATGTGGATGTGGCATCCGTGGCCGGCGATGGCTGGATGGCCAGTCAAGATCGACAGAGCCTGCATCTTAGGTGTCATTGGGGCACGCCCTACCGGATACCCCTTTCCCGACTTCAAATTGCTTCCGCCAGCCCGACCGGGTGGATACCCGAGCGGTAGAGCAGACCTGGGCGGGCTTGTCGTCGGCTGCGAGGGTCGCCGTCGGGAGGCACGTCGGGAGGCACGTTTGGAGGGTTCTGTCGTGCCGATCCCCCTGAAGCACAGCCGGCAGCCGCTAAAACACATGGACGGCATCACTCATCATCAGCCACGACAATGTAGTAGCGTAGTGAGAGGAAAAAACCTGATGGTGCGCGTGCCTGCATATCCCATCCACGGATCACGTCCCTCAGCTGTACTAGTCGACGCCTCCAACCGCCGCGCCAGCGACAGGAACAGAAGTTCTATGCGCGGCTGAAGCCGTGGCGAACGTGGCACAGATCGATACATGTAAGCAGGAAGTCGAGTTTCGCCCCTCGCCCGAGTGGGCGGTGTGGTTTGCAAGTGTTTTGGCGTGAAAACTGCCCACTTGTTCGAGTGCCAAGCGCGACCATTTTCAGCAGCGCCAGAAAGCTTACGGTCTCTGTAGCCTAACTAATCTCGTGCAACATGAGTCTCTTTCCAGAAGGTTTCTAGAAGGTTTCTAGCGCCATGCAAGGGATCGGTCTTGATCCATGGCCGCGGCACCTCACTCGCCCGCTGACCAAGAGGCCGAAACCTCAGCCAATTTACCCGAGGGAGCCGGTCCTGGACACTGGGGGGTGCGCCCGAAACTACAGCCAACCTCATCTCCGGGCCCAAACCTCCGGTATTCGCTCCCATTTGATATCACAATCCTGACACTGCCATGGGAGCAGAGATGGGACACAGAGAGGAGACGGGGATCACACCTGCCCTAGGGTTCAATAAACGCTAATTGGGAAATCTTGAAATCTTTGCCATATTTCGATTAATCTTACTGCTTCCGGTGTAGTCCCGCCCAAAGTTACGGAGCCGACCACGCGACAACCCAGCCATGTGCCCATGTGCCCATGTGCCTGCCCATGGCCGTCCCAGGCAGCCAGGAAAGTGATGAAGAAGGGCAGATCTTCAGCCCGAGGCCGTGCGCATCTCCGCCCAGGTTTCTGAATGACAGCTCGAGCTTGAGCCCACGCGGGCAGGGGACTAACTGGCAGGGCAAATCACGTCGATCACCGCGTGTTGCCCTGGCGGCCGGCCCTGCAGACACACACACCCCTCCCTCCGCCTCTGCCAGCCCAGCCCAGGCAACCTCTGGGACGACACGTTACAGCTGTGACGGGTCGTCTCAACTCTATCTGGTGTTAAAAGTCCCCAATCAATACCCCTTCCCGATAAATTACACCGAGACGGACCGGGGCGGCAGGCCTGGGGTGCCGGGGTTGTGTTTCTGGCCCGGGACTTGCATGTCTTACGGATAACTAGGTACACTACGGAGTAGATAGGCAAGACCCTCACTCAAACACATACCAATGCTTGCCCCGTGTACGCGAGGAGACGGGGATCTAGCACGCAGCCCTGAATCCTCCGCGCGGCCGGCATGACGAGGCAGGTGATGGGCACCTCGTCTGATACTGGGACCGTAACCTTCACCCACCGTCATCCGGCTCGCCTGGCAGAGCAAAGACACTGGATACACGTATTACGTGCTACGTGGAGTGGGTACGACACTCGAAGCTGTTTCAATATGATATGCTTCTTGGGTCCGCAGGTATCTGCCAGGCGGAGCGATGATGTAAAAGGTGCAGCACCTGGAGGCTGACCGGGTGTCCACTTTTGATGCCGAGCTGGCAAGATTGTACATAGTATGTACCCGGCATGGTATCCAAGAGAGATATCCAAGGGACGCCTTCCGGAGGCCCGTCCCAGACGGCCAAGACGCCGAACAGCGGGCAGTTGCAAAGGGGGCAAGGGGAGAGAGAGGTGTAAAGGGGGATCACGATGATGAGACCTCCCGAGGTCACCAGCAGCCCCTCCAGCCCAGCTGTCTGGCCACTCACTTGTTGTCTTCGCGGTGGGGACCAGTGCCTCTTCTTCGCTGCTGGCTGGCTGCAAGTGCATTTCCTCATCTCGGACTGGATCCTGCCTTTCAATATGCAAACCCACGGGTGCCACGGACGGGACCATTACCCGGGCGTTCACCGAGTCAGTCCCTCTCGTCCTTGTGGGGGCGCCTCTAGCTCTCCCACTTTGACAGCAAACGCAAGTCCCCCTGATCTGCCACGCTCCCCTTCCCTTCCCTGCCCTGCCCTGCCCTGCCCTGCCCTGCCTTGCCTCCCCCAGCACGCCCAAGACGCACTGGCACGATGAATCCAAAAGCACGTTAGCCCACTTGCACCACAGGACTCCGTAATGCCCCACCCAACAACGAACCAACCGGTCCCTCACATGCCCCTCGCCCCCCTCCTGGGCCCCCCCAGTCCCCGCCATGGCCTTGTGAATTTCCCAGTCCACGGTGTGGGGCCCAGCACCACCAAACTTGCCGGCGCGTCCCACTCCCTGGCCCTCCCCCTTCCCGTGGCCCCAACGGTACCCTTTTGCAAGGCTGAAAAAGAAGAAAGGCAGAAAAAATGCCACATGCGTCCTGACAAGGGGGCGGGGTGGGTATTCTAGTCGAACGTACCGGTACCTGACAGGGGGGGCTGAGCGGTAGTATCGTCCAGGACGGGGCATGGGGGTTCTGCGGAATAACGCCTGCCATGCGATTCGCCGGCTTCAACTCGTGCGGGTGGGGACAGGTGTGAAAGGCCCTTTGCTCCACTGCGGATTTCTCTCCGAGCTGGGGCGGAAAGAGACAAGAAAACAAGAGGCAGACAGGCAGACAGACAACAGATGTAGTAGACAGAAGGACTTGTGTGTTTCGTTTGGTCCTGTCTCCTTGGACTGGGCTGACTGGCTGGGCTGACTTTGCTCGCGTGCTGTGTGTTGGTTGGTTGGTGTCACTGCTGCTGCTGTCGTGCGGGCCCCTGAGCCCATGTGTGGATTCACGTGCCTCGGCACTGCAAGCGAGCCTTCCTTCCCCTCCAGCAGCCAGACGCCACGCCTGGGTCCCCCCATGGACATAAGGCTGACTCGGGGCTAAGGATTCTCGTTTGCGGCTGCCTGGCACTGGCGGGTATCCATATCGTCAGGATCTAGTCGGCGCGACTTGGGCACTAAGGACGTGTAGTGCGAGGGCCTTTTGTCAGACCCGCGTATCTTACTTGGCCTCTCCGCTGTCTAAGTAGCTAGGCAAGTCAAGTTAGTCAAGGCGGGGAATCTTTTTGGTGCTGTGTAACCCAGGTCATCATCGCCCACGCTTTGGGAATCCACTGCGACAAATGGTACGTACGTGTAGGCTTGGCTGGCTTTCGCCGGATGGAGACGAATTTTTGTCTATAGTCTCAACCTACTCGGACGGCTTGTTCCAGTGGCTGCTGCGGTCTCACGGCCCGCGTGTAACTAACGTGGGCGGCCCAGATTCCGACCACCCCCAGATTCCGACCACTCACTTTTTAATACAAACACACTATAAAGACACCCACTTTTCAACCCTACCTATTAAATCTAAATAAAATCCTATAACCCTAACCCTAGGCTTAAAAAGTAGGGATTTAATTATATTATTATATAAAAATACTATTTTAAGCTTATAAATATTTTAATATTTTTAAAAAGATTTTTAAACTTAAAAGTCTTAAAATATTAAAAATTCCTAATAAAATATTAGGGATTTATAACTAAATTAATATTAGTTTTTATTTAATAAATATTAATAATAAAAATTATTAAAAATTTATTTTTATATAAAAATACTTTATAATATTATATTAGGTTTTTAAGTAGTATAATTTTATTTCTTATAAAATAAATATATTTATAGTTTCTCTAAAAGAATTTATATAAAGAAAGTAAAAGTTAAATTTTAAAAATATTACTAATACTTATTTAATAAAACTCTTATTAATTTAAATAATAATAATAATTATTAAAGTTTTTAAAAAAGTAGAATTATAACTAATTTATTTAAAAGATATAATTAAATTAAAGTTAAAACTAAAAATATTAGTACTAATATATAAACTTCTAATATTTCTTAATATTTTAAAATTTCTAACTTTTAAAATTATTTTTAAAAATATTAAAATATAAAAAGTATTTCTTTAATATTTTATTATATTAATAGATTTAAAATACTATTTAATAAATATAGGGTTAGGGTTATAGGATTTTATTTAAATTTATTAAATCTGTCTAAAAAGTGTGATTTTATATATGAAAAGTGGTCGGAATCAGGGGGTGGTCGGAATCTGGGCCACCCACGTTAGTTGTGATCCACGTCAAAGCACAGCTTCCCAGGTCGAAGCAATCCGCCAGGGCTCAGGAATGGGGTGCAGGGCTGATCTCACCCGAAGAACATAAACATTCCACGCATTAAAATGAGATAGAATTATTTTGTTGAGAATGTAAGAGACTGTTGTATCGCAATAGGTATGAGCAGTAGCACCGAGGGTGGCGTAATCCCTAGAAAATCAACCCGGCTTACATCTGCATACCATATATATCTAAGGTAGACCCGAGGCTTCACAGTATAATACATCACAAATGACTTTTAAGGGACTGTTCCTATGATTGCGTGTTACCTACCCTATCCGTCATTAGGGCACGGGTTGCGTCCGTCGCAGGCTGAACGCCAGCTGAGATTGCGCACAGCTCGTAACAGCTTGACAATAAGACAGGATCATTCATATAGTTTTCAAAGGATCATGGAAAATTCATGGCTCTATAAGTATCACCATGGTGGTATCACCGGCCTTAGTTTAAAAGTGCAGAATGGCGCCCTGTGCACGTATGTGCTGACTCCGCTTTATTAATAGGTCTATTATTAGGAAGGAATGGTACCGGAACGGTATATAGGCCCCTATAGAGTATTCTTAAGGAATCTTTAACCTTTAACTTATTAAATAGAAATTTAAATAAAATAAAAAATAAATATACTTTCTTTACTTACTTTATACTCTCTAATAACTTAACTTAAATATAATAATTAAATATTAAGTATTATTATATTAATAGTTTTATTTTAAATTTTAAATTTTAAACTATTATTCTTTTAATAAAATTTTATCTTTTAAATTATTATTAATAATATTAATATATTTATACTTATTATTAAATAGCTTTAAAATTAATTAATATAAAATCTATTAATTTTAAATTTAATAATTATTTTATTTTTACCTATTATTAAAATTTATCTATATTATAAAAATTTATAATATTAATTTTAAGTATACCTATTTACTTTAACCTTTCTTTAATAAATAAAATTTAATTCCTAAAGAGAGGTTTAATAACTATTAAATTAGTTAATAAAATAAAAGAATCTTTTAGTTTTTAGTAATTTAATAAAGGCTTTACTAATTAAATCTTAAATTATATTTAAATAAAATATAACTTCCTTTATTATTAATTTGCTACTTTCCTTTAATATTTTATTATTATTAACTATTTATAAACTATTAATATATTAATAAATATTAAATTTATTATATCTTAAAGTTTTATTAATAATACTCTTCTTAAATTTATTTTTAATTACTTATTATTAAAGTACTATTTAAAGAAGAATAACTTTTTATTTTATAAATAATAAATTTAACCTTAATATACCTTATTATTAATAAAAATTTTAATATAACTCTTTTACTATTAAAGATATTATAATTTTATTTATATAAACTATAATAAATAATTAATAAACTTAAAACTAAAATTTTATAATAATAATAGCTTAAATTATAGTAAATCTTTTATTTTATAGATTTACTTTTAACCTTTACTATAGATTAATAAAGGTAATAATTATTTATTTTTATTTAGTTAATATTAAATATTTCTATTTATAAAAGGTTTTAATTTTAATATTTAATTTAATAAAAGTTATAAAATACTTTAATATATTTTACTTTATTAAGTATTTTAAATACTTAAAATAAATCTATTTTATAAATAATATTTATTAAATATAATTATAATACCTCTTTAAGAATATTTTAAAATAATATTTTTATATTTTAATAAAGAATAATTATATTATACTTAAAGTAGTAAATATTAAAAATATTTATAATAAGTTTAAAACTTATTTTATAAAGTTCTATTTAAATATAATAGCTTTTTAAAATAGAATATTTTTACTATAAGATATTATTAATAAAAGGATATTATTTCCTTTCTTTAAATAGTTATTTTAAATATAAAATACTATAATATAAAACTCTTTACTTAATTTATTACTATTTTTAAATTATTTACTTTAAAAATTAAATCTAAAATTCCTAAATCTAATAAGAATATAAAGCTTATAAATTTTTAATTTTATTTATAACTATAAAAATATAATTATTAATTTAATTAAATAATACTTTTATTTCCTTAATTTACTATTTATATTTAATAATTTACTTTTATTTATAAAAATGGATTATTTATTTTCTATATTTTATAATATCTACTTATATAACCTTAATATTAATAGTTATAATAGTATTTTTAAATATAATTATTTTAATTTTTTATAATTTAACTATTTATATATTATTAACTTAATTTAATATTTAAATTAATTTTAATATTTATTTTAATTTTAATTTTTAAATTAATTTTAACTTTTAAATTAATTTTAACCTTTAAATTATTTAATTAAATAAAATTAAATATAAAATATTAAGTATAGTTAATTATAAATATTATTAAATTAATATATAATTTAATATTAATAGTAAAATAAATAATAATAATAAATATTTTAATAATAATTAAATATTTTATAACTACCCTTTATATTAAAAGCTAATATCTTTTACTTTATAAGCTTAATATAATAAAAGAAATTTATAAAATTAATAAAATTAATATTAATAAATATACTATAATAAGTTTATTAACTATATAAAGTTATTTAATATATTTATTTATTAATAACCTTTTTTAAAAATTTTTAATAAGAATTCTTTATAAAAACTACTTTTATAACTTTTAACTACTTTTAAAAAACTTTTAAATAATAAATAATATAAATATTAAAATATTAAATTTTTAAAACTATAACTTTATTACTATTAATATACTATTATTATTAATAATACTTTAATAATTATAATATATTAATAGATTATATTTATATTCTTTATCTTTAATAACCTTAATTAAAAATAAAAAAATAAATTATTTATAATATAAAAGGGATAATAAAGTTATTATTATTTTTATAAAGTTTATAAAATAACTTATACTTTAATAATATATTTTTAAATATATTAAATAGTTAATAAGGAAGTTATAAATAAAAACTAATTAATTTTAATATTATTATAAATACTATTAGGGATATAAAAGTTATTAAATCTTTAATAAAGGTAGATTTAAAACTAAATATAAAATTTAGTTTTCTTTTAAATTTATTTTTATTTTTATTTACCTTTTAAATAATAATATATTAGATATTTATAGAAATATTAAATATAATTATACTATAATTAATAAAGAATAATTATTATAAAATTATTTAAAAATTAAACTTTATAAATAAATATTCTTATTATATTTATATAAAATTAAAATAAATATTTATAAAACTTTTAATTATATAATTATACCTTTATAATTTTAAATATATATATTAATTATAAAATTATAATAATTACTTTTTTATTTATAAAGTTTCTATTATTAATAACCTTTATATAAATATATTCTTTAAAATAAATATTATAAAACTTAAAAACTTTAATATTTATTTTAAAATTATATATTAATATTAATTTATATTATATTTATATTTTAATAAAATTAAAAAGTAAACCTACTCTATAAAAATTAAAGTCTTTACCTTTATAAAAGTTATTATTCTACTTTATTTTATAATTTAATTACCTATTTAATATAAACTATATTTAAATAAAATATAAAATTTAATTTTATACTTACTTTTAATATATTAATACTTTTATATTTTTATAAATATTTATCTTACTTTTATTATTATTTAAAATAAATAAAATAATTTAATTATAATTTTAATAATATATTTATAAAATACCTTTACTTTATAAACTTATAATATTATATTTACTTTATATAAAATAATATTAATACTATTTTTATTACTTTTATAACTACTTAAAATTAATTTAAAAATATTTATTTATATAAGTAATTTTAATTTACTTAATTATTAATATAAATATCTTTTAATTTTAATTTAAAAATAAATATAAGCTTTTAATTCTTTAATAAAAATATAAATATATTCA